TGGTATATCCAATAATTCTCACAACTGGAATCCGAAACGTTAGGTCGTATTGTAAAATATGTTAAAAAATATATTTCGGATTGTAAACCGTTACAAGTGTTTTATTTAAATAATGTTGTACGTGAATTGTTGGCAATATCTAAATCGGGGAAAACTGCTTTTCTGTGACACAGCAGTAAAAGTTCTATTCACGGGTTTACATGGAGGAACGTTTTAGCAAATGATATGAAGGAGCGCGAGAGAGTCCCACAACTAATTCCGGGATAAGAGAAACAAACGTTATTAGTTCGCCATTCGCCATTCCGAGCGAGCCCCCTCCATTACACACCACTCGCTCCCATTTACATAATTCATTTTCTGAGCCAGTGACTCTTGTTCTTCGCATTACGAGTAATCCCGTTGACGCCGATGTACAAACAGCTACGAAAATTCCTTCTATTGTCTTAATAATAGAAGGAATTTTCATAGAAGGAATTTCAGTTTGGTCTAAAAGACAAGACTAGTCCATTTAAATAGTTTTGAGTTTGATTTTAATTTGACATTAGACATACCCACCATCTGATCTCCTTTTTGTAATTAAGTAAAATTATCAACATAATTATTATATTTGGACCGGTTCTTAGGACTCAAGCTTAAAGAATTCCGTTCGTGTCTCACTAGACGTAGTTAAAGTCATTAGTTAAATAGCACAAGCGCCAAGATCGCTTAACGCCTCTCAGAACAACAATAAAACATCTGGAAATTAGAGAAGTTAGCTATAATGTCGTCGTAAAAGCAAATGCCGGGAGTTAGAGTGACGATTATCGGACGAGAGACGATGGAGATTCGATTAGACTCGGTTCTCCCAGCGTCTCGAGAAAATAGCTAGAATCAAGAGTCGTCGTTTTACAGGTATTGTTGCTAATTGACGCTATCAAGGCGCCATCGAGGAAATATTGAAGGGTGTAGAATTCGCTCGACGTACTTTAATATTTACGAAATATAAACACACATACGCAACGCAATTCTTTAAATTTTTATAAGGCTGAAAGTTTGTTCGTTTGAACGAGCTAATCTCAGGAACTACTGGTTCGAATTTATAAATTCTTTATGTGTCTGATAGACCATTTATCAAGAAAAGCAGGAATACATTTTCAAAATGTGGAAAAAAACAAGGAACATTATTAAACTTTGAAAGCTTCCGTTGCGTGCGCAAGGTACCAAAAAAGGTGTGACAGAATGACAGAAATCCTCTTTAAAGGAACTAAACATTTTCGCGACAATATATTTTTAAAGAATGGTAATTGGAGGAGGTTTGTAAAAATATTTTTTTATGCATGCAAAATAGCATTCCATGCAGACAAAGCCGTAGGCGCAGCTAGTACAAAATATGCTTAAATTGAAGAGGGACAAGCACAGTCTTCACTTTCTAACATGAACACTCTCAGCTAGTAAAATTATTGATATTTGTATGTTTGCACGTCAATTACCACTGACGTGCTTAACTGACAGGCCAATCCCTTACCGTTTAAACAGGCGTATTCGCTTCCTACTGATAATTTATTGCAAAGGTTAACCGTTGGATCCCTACTTCACGTGATCCATAGTATATAAAAAAACAGTAGGATATTTTTAATTTTAGTTAGAAGTCGCAACTTTTATTAAGTGCCTTTCTTTTTTAAATCTATACTATATACTAATATTATAAATGCGAAAGTAACTCTGTCTGTCTCTCTGTCTGTTCGACTTTAACTCCAAAACTACTGAACTGATTTAAATGAAAATTAGTACAGATATTTTTTTTAATGCCAATAAGGTTAAAAAAGAGGATAAAATTTTGTATGGAAATTAATTTTGAAGCTAGAACAATAAAACTTTCTTCTTTGGCTTTTTGGGAATAGGAGTAGGAGTGGAAGTGGGAGTGGGACCGAGAATGGGAGTGGGAGTGAGTGTAGGAATGAGAGTCGGAGTTAGAGTAGGAAATATGTCAGGTGAGAGTGTTGCGGCAAAGTAGCACTTATAACTTAGATTGGCTGCCTTAAATGCGCCCTTACATAAATGAATAAATAGCCTAAATAATTAAAAATTTTACCCTAAGTCACTATTCCACGCGGACAAAGTCGCGGGCACAGCTAGTTATTTATATTATTGTACATTGTTTGCAAAATTAAATTATATGAATCCACTGATCCACCAATCCAGGCTTATTACTGACGGTATACTATGGCGCTTATTACTAAAACAATCGCCTACTGATAAAATGGTTCTATGTCAATTTTCAGGTACTGTCACACGTCGACCCAACTCACGAGTTGAACGGGCTCGTCCGCAAATATCCGCGGAAAGCCCACGGGAAATCATAGCGCGTGTAATTATTTTAATTTATTAACACCTATGCGATATTTCAGCTAAGTGTATAAAAGGAATAACTAAAATTGTATGCTGACCTATTTTGGACCTTTGGACCTTGTTTAAATAAAAAAATTAACTGTTTAAAACGCACCATCGAACCTTACAATTTACTGTCTACAACAACAATATACAGCCCTATGTATACCTTAATCTAGGAACGTAACTTAAGCTCTTTGCCGTAAAGAAAAACTGAGAATTTTTTGCATCGTAATAAATATTCATAAATGTACACACTAACTGCATATGCGACTTTTGAATTTAGTTTCCTCCATAAAAGACAATACTAACGAGCTAAGTCCAAACGACAAAACGAGTACATTTTTTACATTGAAGCGGACCAAAAAAGGCGACACACAGCCAAGCAGGTCATTAAAATTGCACCCAATGCCACTGTTTACAGAGGCATTTTTCCGTTTTTAGAGAAATGTTTTCACCTGAATAGCGAAAAGCATTACAATTGGACAAAGGACAAAAGCGGCTAATGGAATACGGAATTAGGAACGGGCTGAGCGCAGTCGCCAATGAAATTATTTATTTAATTGCTGGACTTTGCCCCGGTTCTATCAGTGCTTTTTGCTGTTGATCAAATGAACTGAAGAGGCACCTAGCGTTACAATGTTTACGCGAGTAATAGACTCTTAAAGAAAACACTAAACGGTTTAAAACGCTACATGTATTAGTTATCTTATTTACACATTATTTTTACTACAACCTGCCTTTTTGGATGCTTTGCACCAGCCGTGATCGTGGGGGTTCATTTCGCGTTTTAAACCGTTGAAGTGTTTTATTTGCAAGTCGATTTACATAAATTTATACAATTTATAGGTATAATAGTGCGGTGAGTGTTATTTCCATGTACCCTGCTACCTGCGGGTATGTTTCTGTTAATAAATCAGTGTTAATCCAACTGTTGTTAGTACTACAAATAGCTTTATCAAAGTTTATGTCCCCAAAATTAAACAAATGTCTCTTTAGTTTACCACGAAGGCAATTGCACATTATATTCATAATACTTGACCTTCTTCCAAATGGAAAACACGAGTATTAGAATACCGTCGGCGCACAGATAAGGCACAGACAGGCAGTTTAAGCGGTACCCAACAATTGAACAATCGCCGGAACCCCGACCGTTACAGCCAGCTACTGAGCATGTTATGGCTCCAAAACGTTCCTAATATCTGTAATAACTGAGCGCGGAACCAATAAGTGGCCGGGTCACGACTTGGCGGGTGGCGCAAGTTGCTTCTTGCAGCGGGTTGAGGAAGACATAGTGTACTATCCAATACTTTATACTGTAAAGTCTTGTGGGGCACGAGGCGCACACAATTATGTGCCAAACGGGCACTGATCGGTTTTATTTACAGTCAAGTAGTTGATCGGACTTCTGTGCCCTGTCAAACCGAAACAATATATTTTTTTATTTTTCAAATAACTTTAACTAATATATCTTATATTTCAAATAAGTTGAACTAATATATCGAGTTTTAAACCGTTAAAATGTTTTATTTAAATATTTACGACTATCCCCCTCTTAATATTTTTTAATGAAACATAGGTAAACATCATAGTAATCAGTAGATAAATATTAAACTAGAATTTGAATACTAAATAATAAGGAATTATACATTTTAAAATGTGCATTTTTGGTTTAAAATTTGCACACAGGTAAACAATATTTCGATAAAGCACCTCTGTAGCTAGTTGAATAAATTTTTTTGTCTAGATTAGGGTCAATCACGAGAGGTCCTGGGTTCGAATCTCAGAGCAACAATAGATTGTTCCGGTCGGGTCAGAGAAGTCTAATCAACTACTTGCCGGTAAATAAAAACTGATTAGGATGTCACATCACAGAAATGTACACCCCATGCTCTATACGGAGAAACGGGATTTTACTATTATAAAGAATCTCTTTTCGTGGTAATCATTTTAGTAAAATCACGTTATACTTAAGGCACACGCATTAGATTCCACTAAATCATTGAGAAATGCGAAACCGCACTAATTGTACGCGTTATGTACATTAGGTGTTACGTCACACATCTAATCGATTTAAGTATATATTCACTTAGCATAACATTGTTATGTACTGCTTTCCTATTCTACACGATATAATTAATAGACTTCACGATATATTCGACTCACCAGATATATAAAGAACAGAATGCAAAGAAATTCACAAATTAAAAATTCTATGTCATCACTTATACACTTATACATATATTATATTTATTTAGTGTGAAAAATCGTTATAGGGGTATATTTGTAGTAAATCAAGTTAAGAATCTACGCTTTCTAGTAATTCTGTGTTTTCATTGTTTCACAATGAATGTATGCCATTATAACATACAAGGAACTATGTAGACACAGTATAATAATGTAACAGTAGGAATAAAATGATTAACAACCGCTCCCCGCCATAAAACCGTTCAGCTATCTAGCCATAAAGTCCGCAATAAATAATTCTGCTGACATTAAATTTATTGGTTTCAGTAAAGGACATTATCGTTGTATCTAATTACTGTCACTTTGATAAATGATCTGTGCATTTTATGAGTTCTAATGATACGTTGTGGATCGTATCAGTCGGTGCTGACGTGCGAAACGACAAAATGACTTGGCTAGAGTTGTTGAAAGAAGCTCAGTTTCATGGTGCCGCGAGGCTCGGTGACTTGAGACACAGGTTAAATGGAATATTTGTATTGTACTAGAAATATTGCTTAATATTATTAATGTAATCCTCTTATATAGCTGTCACAGATATTATATTAGAACAACGGGGTTGCTTCTCCAAAGAAAAGCAAACGATTCAGCGAACGTAGTGTAGAGTGCATGCGCAATCATGTAGATCCACTCCTTAAGGTAGTTGGACATTTGACAAGGATCGCGCCGAACGCACCGCAGTTCAAGTCTCATTGTATGCAATGATGTAAAACCTAGCACATTAACTCGTACCGTACGCGCCGACTTTTCACATTTATGATCACCTTAATGTGGTTAAACAAAACAAAAAAAAAAACAAAAATTCTTTATAGTCACCACAATGTTACAAATAAAAGTTAATTTAAAAAATCTCGTTTAACAAGCCTCATCTTTACTATTATTATAAGTATTAGTTTATTTGTTTTTTTAAACGCGCTAATCTCAGGAACTACTAGTTCGAATTGTAAAGCAACCAAAAATAATGTATGAAAGAATGAATTCCCTTTGAATGATATAAAAAAATATCCACGACAGTGTATGTCTACCCTATAAGAACTAACAAGACTCGTTTTTATGATAATCAAATTGGGTCGATATAATATCTTTTAGAGTTGCACCAACGTTATAATATTAACCTTGCAAACAACAGAACAACGTTTGCCGGATAAGCTAGTTAAATATATAATTTAACGGTGCGGTCATTTTAAGTTGCAAATGTTGCAGGTACTTGTGGCTACTCGCTCAGGTGATATTTTTCGGTTGTTCCGTGACTGTCGTATACGTAACGGTCACCAGATTCTTCAGCAATCCGACGTATATTGTCAAACTGGCTACTGTGCTACCCTTGAAGACGTTTCCCACTGTCATAGTTTGTCCGGAAATCGATTACTACCAGGAGAAAGTCGATCAGTTTTTAAATGATATGTAAGAATTTTTTGCATTATACAAAGACGAAAAACGGCAAACGTGTTAACACGGTTTCAAAAAGCATATAACCACCGTCAAAACCCTAAAATCTAAGTACATACCTCCAAGCTCCTGTCCACCATTTATCTCCTGACTTATGTACACTATTATTGTAGCACGTTAGTCTAAAAAGTATACGTCACCATACGCAGTACACTGATTTTACTAAAAGTACTTTTAATTACGCACTGGACTTGTAAAAAGGAAAACAATAACTAGTAACCTAACTAAAACGGTCACATATGTATATAAAACTGTGCACAACCAGTTCGCATGAGTGGCACGCAAAAGCATGTGACACCGCGCACTTACGTCGTTCGGCCATCGTTTCGAGGAAACTAAACTTGCCACTTAATTAAAATAGAAATGACTACGTTCAATGCTGCGATAAAAACAACGTCATCGTTTTCTTCTTCTTTTCTATATGGCCAGTATGAAGTGGTGTTAAAGTAACGAAAAGAAGCGTACCAGTATAACTTCGTTACTATTAATACTCGTTTATTTACATCGATACGTTACTCGTTACTTTTTATGCTAAGGTGTAATTTTTTCTAGAGTCGTATTGCCATCGCGTAGACATCGTTGTGACGCTTATATCGTAATTTGAAATATTATATTTATAAATTAGATTTACTTTTTATCTAAAGTAAATCGTTTCCAATTTAAAATAAGATAAATATATGCTATAGAAATAAAAAACCGTCGATCTTAGAAAGTTTTATCTTTTTAAATTCATTACATCGCGAATAAGCGGTCCTTTAGCGCATACGCAAAAATTGTACTGTTTTACGTATCTTAATACACGTTTTACCTATTTCTAGAGAATACCCCCCGGATGCAAACGTAACGTATATTAGAAGTATTATTCGACAGTTAGCTGCATTCTATTCTCAAAAAGTGCATTACAATGTAAAAGACCTAGAGTATATCAAACAGTTATTGGATTATAACGAGTTGGATGTGGAAACCGCTGGTTTAATGCTCACAGCCAGTTGTGAGGAGACAATTATCAAGTATGGCAACTCTATAAATATAACACACTAGCGGCCCAGTCCCGGCTTCGCACGGGTAGACATAAATAAGTACAGATATTAAAATTATAAGCATGCTAACTAAAACGACCATGAATCACTAAATTAGAAAAAAATGTATTTCGCGTACTAGATGTAACGACCTTTGTCTGTCACGCTGTGTCATGACACAGCGTGACAGACAAAGCTCGCAACGGCTCATGAACGCTGCGAGCGTTCAGTGTTAGAGTCCCGTGCACGCGTTCTGAATTCCTAGCTCTATTTCCTTCAATTCGCTGAGACGAACTTGCATTTTGTTCTGCGAAACGAACGTTCAGGTTCAGGCCCTCTACCCCTCTATCGTCTGTTTTTTTTATTTTAATTTCATGATATCTTTTGAATGGAATGTCCGATTTCAATAATTAAAAAAGTGATCATCAGGTATTGAGACAGTCTTGAATATTAAATTATTTATTCGGATATAAATTTATAAATGGTACGGATATCACGGTCTGATTTAAATCGGCATTTCTATCAATTTGTTAAATGTAAAAAAGTAGTTATAGCGACGTAACTAAAATAGTTAGACATATGCTATCGCGATGTTTTTTGTAGATATTAATATATTCTATAATATTGTCGAACATTTTTTGTCTTATCATTAATACTTTTCGCAGCGTATGCGAAAAAAGACATTTTACGGCTAATTTTTTTACGCTTTCCGTTGGTTTTAGTAAGAATTTCTATAGATGCCTATAGTAATCAAGTACTAAATAGCTATATATAAAGCCTATGTTACTCAGTGATAATGTAGCATTCTAATGAAAAAATAATTATTAAAATCGGTCCAGTACTTTTTGAGTTTACCCGTTACATACAAAAATACAAATCTTTCCTCTTTATAATATTAGTATACATATAAGTATACTAATACGTTCTAGTATTTATTAGGTTATTGGCATAAACTGAAATCTCATTTCTTTTCAGTTTACAAGTATGGTCTCACTTAATACTATAACTATTATTTTTAACTAAAAGATGGTCGCTTTAATTGTACATGATTGGTGTGTTATTAGGTGTGCTTGGAGGGCAAAAATACTAAACTGTTCGTCGTTATTTTCAATGGAGGTAACCAGCTATGGGTTCTGCTGTGTATTTAACGGGAGGTCTTTGAAACGGTTAGTTTTTATATAATATAGCGCTTAAATATTGTCTGTTGTTTACGCGAGTAATGAACATTTAAATGAAACACTTTTAACGGTTTAAAGCGCGAAATAAATTAGTTAACATTTTTAAATTTATTTAAATACAGCCCGACGTTTCGAATGTGTTGTACCAGCCGTGACTGCTGCCATGGCATGCCTTGACGTTAGGAACATCCTCCATCTTCAGTTCCTCCATAACCATGGCTATTGCAAAGCATTCAAAACGTCTGGCCTTACTTAAAATAAATGAAAAATAAGTTATATAATTATTTCAAATTTATATGACTTACTGAACCTCTCTTAATGCGAATAATAGAACCTGGGACGTTAAGGTGGTAAACGTTATGATATAGAAATGGCTTATCCTTATTTTACCCTTACCTAGAGACGTACCGAGGATTAAATCTTACTAACGATTAATCAACTATAACTTTGGCCAGAAATCGACCCCATCCTACCTACCTATTTAGCTTTATTTGTATAGAAGACAAAGACCTTCCTACCCTCTTGCCTGTTTACCTAAAAATACTATTATTAATACGTGTAATCTTGCGTTAATTCGAATGAACTATTTGTATACTTTTAGATTAGAAAATAATTATTGGTTTCAGAGAGCTAAAGAATCCTGGTTATATCCAGGAACCAGTGAAGCAAATGCATATAAACAATATCGGAAAGCACTACGGATTGAACATAGCGGTGGCGCAAAATGTAACCAAACCACCTGTCAACTTAAACCTGGCTTACAAATGGGTAAGACAATCGATATTTCTTTACCTATACTCTCAAAAAGAAATCAGAAAGAGAGACTTGAAATCGTTGCGACAAGAGTTTTAAGTTGAAGCGTACAAGTCAAAACAATAGGTTTTTAAAATACCAGAGGTCTTTTCTTCAGTTAATTTGGTCATCTCTTTAATATATATATTACTATATTATAATATCAGTGTTGGGACATTAGTCCCAACGTAGCTAAGTGGACTAACTAGAGGCAACTACTTTATTTCTTCATATGTACTTATTAAATTAATATTTTATTTGTTTATTAAATATCTTGTGTTGTTTTCGTATAAACGTCTTCTATTCTATTCTAATATCAGTCTTCTTCAATCATGATACCATAATCAGATAAGCTTGAGGAATCCTGGCCACATGTACGTAGACATCGTAGCGAATGGGACTCCTTTGCCCCCCGGGATAGAAATTTGGTCAGGCTTCGCGACGGAGACGATACAGATGAGCGAGGAAGCTAGGAACCTGAGCCCGAAAGTGCGTCGTTGTTACCTCACCGAAGAACCGCTGAAATACTTCCCTATTTACCATAGGTACGCAGCAGTCAAACGAGAATTAGTTAGAAGTAGAAAAGTATCACAAACAAGAATTAAAAGCTCAATATTATTAAACGAACTGGTCTACTTATATTAATGTGTCTTTTCACTGAATAAATATTTTATCTTTTAATATACGAAACACAAAACAACGCCAAAATAAGGATATAATTTTGTCGTCTAATTAAAGTTCGATATGTTTGTGCAGACGCTATTGTGTTCTGGAGTGCGAGATGGAACGGATTGCTGCTCAATGCGGCTGCTCCCTGTTGCACCATCCACCTGTTCTCGATAAACCACTTTGTGGCCCAAATCAGCTGGGATGTGCAAGAGCAGCTACGCGTAAGTTTGCAGCAAAAGAATAAAAAAAAATATTGGTATACACTTCGATCGATTCTCTTCGGTCAAGTGGTCGATTGCTAAATTCTGAATACTTTTATTGTGCCCATAAAAGAGAATAATATTATTATATTAAAGCAAAGAGGGGTCAAGTATAAAAACTTACGTCAAAAAGTAGGTACTGATTTTGGAAAGCGTTATTCCCCTTTAAAATTAAATGGACTCCGAGGAAACAAATACGAACACTAACTACCTATATCAGGTTTTGTAAATCAGGTATTTGTTATAATTTTATATTCTCGACTAATAGTCACATATAAAAAAAAAACTGCGCCGGCAAGTATAATTTAGCTCTAAAGCGTGTTCAACACCGAAAATTGGTATTTTATTCCGAAGAAAGTTGTAAGACTTAAATGGTGTACATTTTAACACCACGCAGACAACATTATCAAAAAAGTTTTATTCCAGTTCGATTCGGCGTCAACGTATGCAACTGTCCTTTGGCCTGTGACAAGGAGAGACAGCTCACCAAACATTTCACCTTTGCCATAGATCCTACTGTTCCATTCTTCGATCCTTTTTAGTAAGTTATTTTTGTTGCTAGAACGAGCTATGCCCTAATTTGGGCAAGCTATTTGGCCAAATTAGGGCATAGCTTGCATATCTGAGTGTTTTAGTAATGCCCATAAAATAAATGCTACTAATAACACCAAGAATTACCCACTTTATAACTATTATTACATAAATATATTAAATTCGATTTATGCCTGCTAAATAAATAATCTACACTAATATTATAAAAAAGGAAATACTTTGTGTGAGTTTCATGGTAATTAATAAATTCAAAAACTACGGCGCCGGTTTAAAAACTTTCGTTATGCACTAGAATGCTATATTAATTCTGATTAAAATACACTATATTAATGGTTAGAAAAATAAGGGTAAAACTGAAATACAATAGTCCAATGTGTACAAATAATAATTATTCGTAGCATGAGCTACAAAAACGATTGATTATATTATAATTGTGTTTTACTATATTAAAGTACCGATCAAAACAAGATCATGCTATTTATACGGTCGCAAGACTCTGTTACTAGATGTACATTACTGTTTTCGCGAATGGGATGTTTTATTCAAAAGATATTTAAAAAACGAAAATAAATTGAAAAAATTTTCGACTCGGGCAGGACTTGAACCGGTATCGTCAGCGTTCCGTGCTGTTGCTCCACCCTAGTCCTACACCTCATCGTCGATTTTTTTCAACTTGTTGATACATGCACCTCTCGCGCAATGTAATTTTAACCTTAACACTTCCAGATTAGGGTTCACGGAACGCTGACGATGCCGGTTCAAGTCCTGCCCGAGTCGAAAAAATTTTAAAAAATTTATTTTCGATTTTTACATTATATACTTAGTGAAAAATATTAAAGTTTTCAACCGTTAAAATATGTTTTAAATAAAAACGTTTTTGACGTACGTATTTTTATGCATATTCTTATTTTAAATCAATATAAAAATGTAATTTGTAAAGCTGAGTTTAATGAAATATAAAAACAACAATCATGTAAACAATTACGTAACTCTTATTAAAATTATACATATATGTGATTGCAGCAAAAACTTGACCTTGGAAAAAGTGAGCATCATCAGATTATACTTGCACGGCTACAGCAAGACGGTTTACTCGCGCAGATCCTACTTTTCCAGAGTCAATTTATTTGGTAAGACAAAAACGACACGCTTTTAGAGCATTTACTGTGGAAGACTTTAGGCTATAGAACACCACACTGCAGTCAATGGAAGCAAAGAAACAGTAGAAGATGTGGAGCAAACGGGAAAAAATTTTTCTAAAGTTTCCGTTGCGAGCGTTGCGAAAAAGGTTGAAGATACCAAAAAAAATGTATGGAAGAATGATTTCTTCTTAAATGATCTTGAAATTTCCGCTACAATATATGTCTGTATTTTAAGACAATCTTGCAAAAGCGACGGGACGCGCATGGGTAACGACGTCTTGGGTAACAGCTGTAATTTATAAAGATAAGGTGGAGGTTTGCAAAAACAAATTTTGACGCTTAAATTTACTACTTTACGCGGACGAAGGCGCTGACGCATCTTCATTGATATTTGTTTTCATCATCATCTCATTTATCGTGTTATTGTTGTCTATTACCCCCTTAACGGAAACTAATACTAAAAAAAAAATACAAATACATTTAAATATTAATAATTACATATTATATATGTAATTATCATCCATCTTATTCAACGAAAGTTTGTATACTTACGCTAAAAGCTAAATTTTATATTTTTTTTCTTTTAAAGGGATGTTACAAATCAATAAATTCCGCTTTTCCTTTTACAGCACAATTGGGTGGTGTCTTTAACGTATTCTTCGGCTGCAGCGTCCTGACTCTCCTAGAACTGATAATTCTCTTCTGGAGATATATTCGAGATACATCGGTCGCAGATCAAACGTGGCCTTTTCGCCATTAGACGTCACTTGTTAGAATCATACAATTTAATGCCGTTGTTTCTTTTATAAATGATATTTTTTAAGACAGCCTTTATGGTTGTATGTAAAGGTCAATTATAACGAGAAAATATATACTGTACTATAGTTTGAGCGAGTAGTACACATTTAAATAAAACACTCTAAACGGTTTAAAATACGATATACTTACTTGGAAATAATTTAACTTCGGCCCAAGGTTTCGGATGCTTTGCAGCAGCCGTAGTTGAAATCATTTTCAAATAAGTTTCACTAATATATCGCGTTTTAAACCGTTATAGTGTTTTATTTAAATGAGAATATATATTCTCGTATAGTAAATTAAGGTCTAATCTTTACGTTTAATATAGTATTAAACTTAACTTACTTATTATAAGAATACGAATGATCATAAAATATGTAATTTAAATAATTTAATTATTATTTAAGCCACTCGCATAATATGTACACATAATGTTAAGTATTTTTGTTAATCTTGCTTTCCATTTTTAATTGAAATTTATGTTATGACATATAAAGTTTTTAAACCATAATATTTTTCGTTTTCTCTAGAATGGCTTAACAATTTCTCAATTTCAAGGTTTTCAAAATGGACTCTACAGCCTTATACAATGATTTTAAAAATCTGCATTAGGTAACCACGCGTCTTCTTTTCTACATATTTCATAAACTCTCGCTTTAAAGTACGTTTATTTCCGGTTTGGAAACCGCCGCGTAGTTTTAAGTGCAAGTTCATAACTCAATGTTGAATAACTGTTTTAAAGCCATGAATCAAAGATGGCGTCGGACGATTGGACTGATATTGGTAACGCGTAATTTAGCAAAAACGTAATTCGTTTTGTACGTGAGCGTAATCACATTTGTCGGGGATTGATTTCGCATCGCCTTCGTGACTTCCCTTGAGGACTTGAAGATAGGTCTGCCGCTCATTGGTCTAATGTTAGCGATGAATGGCCGGTATACCGTATTCTGATTAATTCATATTTCTAAACCATGTTGGACTTTGTCTAAAGTGGATATTGAATGAGCGGTCGGAGTATCGGAATTCCGTCCGTGACACGAACCATCGTCCACAGGTGAAAAAGCTGGCGTTTCGATTTCGGTCTGTGGATTTCCGAATGTCCGAAGTCAACAATGCTTCTTGTGTTATATGGCTGGGGGTTGTCCTTCCATTAAGTGTACGCCACGCTAGCATGTCCTGCTCCATCATAATAAAATGGGATTCGATGGAAAGTGGAATAACCCAGCCCAGCCAGCAATTGGCACCTATATCTCACATAATACAAACTGAATCATAAACCCTGATTCACACACTTCACGGCTTTTCCATCTGACGATAGCTAGTCATGATCCGGAGAAACAATTACCTAATTGAATCATATTTTGTATAAAGTACCAAAATATTTAAAAGCCCTTTACAAATACTGTCTGTAGTTTACGCGAGTAGTACACATTTAAATAAAACACTTTAACGGTTAAGGCCCCGGCCAGTTTTGCCAAATACCAACTGCAACGAAACAGATGGCGCTAGTGTAGCAGTTTTTTACCTTGACGTCAGAGACATCCTCCATCTTTAGTCTCCCCGTGACCACGGCAAAGCATCCGAAACGTCGGGGCGTAGTTAAAAATAATTCTCAAACAAGTTTTAACCAAAATATATCGCGTTTTAAACCGTTAAAGTGTTTTATTTGAAAGCCCTTTACAAATCGACCTAATATATTTACGCGATTTCAATCTATTTTTTATGAATAATTATATAATTGCTCACGCAAATTTCAAGTACAACTGTTATTTGAAAAATTTACGATTTTAATTATTTTAATTTGTTGGTCGCTATTTATAGTTTTTTAATATTTTATTATAAACTACCCGCTTAATAGTAAAAATGTATATATTGTATTAATGTTTCTCATATAATATTGTTTAATTTATGGAAATAAATGTCTTTAACCGAACTATATATATAAGTTTGGAATATAGTTTTTACGCACTGTTTCATTTCGTTTGAGTGTAATTTTCAAGCACTATTAAAAGTTATCTTTAGGTTTGAAAATGTAAGTATACACCCAAAAGCGAAATGGAATGGAAGTTAGAGCTTCGTTTTTATTAACCGGCTCTAAAAATTGATTCGCAGAAGTCGGTCAGCGTAAAACAATAACAGAGGTCCCGTGTAACGGGATCAAACTGAGCGGAACTCGCAAATATTTTATTTCAATAAGGAAAAACAACGCGACGCGAGCTACACCGACCAATTTCGTACCAAACATAATAAAACCTCTGTTTGTATTACTTTTGCGCTGAAACGGAATAAATTAACTAGAAAATTCTATATCATTATTTTCGCTGATGCCATGTTTTTTTGTTGGTGGGGTTTAGATAATAAATAACGAAATTCGTTAACCAGTTTTTGGATTATTAGTAGATATGGAATATTTAATAATAGAGAAGGATAGACAAACGCGGGGTGCACTTGATGGAAATTGAAATACTTCCGACATCAACATCTTAACAATATGTGCTGTCGACCGATAGACGGAAATCAACAGACTGAAACCGAATCGCGATTATACTTCACGTCTATTTCATCTGTCAACGGTGGGTTGTAGCCCGGACGCAATTTCGATAATCCAGCCACACATAATAATATCCAGTTCTGCAGACGAAGACGATACCAAAATGTTAGGTAAGAAATGCATTGGACCCGATGGGTATCGAACCCTCGATTTGTTGATAGCCATCGCATACATACATCGCTACTATTAGACCAACAAGATCGTCAAAGCTGTTATAAAATTATGATTGTCTCAAAAGGCGTATTATTGTTTGAACGATTTCTTTAACGACAAGGTTGCCTGGCAGTGATATGAATTCCAAAAATGTATTCATAAGAGTTTCTTGGGTGCTCTTCTCGGTCATGTTGCTCTTTGGAACGATCTGTAGAATCAGGACAGACAGACAAACATTTTTTGACGAATCTAAATAAATTTAAAACTTTAAATAGAATAAAGTATTTTTTATTTTTTTATTTTAAGTTTCTTTTGGCCAACCAACATTTTCCCAACTAATTTAGAAAAATTTAAATAGAAGAATATTAGGGGTTAAAGTGGAGATTCCGCTGATAAACGCATACTTATCAATTTGATATAATTTCGAGGTTTAAGGCGTACACCTCATTCTCGTTTATTGAATTCCGGACCTTTTATTGCGGAATCCCATTCGTGCCTTGAATCGTAATGAGCAGATAGAGTTGAGGCTCGTTATTTATATTTGGTTGCGTTAATTTTACAAAATTCTCGAATTATATCTACTTCAATCATGATTTACCCTACGTACTTATTATTGCCGAAATAATGAAAGTTTTAAAAACTGCGAGACACGATTATCTATGTTAATATATAAAGCTGAAGGAGTAAAAATTGAAAATTAACCCCCCAACTTTGTGTGAGAAATCAAATTATGATTTATTACCAATGTAATTACTAATATAAACTAGCAATTTATGCTAATTAGACCAGTACGCATTAAATTACATCACGCAAGGCATCCATTTTATCGACATTTATCAATGCCAAGTTATTAGAAGCAGGTGCAGAAGGCCTCCAGTTTCTCTTTATTACTCATCTAGTCGGAGCCCCGGCTTTGCTTCAAATTTTCAATTAGCAACAGAACATTTTATAAAAGGTATTTCACATTTTCCTTTGTAATTAAATGTTTGTAAAATTAAATACATATATATTTATAACACTTGTATGTATATTGTGTATCTTATTTGTATTTCATATAAGTTACGAAAACGTTATGCAGAATCTCTTGGGTAACTTGATTAATATTTCTATGTATACATATTTAAAAAATCGCAAAGGTAAGTAAATAGTGTATGTATTATATCATTAGTTATATATATTGCATAATTACACAGATAATTATACCGATTCCTTGAATAAATCAGAGGAACAATTGAATATTACGTTTCCGCTCATAGCAACTACTGAATTGGATAATTTTGTGAATGGATAATGTTAATCACAAATACATAGTCATTAGTCGTGCGTAGTTTAATAAAGATGGATCACAAATTTCTTATAAACATATTACTATGTGAGTTTCTCTTATCTAAAAAAAATATGCTAAATTTTTTGGTTTGTGTTGCTCTTTCCAATAAGTATTTTCGAGTGTATGCTTGTTCCCTGCACAATACATTCTTAATGGCTTTGAATTATTGTATCCCATGTCTATTTTATGGCAGCTATAAATTGAACTTGAACTTAATCAGTGTCTCTTGCATTTACGCTAATAGAAAGCAATTCTTATAATATGAAAACTATTTCCTCTCATAAAAGTGGTATATTTATTTCAGGGATTTGTACAACTCTAGCAGTAGACGCGCTGTCAACAGAGGTCACAAGGCTGCCGCGACAGACTTGTATTTGCACTAAAATTCTAAAACCGGTCTGCGGCTCAGACGGAAAGACTTACGGAAACGAATGCGAACTTAAATGTTCTAATGATGTGAATAAAATTAAGGCCGTAGAACTTACCGTCGCGTACGAGGGCGAGTGTAAAAAGAAAGAGACGCGCATATGTGCTACTATATACCTCCCTATCTGCGGTTCAGATGGTATAACTTATGATAATAAATGCGAACTGGAAAGCGCAAATGACAAAAATGACGATAAAGCTCTCGATATAACCGTTGCTTACGAAGGAGAATGTAAGGAAGAGGATCTGTGTATATGTGCAAAGATATATCTTCCCATCTGTGGTTCAGATGGCAAAACCTACAATAATGAGTGTGAACTCAAATGTTCTAATGGCAAAAAAGATGATAAGGATCTAGAAATCACTATTGCTTATGAGGGAGAATGTAAGGAAGAAGAATTGTGTATTTGTGAGAGGATCTATTTGCCAATCTGTGGTTCTGACGGAAAAACATATAACAACGAGTGTGAGCTTAAATGTTCCAACGATAAAAATAAAGGTAAGGAACTGGAAGTGAGCATAGTTTTTCAAGGAGAGTGTCAGAAAGAGGAACTGTGTATTTGTGCGAAGATATATCTCCCGATTTGTGGTTCCGATGACAAGACATATGACAACGAATGTGAACTTAAGTGTTCTAATAATAAAAATAAGATTGAAGTTAGCATTGCGTATAATGGAGAATGTAAAAAAGATGACGGAGAATGTCCCGATGGGAAATGTCAGGACGACTGCTTCTGTCCTTTTTATTACAGACCCGTTTGTGGTAGTGACGGAATCACGTATGAAAATGAATGTTTACTAAATTGCAAAAATAAGGAACCCGAAAAAAATGATGGAAAACTAATAGTCATAGCTAATGTTGGGAAATGTAGTGACGAATGTATTTGTCCAACTTTCTACAATCCTGTGTGTGGAAACGATGACAAGACATACCAAAACGAATGTGAAATGCAATGCGCAAATAAAAAAATCGACAAAGAAAAGTCTTTAATAACGATTAAATACCTCGGAATATGCAAACTACCCTGCGACTGTAAGGACGAAAAGAATATAGTTTGTGGTAGTGATGGACAGTCATACAAAAATAAATGCTTCATGGAATGCGAAAGTAAAAGTCTAGAGTTGGCTGGATTGAGTTTACTCACAGTTGTTAAAGAAGGGAAATGTACATATCCCTGCAACTGTCCTGATATAATAGAGCCGGTATGTGGTAGCGATCAGAAATCTTACAAGAACTTTTGCTTAATAGAGTGCATCAATAAGAATTTCCTCAAACCAAAAGAAACAAAGCCCTTCGGCTTCGAATATAGTATCCCCTTCCCCGATTACTACCGAAATAACTACTACAAGTACAACTCATACGATAACGGGTACGATCCTTACTACAATAGATATAACAACTACTTCCCAAATCGTTACCAGTATGATGCACAAAGCTACAACTCTCTGAGATATAAGCGTGCTGACGTAGTTCAAGAATTAGTCAACGATGCAAAAGCACTTATAGACGAAAAAGCAAAGGATATTAAATTAGATGTAAAACTGGACGTTGATTTGAAAGGTACTGAGAAATTAGTCGAGGACCTCCTTTTAGATGTACCGATTAATATCAAACACGTCGGACTATGCAAAGAATGTTACTGCTCTGATGTGTATGACCCAGTCTGCGGTAGTGACGATAAAACGTACAACAGCGAATGTGAATTGGACTGTAATAACAAGAAACTAAAGAATCTCGGCGAAGCTCTTATATCTGTTAGCGAAAGGGGCGTTTGTGGTAAATGCTATTGTCCGCAAATTTTCGCTCCGGTCTGCGGAAGCGACGGATACACGTACAATAACATATGCACCTTAAATTGTGGTAGTAAACGAAATGATAAGGAGAAAGAGAAAAAGGGACGTCTGTTCGTAAAGTACTTCGGATACTGCCAACCAGACCCAAAATAATAGAAGAGAGGCAATGTGAACTACCAACAACTCCAGATACTTCATGTGCAACATTCATAATACCACACACTTATGAAACATATTTCTTGTAAAGGAATGGACAATTCTTCTCTTACTTTTTAGGATCACTGATTCGATTGATCCTTAATGCAAGGACAAAATGTGTTTTTCTAAGTCGTTGCGGCAAATGCCTTCTTCAAAGAACAAATCCTTTAAAATTCGTAAACAATTAAGTTGTATGAATTAAGTTAATTCTTACTTCGTTTCAATTTGTTTCGATCAAAACGGAAATAAATAAACAATAGATCATCGTTTCAAATAGTTTTATTTGAATGTTGTACATAATAAGTCTTTTCTTATACTAAGAATAATGCTTACTTGTTAGAAGGCGAAATAACCCAGCTATATAATATTTAAGCAGACTATGGCTGCTGCAAAGCATCGTGCCGTCGTGCCGTAGTTTAAATAAATTGTAAATAACTAATATATTTTGTATTTTCACTGTCAAAAGTGTTTTAAGTAAATAGCACTTCTTGTTACATTTCCTATATTGTTAAATCAAAGCTGTTCAGTAAGGTAAAGGGTTTCGATTCGGTATTTTCTTGTCTAGTCATATTTTTGTGATAAATTGTGAAAGTATGTACAACTTAACAGGTAAAAGAAAATACTGACTCGAGCAAGTACACATAATACTTTTACTACATAATATTAACAACACGAAGACTAATAATGTTGGTACCTATTAAATACTACGTGTCTAAATATATTAATGTTTGATTATGAATATTTACTTCGCTAAGACAGCATTTACATATAACTTTTTATAGAATTACCTCTATATTTCCCAAAAATGTGAGTACAATAGAGACTAATTGTGAGTAACCTTTATAAGATATAAAGTATTATTTCACAAAAAGTAATAAAAAACAGAGGTTTAATGAAATTTGAACAGCTGAATCTATCTGTCTGATCACTACATATGTAAATACCTACATATTGCTTTAAACAAAATATCAGTAATTTAAACTTGCTAACGCGGCCATTTTTTTAAAGATAGAGTTAGAAAAACAAGCATGGCGTTTACTTAATGAAAGGTTATATACCAGCTATAATAGTTTGAGTTTGAGTTTGAGTTTTTGAGCTATTTAATAACTAAACATGTTGCGCTACCGACCTATATTGGAACCTTGGAAATTTGGAAGGCGACAGACTGAAACTGAAACGCAAAAAAAACACACACAGACACAGTGACACAGACTACATTTCGCTACCACTTATTTAAAAACCAGATTTCTAGACGACGTCTCAAAAATAAAAATGTCTCGTATGACCCTTTATTAGTGCCCAACGTAGTATGCAGTTAGTGTGTCGTACTCTCCCACGATGGGTTCCGTACCCATACGACTAGGTTCCGAAGCTTATTACAAATTTCTATATCAATAGATAATAACACCTAAAAACTTGGAATAACTAATAACGTTACAATATGCATCATGGAATCCTTGTGAACGGACTTCGCCGCTTTTATTTTTAGTTATATACAGAACTCTCAAATGTAACTCTATGCTAATTTGACCTTAGGCTTCAATTTCTATTAAAAAAATCTCCATATCTAAATAACATTTGAGCATGAAACTAATATTTAAACTGCAAGTATTTGCAACTTGGCATTATTGTACAGCACATGTTTTCGGCAAGTGTCCTTTTGAAATATCCCCTCATAAATTACAAAAACACAATAGCACGTCGTATGTACATTGAATTAAAATAAAACATGTGCAAAACGAAAAGGCAGACAAACACATTTACAAAATAAACAAAAAATTACGTACACTCTCAGTCATTTGTGTTTGATATAATTTTCAGTTCTACAAACAACAGCTGGTATATAATGAAATTTATATTGTCATTGGTTTAGTGCACGTTTATTTTTATGGCGAATAGTACATTAGTAAAATGAAGATAATAACATGTAAGTAGTAGTACCTTTATTATTAGTTATTAATATTGGTATCAAGTAATTCTTCTTTCAATTAATTAAAAATGCACACCAATTGGTAGAAGCGGTGCTTAAAGAATTAATAAATCGTCACTCCATTTCCAGGTCTCATCCTTGATCTACTTTGTAAATATTTTAAAACCTATTGCTCTGCAGAACTGAAGTATTTTATTAAAAAAAATATAATATTAAGACAAATCTCTTAACAAAAAAAAATTGTAGTATTATTGACGAATGTCCTATTTTTTCAGATTTTGTTACTACACTTTTGGTCGTGCATACATCGTATTCTACGAGCATTAAACTTCCACCGAGAAATCCATGCGTGTGCACGAGGATCCGTAAACCTGTCTGCGGAAGTGACGGAAAAACGTACAGCAGCGAATGCATCTTAGAATGTTACAACTGGGAAAACAAAGGCAATGACCCAGTTCAGAAAGTGAGCGAAGGAGAATGTCCACTGGAGTGCCCTTGCCCTTTTATCCTCGCACCGGTTTGTGGCGACGACGGTAACACATATAGCAACCAATGTGAACTCGACTGTAAAAATAAAAGCTTAGAAAAAACAGGAGATGTAATAAAAAAAGTAAGCGATAGTGAATGTCCAGAAATATGTGCTTGTCCTCTTCTCCACGCACCGGTTTGTGGTGACGACGGTAACACATATAGCAACCAATGTGAACTCGACTGTAAAAATAAAAGCTTAGAAATAACAGGAGATGTAATAAAAAAAGTAAGCGATGGTGAATGTCCAGAAATATGTCCTTGCCCTTTGATCTACGCACCAGTTTGTGGAGAAGATGGTGAGACATATGGCAACGAATGTACGTTGAATTGTAAAAATAAAGAGCTGAAGCAGAAAGGTCAAAATCCTATACAAATTGTGAGCCACGGCAAGTGTCCAGAACTTTGCGTATGTACCGCTAACATTAAGCCTGTTTGCGGTGACGATGGTAACACATACAGTAACGAATGTTTATTGGAATGCGAAAATAATAAATTAGAAAGCCAGGGTAAGGACCTTATAAAAAAAGATTACGACGGCAAATGTGTGGAATGCGCCTGTCCAGCAAATTTAGCACCCGTCTGTGGTGACGATGGTAACACATACAGTAACGAATGTTTATTGGATTGCGAAAATAATAAATTAGAAAGCCAGGGTAAGGACCTTATAAAAAAAGATTACGACGGCAAATGTGTAGAATGCTCCTGTCCAGCAAATTTAGCACCCGTCTGCGGTGACGATGGTAATACGTACAGTAACGAGTGCTTACTGAAATGTGAAAATAAAAAACTGAAAATCAAGGGGCAGCATCTTGTAAAGAAGGATTACAACGGTGAATGTGAGTATTGCCCCTGTCCAGCGAATTTGGATCCTGTCTGTGGTGACGATGGTAAAACATATGGCAACGAATGCGAACTTAACTGCAAAAACGATGTATACAAACGCAAAGGGAAAAAATCGATTGCAATAATTAGCAAAGGAGCTTGTGAAGACAATTGCATCTGCGCCGATGTATATAAACCAATATGCGGAAGTGATGAGAAAACCTACGGAAATAGCTGCAAGTTAGGTTGTAAAAACAAAGAACTAAAAAAGCAAAATAAACCACTAATTCACCAGCTTTACGAGGGAGAGTGCGATGAAGGCTGTTTCTGCCCTCAAGTATTTCAACCTGTCTGTGGAAGTGATGGCAAGACTTATGGCAACGGATGTGAGTTGGGATGTCGAAACAAAGAGCTAAAGAAACAAAATAAACCTCAAATTAATCAACTCCATGAGGGAGAGTGTGAAGAAAAATGTTTCTGCCCAGACATCTATCAACCGGTCTGTGGAAGCGATGGCAAAACTTATAGCAACGGTTGTCAGTTGGGATGTTGCAACAAAGAGCTAAAGAAACAGAATAAACCTCAGATTAAACAACTTTATGAGGGAAAGTGTGAAGACGAATGTATCTGTCCAGCAATCTACCAACCTGTCTGTGGAAGCGATGGCAAGACTTATGGCAACAGTTGTGAGTTGGGATGTCGAAACAGAGAGCTAAAGAAACAGAATAAACCTCAGATTACACAACTTTATGAGGAAGAGTGTGAAGAAGAATGTTTCTGTTCAGCAATCTACCAACCGGTCTGTGGAAGCGATGGCAAAACTTATAGCAACGGTTGTCAGTTAGGCAACTGTCTGTGGAAGCGATGGCAAGACTAAGAAGGTTGTCAATTGGGATGTTGAAACAAAGAGCTAAAGAAACAAAATAAACCTCAGATTACCCAACTTTATGAGGGAAAGTGTGAAGACGAATGTATCTGTCCTGCAATTTACCAACCTGTCTGTGGAAGCGATGGCAAGACTTATGGCAACAGTTGTGAGTTGGGATGTCGAAACAGAGAGCTAAAGAAACAGAATAAACCTCAGATTAAACAACTTTATGAGGGAGAGTGCGACGAAGGCTGTATCTGTACTGCAATTTACCAACCTGTCTGTGGAAGCGATGGCAAGACTTATGGCAACAGTTGTGAGTTGGGATGTCGAAACAGAGAGCTAAAGAAACAGAATAAACCTCAGATTAAACAACTTTATGAGGGAGAGTGCGACGAAGGCTGCTTTTGCCCTCCAATGTTTTAACCTGTCTGTGGAAGCGATGGCAAACCTTTTGCCAACATTGTGAGTTGGGTCGCAAACAAAAACCCCCGCTTTCCCCCCCCCTTTGGGGGGGGTTTTGGGGCCCTCTTTTTTTCTCCTCTCTTTTTTCCTTTTTTTTTTTTGTATCTGTACTGCAATTTACCAACCTGTCTGTGGAAGCGATGGCAAGACTTATGGCAACAGTTGTGAGTTGGGATGTCGAAACAGAGAGCTAAAGAAACAGAATAAACCTCAGATTAAACAACTTTATGAGGGAGAGTGCGACGAAGGCTGTATCTGTACTGCAATTTACCAACCTGTCTGTGGAAGCGATGGCAAGACTTATGGCAACAGTTGTGAGTTGGGATGTCGAAACAGAGAGCTAAAGAAACAGAATAAACCTCAGATTAAACAACTTTATGAGGGAGAGTGCGACGAAGGCTGCTTTTGCCCTCAAGTGGTTCTACCTGTCTGTGGAAGCGACGGCAAGACTTATGGCAACAATTGTGAATTGGGATGTCGAAACAGAGAGCTAAAGAAACAGAATAAACCGCAGATTAAACAACTTTATGAGGGAGAGTGCGACGTAGGCTGTGTCTGTACTAAAATGTACCAACCTGTCTGTGGAAGCGATGGCAAGACTTATGGCAACAGTTGTGAGTTGGGATGTCGAAACAGAGAGCTAAAGAAACACAATAAAACTCAGATTAACCAACTCCATGAAGGAGAGTGTGAAGAAAAATGTTTCTGTCCAGAAATCTATCAACCAGTCTGTGGAAGCGATGGAAAGACTTACGGTAATAATTGCAAGTTGGGTTGTAGAAACAGAGAACTAGATAAACTTAAGAAACCTCTCATTGACGCATTGTACGAAGGTGAGTGCGAGGAGGGATGCGTCTGCCCTCAAGTTATTCAGCCAGTCTGTGGAGACGATGGACAAACTTATACCAATGAATGTGAGATGTCCTGTGAAAGCAGAGCCTTGGTGCGAATAGGTCTATCTCCACTTACAGTAACTAACAGAACTCAATGTACATTCCGTTGTAATTGTTACAAATCGGTCGTTCCCGTTTGTGGTACAGACGGTAAGTCTTATAAAAACCTCTGCATTCTTCAATGCGCGAGTATGAACAAGCAGGCGCTACCGGGTGGAACTGCAATAGGTGTCCAATATTCAGGAGCCTGTCAGCAGTGTACTTGTCCACAAAAGAATCACCCGGTATGTGGCACCGATGGAAATACCTACGCCAGCGATTGTCATTTGACATGCGAAATGAATCGAATTCAACGTTTAGGCGGAAACTTGTCCATTGCTCATAAGGGTGAGTGTGGATGTGTTTGCCCTCAGATCGACGAACCGGTATGCGCAAGCGATGGCAACACTTATGGCAACAAATGCGTCCTTGATTGCGAGAATAGAGTAAGACATAATCAGAACCAGGGGCCCCTGCACGTTGTGTTCTATGGACAGTGCAAGCCTTACAGTTACTTCAACTGCAACGCTTGTCCGCAAATTTACCGCCCCGTCTGCGGTACCGATGGCAACACTTATTGGAATATTTGCTTCCTCTTCTGCAATAGTCGCTGCAATATATTCAACAGATTGCCCACTGTCAGGCTGTGCAGCTACGGGCCTTGTTAGAATCGATTTTTCAGATTGTTTGTGTTTAGATTTCAAATTTTATTCTGAGATATTCAAGTTTGAATTTAATATAAAGGGTAATTATTTATAAAATTGTTGTTAAAATTAAATTGTTTTTCTTCATTTATCAGATTTTTTTTAAAACAAACACGAACAAGATACAAATTATATTATACTGGTATGTACTATATAAGTACATATGTATTATTATGCAGTAATATGTCGTAGTCATTACATAGTATTAAAGTCCCTGTGTAAGCTTCTAAAAAAACTACGCATATAAATATCAAAGATATTGTTTAAACAATATAAATCATTTCGTCCTCGCTCCAAAAGGTTTCTAATTTTAAATAACATAAAATAAACAAATTTTAAAAAATCATCAAAATCGGAGCTGTTCTTGAAGACTTTTGATGAAAATGCTTCATTGACGCGACTATTATATCATACATCAATTGTATTTTAAAGAAACACTGATATTTAAAGATTTCTAATGTGATTCGTAAATGAACAACTAACTGAAACTGAACTCACGAAAAAAACTAAATTAAAGTGCTACAGCATTGTACTTCAAAAAAAGTCAACACAAAGTTACAAAGTCCGCGAAAGGCTCTTAAGGGTATCCCACTATCACCATTTTTTACCTTTCATATTTATTGGAATAAAATATTTTATTGACGAAGTGATTTTAAACAAATCAGGCGTAACCTATTTTTCTTTAGACGATTGAGTCTGTTGGCTTCCTCCAACGTTATCTTCGTTTATAAGGAAATTCTAAAGTAATTATTTTTATTTAATTTGGGCTATACTTCACACAAAATTATTTTTTTTTTTCTGAGATTAAAAACCAAATATTACATGGGCCAATCTTTAAAAACTTTTTGAACTGTTTTTCAAAGCTTTAGATTTCAGTCGGCCTCAGCGACTAGCTAGTGCACTAGCGTAAAATACTTTTGAATGTACTCAACCGTGAATCCATCCGGTCAAAAAGCATTCCCACTGAAATAACCGTTACTCATTGAGAAATGTCCCCTTTGAAGTATATTCTCTGTCTCTTTTATTTACACTATGTCTTGCTGCATACGTCCATTAATCAGGCGTTACACGCATGAACCTGCATCTGTTTGAAAGTCCCTAGGTTTTAATCCCGTATATAAATTGTGTTGTGGTGAATAAAAAAAATTTAGCTCTATAATAGGTGCACCTGGAAATGCATTACAAAGACATATTTATAGTTATTTAGAGTAGAGACTAAACAATACCTCTAGTGCAGTGGTTAACTCCTGGCCTATGTACGCTATTATTGAGATGTGTCGTATGTGTATTAACATACATACGTCACTATACGTAGTAATATGCTCTAAAGAACGCACTGGACTCGCGAAAACTATTATAACAATAAAAGTAGTCTCTCTAATGCGCGGGCGTCATAACCGATAGTCTCGATACAGTCACATATAAAAAAAACACTTTGCAAAAGTGGCCAACCCAAAAGCGGCTAAGTGCGCGCTGAAGTAGGTCAAACATCGTATGGGAAAAGTAAACTACCCCTGAATATCATTATTGTATTTCATATTTGACTTTTATATCTCCAACGCTATCTCTTAATGGTAACACTTAAATATAGTATTGCATAGCAGCTGTAATTCGATATACATGTTAATCATATATGTTTTTGAATAACGAATTTGACTTTAAATCGGCTGCAATTGTATATAATTTAACATGAAATGCCTATTTTACAAGACCGGTTTAACAGTTCAATAATGTTTTTTAATGTATGATAAGAGTTCCAATTATCCAAAAAGAAAGTATTTTTGTCTGTCTATTTAGACTTCTATTTTTTAATTTAACTTGATATAGGCAAAAGTTACACCAGCACTAACTGATTTATCACCGTTTATAAAAGATATAAGTTTAAAATGTAATAAGCCCTTTAAAACATATCTTTTATAATTCTTCTAAAGAGGAACAGGCCCATAAAAAAATGATTGAGTGATAAGTGTGGTCAGCCCTTAACTATATATATATATATATACATATCTTTTTATTAATTCTTCTAAATGCTAGTGTAACAAGCCCATAAAAAAATGATTGAGTGATAAGTGTGTGTCTGTGTTATTTATAGTAGTATCCATAAATAAGAAAATCCTTGTTTTACAATTAAAAATGCATCATTTATTAGGTAAAAATTTTCGTGGGATGTGCAAAATTGCAAAATTTGCAAAATTTAGGACATGCGACGTCCCAGGCACAGCTAGTTTTCTTAACTCGTAGATATTATCGGAAACCGTACTATCAATTTTATTACTTGACTTAACGAGGTGTCTCACTATAATTAGGACACATTTCACCTGGCTACGGAGTCTTTGGAATTTCGCTTTGCTGTCTAACACGTGCGAACGAATTATGTACAAATATACTTGTGAGTATTATTTCACCGACTTCATTCATTATTTATAATTAATAATTCTTTGTTTCTGCTGCAAATTAAAACAAAAATATTTCAGATTTTCTTGCCCTCATTTACCAAAGTGTACACTCATACGACCAAGAGGTAACAGAACCCATCCCGGTATGCCCCTGTGAATACACCTACAACCCAGTCTGTGGCTCAGACGGCATCACCTATATGAATCAGTGCGTTCTCGAGTGCAACAGCGACCTTAGCGAACAGGATCGGAGGGGTACGATCGCAAAAGTTCGAGACGGGGAGTGTTCGCAATGCATCTGCCAGAAGGTCGACCTCCCGGTCTGTACTTTGGAAGGACTGACCTTCCCTAACGAATGCGAACTCGGCTGCGAGAATATAAAACGCATTCGAGCTAAGCAACCGTTTTTGAATCTAGCGTACCGAGCCGGTTGTATCGGCCCGTCTACGGGCTGCACGGACATAGCCGCGCCCGTTTGCGGATCCGATAACATCCTATACAGAAACAAATGTGTGCTGGACACGGCTAATTCTATCAGCGTCAAACGTGGTGGACCCGCCATCTACCTCAAAAATAACGGCGCCTGCTTAGAGAGCTGCCTGTGCCCTCTCGAACATCAACCGATCTGCGGAACTAACGGGTGCTATTACGAGAACGTGTGCTACCTGGTCTGTCAGAATAAGTTCAACTACTGTTCGAGGTACCCCGACATCGGTATCGCAGACGAGTCTGTTTGCGACGGCTGTTATTGTCTAGAAGAAAAGAATCCCGTCTGCGGAACCGACGGCAGAACTTACAGAAACCCTTGTCAGCTAAACTGCGAAGCGAAGAGGCGGCAAAGTAACTTAACCATAAAGAACTATGGATCGTGTACAGGGTGTTACTGTAAAGATGATAAGATTCCCGTTTGCGGAACGGATCACAATACTTATGTGAACGAATGTCAACTGAGGTGCAAGAATAGCAAGCGCGTGGACGGATACAGTATAGGAGTCTTGCACCAGGGCGCGTGCCAACCGGAGGGGTGCTCCTGTAACAAAATATGTCCGCCTGAATACGAGCCGGTTTGCGGCACAGATGGAAAGACCTACTGGAATTTGTGTTGGCTAAATTGTAACGCCGACTGCACGGAGAGACAGCAAAACACGAGACATACATTGTTCGTCTTGAAACAAGAGTCGTGTTATGCGTAATCGAATCGGGTCCATGGAAATGGGAAGTTCAACTGAATTAATATTATTATTCGATTTCAAGATTTTGTTTGTGCACTTTTAGGTAAAATCTTATGTAATGAAATACTAAGTTAATATCATCCGTCAGTTAAATTTCAATAAAAAAACTCACGATTAACAATTCTAAACTTCTTAAAAAAATAACCTATCTACATGATACACAGTAATATATTGTAACAGGGAAGCTTTAACTTTAAAATAAAAATTATACAACATAATATGAACATTGCTCGTAACTTTAGCAGGCGTTTTATTTTAGTAAGCATGGGTGCATATAAAATAGAAGGCAAACATAAAACAGAAGGTTAACCTGCGCGAACAGGAAGTAGCACAAAGCGAGGTGAAAGAGCCACTTGCATCATAGTTAGCGCCTTTGTCGTTAGAACAGGCGATACCGAACGCCTCTATAATTTGGAGGCGATATTAAAATGTGTAACGTACTGGTGCATCTAATAATTATGACCGAGCATAAAAGTTTTAGGACACCTTACTAATCTTAAATGGAAATGTAAATTACAAAATTAAAAAATTAAATTAAAATCTTACAATCGCCAGAATAGTTATTTACACGGATAATAAAATCTAAACAAGAAAGTAATATACTCGTTGAATTAGTAATTAGGTAAAATGATTCGTTTGTATTCTATGAATATTACCAAAGGCCTCGTTACGTACAAACAGTCAATTTCCTGAGCTATAACACAATAAAATTGTTAAGTGAATAAAACGAATTCCAACAAAAGTTATAGACAAACTCGCCTTGGCCATTTTCAAACCGCGCTCGGCTCCAAAACTTAGTTGAACGAAACAAATTTAATTACAGATTGGCGCGTGAATTTCTCTAGTACCTGAAAACTTGTTAATTAGATTTAAAAGCGGATTTTCCCAAGTTTAAAAATGTCTGAAACAACTCCTGAGGCGACGAAGAACTTCGCACCCTTTCACTTTTCAGGATTAGCTGAAGTATAGAAGTAATGGACATAGAGGAGAGCATTGTACAATTTAAAAACCCCCCTTCCATTTTAGAATTTACCTACTTTATAGTTGCCCAACCATAAACCAACATAATAAATAAGTATTATAGTTAATGTATATATTATACAATTCTCATTCATAATATAATAAGAAGACTTAGGTTTTTTTTTAGAAGTAACGTTTATTTGGATCGGCGCGATAGTAGTGTGGATTATAGGAGTAGATTAATAAGTATTGTTTATGACAATTTTTAACACTTCAATCACGATACTGTGATAAATCATCACTTAGAAATGAAATAGTGCTCTATAAAGAAAAGCAAAGCACACTGATACTGCCTTATTTTTTCTTCAGGCGTCTCTAATTGGATGTTTGTAAGTATTCAATAAAACACAAATTGATATTAAAGAAATACAATTTCACGGCTATTTCATTTAATGGGTGGAACGGACGTAAATGTGCAAAACACGTGCGGCGAAACACGTTTTCGCGAAGGGACAATGAAATCTTACGACCGTTTCATTAGTAATTTCTATTGAGTTTTTATTGAAGCGAACATCAAATCCACCCGGCAGTGTAAATGGGGTAATATGGGTCTCTGTGAACAATGAAAGTGGTATCTTTTCTTTTAGGAATCACCTTTTTTACGGTCAGCGTGTATACGGAGGCAGGTCCCCCCCAAACGGTGGTAGTCGATTATTCTGAAATTGCGCATCAAGCTGAAGTGAACAAGAAAAATCTTTTAGAGTTTCTTAACAGGACTCAAGTGAAAGAGTTGTATAAGATAAAGTACAAGAATCTATTAGATAAGCTCACTGGTGAGTCTCGCTCGGTCTAACAGACGAAAGTTCACGTTATACAGAAACGTGTGTTTCCTTATAAGAGTTGATAGTTCAAATTAGTAAAGTGCAATATTTTTTAGGTCACAATAACACTCGAAGAGGTTCGTAACTTTTATTATTTAAACATCTGTCAGTTTATTCAAATTAAAAGTCCATTATTAGTTTCGACTATTAAGCAAAAAAACGTACAAGATAAAGCTTGTGGATTATAATATACACAGTATTTAAATAGAATTTAAAGGAATCGCGGAATCGGTTGACGCTAATACTAAAATAACTAAATTCCCAAGATTTTTACAACCCAGGTTCGACGCGTCGCATCGTTTCTGGTCGAAACACGTCAATCGCAGCTGTTCCTTGGCAGGTTTCTATCAGGGAGAAGACGTATCCGGTTTGTGGAGGGTCCGTTGTTACCGATACTTGGATCCTCACGGCGGCACATTGCTTATTACGGTAAATATTGTAACAACAATTCCATCTACACCTAAATGAAAATCTAGGCAAGGCAAACGGAAAAATGGCGATTCACACGCCCAATAAGCTTAGGACCAATAAAGTTCAATACTCCAAACACATACCTCGTTTCCAGTTGTTGATTATTGTGGCGTGTCAGTCCGTGTCGTAATCGAACGACTGTAAAAGAGTTAATACATACGGCACCACACTAGTACACTGATTCTACGAAGACTAACCTACTCTTAAAACGCACTGGACACGCGAAAACTATAATAACAATAACTAGTAACCTCACTAGGACGCGGGAGTTATACTTAATAATTTCAGTCACATATAAAAAAAGACGCTCGTGCGCGTTGGTGTCACCCAAAATCGTCTGACAGCGTGCGCTTATTTCGTTTGGCCGTCGTATCAAGAAAACTAAACTACCCTCATTTATTATCTTATTTCGAACACTTTTCTTCTTTCCTTTCCTCTAAAAAGGAAATACCCAATAAATTCGAAGAATCGTCTGTAATTTACGCAAATAAAATAAATACTTTCAAGGCCTGAAAACGCGAAATATATTTAATACACAAATTATATTTCGTAGTTAGGAATCAACAGCTAGCTAATTTACTTTTTGTTTTAAACCGTTAAATATATTTTAACTATCAAAAAAAGTAAAACGATGTCGTTGGTGTAATGGTAGCAAATTATGCCTTATATTAAACGGATAGGTTCAACATGTATTTTTTCTGAAAATTGTACTTTGTCTGGAAATATGGATATTAAATGATAAATGTAATAGGAATATTCCGTACGATACCGAACGGTACGGTAACGAACCAGCGTCCATGGACGAAAAAGCCGTCCAGTTTAACCGCGCTTCAAAATATTGCACCTTGTTTAGATGTTACATGGCTGGAGTGTTTCGCCTACCATGAAATTAACCTCATGCTCGTGTGTGTTCCACTATCAATTCTTTGTTATTTAATACTGTGTCTTACTTTGTACTAAATAATATTAACCACATTTAAATTGAATTAAAGAGCTCTACATTGAGTTTACCTCAATGTACGTATTTCGATAGAATCAATTTAAAACCTTCCGCATATACACGGATTGAGCATTTTATCGAAGTAATCATATTGTGTCGTCGCAACCTCCCTCACAATAAGGCGCGCTCTCCTGAGGGACGTCAAGGATATCGCCTCTATCTCCGCATAAAGGAATAGAGTATTTGTCAGTTTACAAAGCGCAGAATCCCCGTAGTAAACTCGCGAAAATAAAACACGCTGTATCCTCGTATTTTGCAACTTGTACCGCTCGCATATTGGGTGTTACGTTTATAGTCTCCGATGAATTCTCGAATTTATCTCTCGGTTTTTCTCGAGAAAAATATTCTTCGACACGTCGTGGAGTATTGAAATTACTTGTGTTGATTGCTCGCTATGTTTCATGTGGGCTTAAGTAAACGGTCAGGTTTTTGTGGCGCAATTGCATTGGCTTAAGTGTTAGAGGCCCCAGAAAGAGGCCTTACTTAGGTCGAGAAGGTCGGAGGCGTCTTGCACGTACATTACGTATATGTATAAGTTCTAAAGCAAACACCAGTCGAAGTAGTAAATAGTGGATGGGCTCAAATTGTCCCTCACTAGAACAGAGTTGTAAATTGAAGTCCGAGGCATTTTGCGTCGCGCTCCGTGAATTGCAACCTTCCTCGATTTCAATTTATCCTTTCGGCCGATTGTATTTTTTCCAATGCAAAACAGCAATCACCCACACTGCGCTGCTTCTCAAACTGTGTTTCCATAAGATCATTTTCGTCGCTGTACTCAATGCCACGTAGTAAAAACCGATTATTACTAATTATTAATTTAAAACTGGAAAAATAATATCTTTAAACGGTTTAGAACGGTTAATCATAATCACTAGTTAAAATTGTTCACGATTATTTATAATATATTTCACGTTTTGAACCGTCAATACTTTTGACTCTCGCGTAAAGTACAGACTTCATTAAACTTTTACAAACGTGAGAATCAAACGATGTTACTATAAAACCAACAATTATAATGAAACGTGAAAAAAAACAGTGTATTGTAAGACAAGATATAAAATTGTGTTTCTAGCGGCCGAAATATTAAAGCGACGATGTACTAAAGTGAAAGTTTAGGAAACGCTGGCCTAACAGAACAAGATGTATATTTTTCTGTTGAACGTAGGCGGCTCTTTACGACGGCGTCCCCGATATTTATAGTCAAATACTTCGGGAGCGACACGGCCGTATTGTACAATTCTGCCCGATCCCCAGCAGGACATGGCTCCCCTATTACAGACATATATGCCCCCACTTCGCCCTTCGAATTGGTAGAGTTTTTATTTGCACTTCCATTTCATTTGGGCCCATTTATTGAATCTGCCTCATAAACTACGCGAGAACACGCGATTACTCTTCGACCTCTTATTTTTCTCTCGGCACGTTGAAGAGGTACGTTCTTACACCCTCAGACGATGACATAATATGATATTTTATACGAAGGTCCATACTATAACGTATGGAAATATTTTATTGCTGCACATTACACAGAATATATGCTTAGTAACTTAAGTTTCCTAACTGTTCGTCTTAATTTACTAATTGTTTTCGATGATTCGTTTGGGTGCCTAAGCGAGAATACCACTCGAGATGGTGAAACGTCGGTTTGCAAAAATCAAATTTTGATTTTTTCCTATTTTATACTCAGAAATAAATATATAATAATAATAATTCGTAATTTATTCAAACGAGAATCTTTTACGACTTAAAAAAAATCGAATAATAACATTACTTAGTAAACAATATAATTAGTAAAATGATCAGAATAAAGAATACAAATTTTAATTTTCAATGAAAACAACACAGAAGTAACTATAAGAGCCTGCGTCTAATGGGGTCGATTGTACGCTTATTTTTCAGATTATTAATTTGGACAAAAAATTCGACCTTGGCCCGAACCGATTTCTTTTATTATTCTCGCTTAATTATGTCTGAAACTTAAGGAATGAGAAATGGCTTCAAGTTCATTCTTTTATACATTTTAATTTCGTTCAGAGTTTTAAAATAATATTCTATTTAGGTAATACGCTATAATTTATAACCGGATTGATGAATGTGTGTTAATATACCCAAACAACTAAACGGAATTTAAGGACGTAAGTGTTAAGATTAAAATTACTACTAATAGTTAGAGCAACAGCACGGAACGCTATAGATGCCGGTCCAAGTCCCGTCGATCTTGTATTTTTTTTTTAATCTATATTAATTTTTAATATAATGCCATCGTGAAAAATATTAAAGGTTTTCTAAACGGAAAAGTTATGTAATTTGTAATAATAGTCCTGGAATAAACTATAGACTATTTTTAATCCGGAGTATTGATGTTGTCTTGGAACAGTTAACAAGTTCAAAGTACATGTAAATGCTTTCCAGGGCCCAGGCAGTAGACCTGTCCGTCCGGCTCGGTTCATCGTGGAAGTCTCACGGAGGGGAAATGTACGATGTTAAGGAATCATATGTCCACCCCCGATACGTCAGCGGTAGTAAAGCGAACGACGCTGGACTTATAAGACTATACTCACCGCTGAGGTTTTCACCCAGGGTTCTTCCCATACTGCTCGCAGCCAGGGAAAGTAGATTGCCCGCTGATCAGATGGCGATTGTGTCTGGGTGGGGAAAATTAAACGTAAGATTATCGTTTTTTTCATTCTTCACAAACAGCGACCAGTCTCGCGATGTTGGCAGATTGCTCGAGGTCGACGTATCTTCTTACGTTGTTCGTTAAATATTTACGGTATTTCAGACAAGTTCAAAACATTGAAAGACCTGTCTTATAGCTAAATATAGCAATAGCTAGTAGTCAACGAGTCGTGGGTTCGACCCCCAACCTGTTTCTTAGCAATTTATTATTTTTCTGAAACTTGTTGAATTTTGTTTGGAAACTTTGAATATTAAATGTTTAATAGGAATATCCGTCAAGGGTTACGAACCACCGTCAGCAGACGAAAAACAAATCTGAAATATTTTAGTAATAAAACTCAACGCTTATCTTTTGCTATCGTAAAAAAGAAACCTACACGCAAAGCTTGTATTGTTTCATTAATGCTTGAAGTGAAAATTCAAATGGCAGGAAGGCGGTCCTGGGGCTACATTCCTGCAGTCAGCCAGCATCAAGACCATGGCGATGAAGCTTTGTCGCCAATCCGGGTTGGAGAGGAAATCCATAGACCCAGCTAGCATGTTCTGTGCTGGGTCCTTCACTCAGCCCTCTCCTGATGCTTGCCAGGTAGTACTATTGGAATAGGAACTAATCTAAGCATATAAAATAAAAATAAAAATGGTTTCAGCTATTAAGCTTGCTGAACGAGCATTTTACGACTTGTGTCTTTGGTAAACTCCTTGTAAATCTGGAGTGTTTTTGGGTTGTTCTGATAAAAAAGGTTAAAAAATACACCTATGTATATATACAATTGTAAAAAGTTAAGTAATTGTAGGTCTAAAAATTTAGATATATATGGTCTTCTTAAAGTAACTTCTTATAAAGCTGTAATAACTATATAACCGAAATATTTTAGTTTAGGTAATCCATATAGTAACAAGAATATATTTCGTGAGAAATCTTGAGTAATAATTACCACATTTGTTTTCCAGGGCGACAGCGGAGGTCCAATAGTATCAGAAGGGGAGCTAATAGGGGTAGTATCTTGGGGTTTGGGGTGCGCTCGGGGCAATTTCCCCGGGGTCTACACGAGATTGTCTCACACGGTGATCTGGGACTGGATACATGGCTACATCACGACCAAACCTGACACAAATGTCACGCTTTAAATGTCTTATCGAAACCTTATATGGAAAGATCGAACGTTTACCTGAGTTGGGTTCGTCATAAATTTTATGCAACAACTTAAACGGATTTAAACGCAATATCAAAGTTCTTGTATTTTAGGTGAATCTGTATAATGCGTTTCAAACCGTTAAATTTCTAGTATTCCTAGTTTTTATATTGTATTACTTGTATATAGAGTTACCTTAAAATAGATTTTAATATTTATATCATAAGTATTGATAATAAACAATCGTTCAACTTTCTTCTTCATTTATTCGGTGCGTCACATACGTAAGATAAAAAACAACTTTTAAAATTGTGCGCAAACTTAATAAGAACACAACAGCACAACAACATTTGCATTAACAACAAAAGTCATACTAGGTATACATAAGATTAATACTAGGCGTTCAAATTATCCTAATGAGGTAATGTTTGCTTCCGGCTTTGGGCGGGTAGAGCTCAGAACCGAGGTCTATGTTCAGTATAACCTCTTTCAACTTATTGACTTAATTCGACGATAGGCAATTTGGAGATACGCTCTTGACCTTCTTTTGAAGAACAAAGGCTAAATTTTCAATTAATAAATAAAGCCAAAAACTAAGACCACGTGAAGAGTTTCAACACTTAATATTACCCTTAGAAAAGTACACTTATAAGCTCACTAGTTTATCATTACATCTTTTTCACCTACAACTTTAACACGAAATATTACAATATATTTAGTTGCTATAATCTCAACAAATAAATTATCGAACAAAAATAAACAACAGTATTCGTAGCTCAGACTAATGGGAATAAATATATAATCTGAGTTTAATTATCCATATGCGATATTCAAAAAGTGAAGCATTTGTTTTCAAATTAATATTTTTCACCACTAAACGTGACTGAGTTTTTAAAGATTTCCCACAGAAATAAAATAAGGATTGATTTGTTAAGTTTTCCTTCGAGTTAAAAACAAGTTTCGTCAATAACTAGCTTAAAGAAATAATAATTACACAATAACAGTAAAAAACCTCATAATTGTCTAACTATTGTTTGGAACACAATCTATACATAAAGCTTATGCTTATGTTCATACCAATTTGTACCACTTAAACACCCACTGTTATCACAATTTAGTCACTGCCATTAAAACAGTCCGTTCAATATCAAAATAGTCCAAAACAGGCCGGCGACACACGCGCGGCCCTGCGAGGCCTATGTTTTCTTCGCTTGGATACTCTTGCGCAGTAAGTGCAGAGGATCTTTCCTGTATCTCGCGAAGAGTTCCCGCTTGAACGCCTCGAAGTGTTTTCTGTTTTTCTCGTTTTGCTTTTCCCGCCACAAGGGGCGGTTGCGCCGGAGTTGAAGGCCCCAGTGAATCGTGAATATTGGCGACAGCACTTTGAACTGATAGCCAATTAGAAACATTTCGTACACCTGTAACGAAAAACCAAATTTATTTGTGTTGTTTGTTCTGAACGAGGAAAGTATTAACTAATAGTGTTATGTATCAAAATAAGAAAATGTGTCGCATATGATTTAAACTTTGCATAAATGTAAAACTATATTTTTTGTATTGTTATGCGCACATGAGAGCTTGTGGTCTATAGTATTTCTGTAACGGAACTCAATCCTATTGACATTGTTGTCCCCTAGCAACAGTAGCTATACTAAATTAGTAAAGAAAATTTTAATGTTATATCATATTTATTTATTTATTTATTAACAAAACTTATTCGGCCTTGACAAGTTAATCCCAACGCGATAAGATAAAAATACACAATACATTGTATTTGAAATACTTATTTTATTACAATTTAATAAAATTTATATTTCCAGCTTCATAGGATAACAAAAACGACGTAAAAAAGTAGTTAAAATTTATTTAAAGTATAAAATAAATTAGTGTGCAGCCGTTGTGACGGGGGCAAATATTTGTGCTATATTTATCACAGTCGGGAACATCCGCTTACTTCACGTCGTTCATAGTTCTACCTACGTTTGGAAAGACAAGTTCTTCTGAAAAACACTAAAATATAAAGTCTCCTTCATAAAAGGACTCAATTTAATATAAACACATAAAACATAACACGTCCATCTCAAACTTGTATTAGTAAAAATTAATTGAGAAGAATATACTGCAACAATATTTTATTTAAGACAGTCGGACATTTTAAAATGTACGTATGTGTTTCAAACACCTTTCAATAAAAAAACTTATAAATGTATTTAGAAGTAGAAGTTTTTCTAGGTCAAACTCCAGTGTTCTGCGTCACCCAATCTCGCAGAGCAGCTATGTTCGTGAAAACAGTCGGCGATAGGGGCAAAGCACAACCCCTGGCGAAGGAGACCACGCCAAAAGCGGTTCCTCGAAATACAGCCGGACCGCCCGAGTCACCCTAGAATAAATTGAAAATATAAAAAAGCTAGTAGTAAAACATGTTAGTTTAATACGGGACTATTGACGTAACAGTGAAGTGATCTATTCTGTAAGATCAGACAGAGCACCTGAGTTCCATACACATAGCAGAAATGCTTTTTGCGCACCTGTAGTCAAGCAGTATCTTTTCTCTTCCCGTAAAATTACTTCAAAAGATGATAAATGACCACTGCGAAAACTGTACCTGACACGAAGAAACACCGCCAATAAGGAAATGACCTCCGCAGAACATGTTGCCAGTCAAAGCATCACCGTACGACAGACGGCACAGCCAGTGCGGCACCACAGGCACGTTAGCCTCCATCATAATTCGGGGAATCCTCTGGCCACGAGGCTGAAATGCGTGGCTTGAATCACTTTACAGTAGCTAGCTAGGTAATACGCAGGGCAAATGAAGCTACATTACTTTATTTACTAAGGATAATAAACACGATTTTCTCGTAGAGTCATCTACATATTTTCCACTGCAACTTATAAATCTCAAATAAAGTACTAACAGCAGTCAAACCCCATCCGGTAACAGTTAGCCTGACTAATGGGACAGCCTGACCCTGCTGAGGCAGTCGAATGGGCTGAATGGCGTTGTTGAACGTCAGCGGCTGAGCTAGTCTCAGCGCGGCTATATCGTGGTCGAATTGCGGAGTGCCATATTGAGGATGGACGGTGACGTTGGCTACACGAACTATCCGACCACCAGAATCACGTCTCGTACTGCCCACGCGCAGGCGGACACCAGAGGGTTGAACGCTAAAAATCGACAACAGATTGAGTAAGAATAATTGTAAAGCAAAGTTATCAAAAATATCTACACACACTGTCGTTTAAAACATTAACGGCAGGGAAAGCTCTTGTTATACAACAAATTGAAGTAATTTACCGAAAAAGTGTCATTCAACTCTTTAAAAATCTTTTGAACTTTGAGTAAACGATACTACCGAGCTGTTCAGAATACGTGTATTAATAGGACAACTATAGCCTTCCCTAATAAAACAACAGAGTTTTCACTCTTATCCGCATCGCAGTATTGTCTGCTACTATAGTGTAGATGTAGCCCTTTCCCTCCGATAACTAAAGAAATGTTGGCGTCTGAAAAAGACTATGCGATTATAACTCGAGTGTCGGGTCGCATTAATCAATAAATGGCGACGCAATTTCCCCATAAACCGGCGGACGCAATATTTCAGACGCATTAAGAAATTGCACAAAGTTTCCCGAGGAAAATGCTTTTACACTGGCCACTCTCATAAAGTGCAATTTTTATGAAAAAATAACGAAAGCCGCTTCTCGCTAACTCTTTTTTTAGTTTTACGTCTTTTGTTCGAGATCTAGGTTAATGTGTCAAAGGCGTCGCCAACTTCTTATAAATAAGTTTAAACGCTCACGAAAACTAGAAACTATTTTGGATATATCTAAGCAATTTGGCATTACAAGATGGAGTCTGTTTTTAACTAACTTGACTCGACCAATGTTAAATTAAATTATGACCCTTGTAAGGGTTGTGTTATTTTGTTCTACTTTTTATTATCAGAAGACCTTTATGCCTCTCTTCTCCTTCATACATAAACATAAAAATAATATCTCAACAAATTTATTGTAAGTTCTCCTCAGTTTATAAAGAATCTTGCTTTTGTAATTCGATACCAGATATAATAAAGTAGCAGCGCGTTAGGGACATTAAAAACTCATCAAAAATACTTAAAAATAACGCCGTTCAAATTAACCATTACGTTACTCGTTTGACGTCTTGTCCTGTTGCCAAGCGTTTGTTTCCACTGTTAACGCGAGTAAATAAATAAATAAAATATACTTTATTCTCTATAAAATTAAAAAAAAAAATTATATGTGTCTGTTTGTCGTGATTCTACAGAGTGTTCAAAAGAGCAACATAACTGAGAATAACACCCAAGAAACTCAGTCCGGCTTTTTTTAACATGTCTTATAAACTAATACATTGTGAATTTATTAACCTAAGGAGCAATCCATATTACTGCCAGGCGGTCTTGTCATTAAAGAAATCGTTCAGACAATAACACGCCTTTTGAGACAATCTAAATTTTATAACTTTTTTTAAAGATAAATTTGAAACCTCAACTGGCAATGTATTATACATACGAATACAATGTCCCTCAAAGGAATTAGATATTTTATGGAGCCTATATTTGGGGATAGCTGGGTTATCCTTATTTCGTAAGTTTAAATTATGCCTATCACTATTCTTTACCATATATAGCCCGGGCCGCCCCTTTTTTGCAACATACACATACTATATCATAACACTGTGGAAGTAGCTGAAGTAGACTAGACGCGCTGTTTTAATTGATCTTTTTTTACGGCATAGGCTGCAGAACTGAGTTTGCTCGAGGCTTCCTGATATGAGATCGCCGTTGCAATTTGGAGTCTAACGTTATGCCCAGAAAGACAGTTAAATTGACCAATTCTATCTCATCGTCCCTAACCTTAACACTGGTTTTAATTTGGTTTAAATTTGGTTTTGTTGCCATTTAAGAGTACGTTATTAACACCAAACCACTGGACTACTTTCGAGAGGGCATTGTTTACATCGTCATCGTTTTTGCTTAACATATTAAAGACGTATCTCATCAGCAAACTAAACTATCTTGTGATCGTCTCTTATAAGGTGAGGGCTCTTGTACTCTTAAAAAATAATATTATGTAATCTGTACTAGTTGTGAACTTACTTTTGCACACAATGTGCTGCCGTCAACACATAATTCGGGCTAATTATAAACCCACCGCAGAAAGAATTTCCATTCAACACCATTGACACCTGTAATAATTCCAATAAAAAGTATGTACATATTTTGATATTGTAGATATGCCGTAAAGGTGGAATGCTTAGCTGTCAGGAAAACTTTTTCTCCAAGTCTCACTTACGTTACCTGGTAAGGATGTCTGACTATAGAACTGGAACGTCCACCGATAATCTGGCCATTCAGCTCAGGGCATAGCTCTTCTAGCTCCAGGTGCTGAGTGAGGTCTAATTCTGGGACCGACTCCTCACAACATTCACCTTCTGTCGCCTCTTGGAGGTCTGTAAAATTGTTCATGACATTTAGAATAACAAAATAGCGAATACCCCACATCTCAATCAAGATCAAACGGAGAGAAGCATGGAAGAGATCGCTTGGTAGCGAAAGGGCACAAAAGACACAAAATCAGGGGTTGAATTTTATTACGTTTATAATTAAATTATATTATTATTTTCAATTTTCATAATGACGTCTAATATAGAGAGAAATAAATTAATATGATTTTTGACCAAGCTAATAAGACGATGTTAATTACAAACTACAAAAAAAAAATAGTAAATAGACTGACAGAACAAACTTTTGAGATTTGACTTAAGGTTTTTTATAGTTTACGCGAGTACACATTTATATAAACACTTTTAACGATTTAAAACACGAATTGTACTTTCACTATATGTTCATTAACTTATTTTTATATTAACGACGTTTCAGATAATTTGCAGCAGCTATGGTCACAGGGGGAAAATATCTTAAGGTAGTTCATAATTTTCAAGCAATTGCAAAGAAAGTAAAAAAAAAGGTACTTACCGACAGCGGATATAAGGCACAGTACTCCAATTAGTATCCACATGGTGGTACAGCCACTGCCTCCGTTGACAAGTTAGTAGAGCCGCGAACGGTTGTCTTGTGGCGGCCAGTTAGGTTCCTAGGTCCAACAGAGGTCTTGCGCAACCTTTGAAATCGTTACCACGGTCGCGACCTTTCCCCTGGTTTATCAATCTTATAAAGATGTGATAGTGGCATTGAAATATTAAATTAAATCTGAATAAAGTGTGTCCGTGACAAGTCTATCAGCCAGGAAGTAAAAATATCTTAGCGCTTGTTCTTCGGTCTAAAGAGAAAGAGAAAACCATTCCTACCAATATAGCCGTCGAATTCTCTAGTAATATCCCTCCATGCCAACTTGATAGAAGTAAGTTGTATAATTCTAAAGGAATATCATATTTCAGTTGTAATATTAAATTACGATAAAATGCAAAAACTCGTAAAATTTTGAAATTTGCAGGCCAATACTGCCAAGCAGTGTCAAGACAGTGCATGATTATAAAAAAGTAGCTGAAATTAATGAAAGCCGTTTTATTCATGTGCAGTAACATGTAAAAAAAAATAAAGTTTTCAAAAGCCTTTTTATATAAAAATAAAATTATAGTATTTAGAAAATAAAATTTCAATATAAAGAAAAATTTAAAATACTTTTCTTTGTTTTCGTGCTATTTGTTTGTGTATATTCAATTTGCATTTTATTTTCCAGCGAGGAATTTTAATGTGCCATAATAGCATGGGCTAATTTCGTTTAATGTCTTCGCGTGGTCGTATGCATCTACGTGACGACACGATCGTGACGTCACATTCCACACGTCGCGTTCGACGTATAAATAGAATGGCTGTTTTATGTATAAATAGAATTACAGGAATTGTAAACGAAGGAATTTCCTAATAACACATAATAATAAATCAAATTTTAACCTGACCTATCTATAAAATTCATATAATGTAAAATAATCTCCCTATGGCCTCTGGAAATTTCAAAAGCTACTTGAGCTTATTATGTTAGCCACTACAGAATAATGTTCTCCACAGATTTCTATGAAAATACGGTATTTTTAAATATTATTTAAAATCACTAAACGTGTTAAATATGTGGAAAATACCTATCGATAAAGTGGATAAAACGCTAATTTATAATATGGAAATATCTTCTATCGTCGATATAAAAAAATAATAGAAACAGCAGGTAAACACTGGCGAATAAATAAAACGCCTTTAGCTGCGACGATTAATTTTGAATTCTGCAATAAACACATTCTCGACGATGAAAAATTCGTGTCGAAATGAAATTTTCACGTGCATGAAAAACTGAAATTGCCGCTCCTCGATTCGAGCAGGTGGCGATATTAAAATAGTGGAAAATTGATTGGTCGCATATCGATTATTAATGCTGATGATTCATCGACCTTCACCCGTGTTGCCAATGGACCGTGATATTCTGCTGCAATTTATGAGCGCAAAGCGATTTCCGTCACAACGTAATACAGCGGTCTGAACGCTTCTACGCTAATTTTAGCTTAGTACACTTTACGGCTTAGCTTCTACGGCATTGAAAAAACTTCGCGAATATAATAAAATATAGGAGTTAAGTAAAACGCCGTTGCCCCGTAGGGCGTGGGGCGCATATATTTCTGTGTCCATATTGTCACTAATCGGTTTAATTACATGTAAGTACTTGATCAGACTTCTGTGCTCTGCACGTCCGAAAGAATCTTTTGTTTCCCTGACATTTCCTCAGGACCTCTCCCGCTTAACGCAATGCTAGATAGATAACACGTATAAAATTAGGACTCATTTGTTTGTTTCAATTTATTATTTTTTTTTTGGTATAGTCAGATTTGTTTATATATTCTAATATTATAAACCCTGAAGAGTTTGTTTGTTTGAAAGCGCTAATTGCTAGTTCGAATTTTAAATTCCCAGTAGTTCCTGCGATAACAACAAAACGTCATTGGAACGAATCCCGCTTCCGCTTCCGCTTGTCGCTTGCGCTTATTCAATTCCAGTGATTGGGCCGAGATTTAGTTTGCAGTGTCGGCGGGAAATTAATCAGTTTTATTCGAGTGGCATTGTACCGCAATCCGAATTGCACTTTATATTTATTACACTTTCTATAAGCACCTAATTAGCCGAGTAACAAAAAATTGCACAGAGAACGTTACGAAACTACAGAATGCATCTAAATTAGCAAAAAAAATTGTAAAAAGCTACGGTATCATTTTTATATGTACAAAACATTCCTCGCATAAAATATAATGTATCTGAGAAGGTCAATGACCTTCCGAGTGCAGCTAAACCACAATAATTGCATTACACTGCAACGCTATTACAACACGAACAGAAAGCATTACTCTTTCGTTTTCACTGACAAAGGAAGTTTACCAATTCTTTTTTCAATTTAGTTCGATTTCTTTTGAAGTAACACTTGAAAATTTATTTTGTAAAGACACCTTCAATTGTGCCAATAAACCCATACTCACGAGTTGTAATCGACGAGTTAACAATTTAATTGTGGGTCAAAACGCTTGAATTGTTCTATAACTAATGTTCTGTCCTTTGCTTAACAATATTCCTTCGATTTGGAAAGGAACATAGGTAACCGAGTACCTATAAAATATTGTCTGTAGTTTAAGCGAGTAGTACATTATCTTCCCGTAAACACGGCTGTTGCAAAGAATCCGAAATGTCGGCTAGTTGTTAAAATAATTTTTAAATAAGTTTAACAAATATATTTTGCATTTTAAACTGTTAAAGTGTTTTTTTTTTTTAATGATTACTTATAAATAATAACGATTACTGTAAAGGAGATTATATCTCAACTAAATATTTGTCTTATTCTTTCTTTAACGAAATCATAAAGCACTATTATCGCAAAATACACAAAAACAAGATACTTAATAGAGTAGTAGTACATATATTGTTTCAGTTTAAATAAACGTTCAGCTATTTTTGTCAAAATATCGTGTTCCGAAGAACACCGAAATTTTTAGAGCTACCACGCGCCCGCGACCGACATGTTTTGGAGTTCCAGGATAAAGTAATATATACATGGCAATATCAACTTTTTAAATCATTTTCATACACTGCTAGCGAAAAAGATTTTATTATTACGTCAGTTGGAGTCCTATTGGGAGTACTCAATAGTAGTAGTTGTATAGCGTATAACAATGTCAATAAATCTAAAACTACCCGCGTGATTAGAAGAAAATAATTATATATTTCAGGAGTAATAAGTATGGCATTATTTTTTCATTACAAACTAATATTGCCGTAAATTTTTCTAAAACTCATAATAGTTTGATACAGTCAGCGTTAGATTTGTGCCAAATGCCCGCTTGGCTCATCTCCACAACACAACACACAAGATGGCAGCCACGCTGCAACTTGAACTAATCGTAGAATGCATTATAAATTCGTCGCTTCAATGTATGTTTCGCCATTAATATATCTATCATTACATCATTGTAATGAGCAATCATTACTTTGCTATTTGATACGATGCCAAAACAAAGTGGAATACAACAGAGTTTTGAGAGAATCGTGAATGATTTAATAAGTACGAAGAACTTCAATTTACTGAACAAGTTTTACAACTGAAAATGGCGCATTACAAGACAATGTATATATTTTTATACATTTGCTTTAAAGTTTTCGTGAACGCACTTGTATCGAGGGGTCCAGGGTTCGAATCTCAGGGAACAATAGATTGTTTGGGTCGGAGAAGACACAAAAGTCTGATCAACTACTTGCCTGTAAAAAAGATCGAGCAGCGAAATAGACGCAGACATTGTATAAAAGAACCCCGTTCTCTTATACAATGTCTGCGTCTATTGTCGTCGTATGTCGCTTATAGCATTTTTGCCCTAATTAAATAAGTACTTCCCTAATATTGTAGAAACTTTGTCGGTTAGCTAGTGAACGTATTTGCTTGTAATACAATTCTGGATTCATAAATGCGATATTAGCGATCGCAATTCCGTAAAAAGCTTACAAATGTACAACGTAATCCTGCATCTCCCATACATTGGCGAGCGATTTGGAATCTCATTAATCGGATTCAATAACGCAGTGGCGCCATCTATAAATTTGGTCCTGACCAATTACTGGCCGGGGCCGGACAAAAAGCGTTATTTATGGTGATAATACGATCACAATCTCTTTTTTGTTACTCTAGTGCTCTGCAAAATTTTGTCACAATTTGCCATTGAGGGGAAACGACAAAAATGATTAAAGCGAGACAAAAGGACTTAATTTACCATTGTAAATTTGGGTTATAATTTTAAAAGAGTTTATTATTTATGTAGGTCACTGAGAGGCATTAATAAACGCGGGCGCGTTCGGGGATATGTTATGTCGTAACGGCTAGTTCTTTCAGTTAATCAGACATTAATACATGTTAATCTAAATAACTGCGCTCTGGAATCAGAATGAGGTTCATTCAGGGTTGTCTCTTGTAGCAATTCAAAGCAGCATTTTGCAAGCCAATTAAACGCGGAAAGCGTTTTAAAGGGCGATATACCCTACTTGTAGAAATATATGACTAAGTAGAAATGATATCTAATTAGTAATCAAAATTTAATATTCATGAATGCAAGAAAACCGATCATATAATAATAATAAGGAAAGCCTCTATCCACTTCATTAGATTAAATCACAATGTTTTCAGTGAAACTTTCTTAGGTCTCTGAGTACAAACATACATTCAGATTTAGTTACGATTCTGTAGTACATAGGAATGTTTTGATAGTCTATAAAAATGGAGTTATATTAGTTTTATCGTAGGGGATCGCTCTGTTTATTATCTTTAGGATGCTAATCTTTAGTTTCCTTAATAAACAAAATAAAATTTAAGTTAAAATAGGTTTTTGTATATTAATGGTAATAATACTTAAGAGTGTCGCTAGAAAATAACAATACAGTGTAATATAACAATAAGTGTCACCCCTAAAAGCGAGTTAGTTTGCGTTGGCGAACCGCCAAACCGTCCCGGGCCATTTGGTCCTAGCGCGGTCGCAACATTCGCTACTGACTGACACAGCATTCCAAACGGACCGCTTTTAATACGTTCCTTGTGGGAGTTCTTAGCAAAATTACAATCTCTTTAAGACAATTGCAATTTTTAACCGCAATAGAAGAGACTTTAGTGTTTATGTGAAACAAAAACTGCTTCAATAGGATTATTATGACGTAGATCATTTTTTAAACGATAAAAGTGTTTGGAGATTGGAGGAACCCGTTTTAACAAAAAAAAGATGTGTACATCTTAGAGTACGTGAATACTGTAAAACGAAACTAGGCGATAAAATAAGTGGCAGCGAGTTCCTTGCCAGTTCTTGTTGATTCTACGTTATTAATTGCGCCCAGTTACCTACGTGAATAAATGATTTTTGACTTTAAATTTAAGTTTGATAAATGTGCCGAGCACAGGGTTTGAACCTGCGATAGTCGACAGCTGTTGTCATTTATTGAAAAATAAGCTCTCATGTGCATGAACATAGTATGACAATATACCAATAATATTAACCAAGCTCTACATCATAATTGTGTAATTATCGTTTCAGAAAAATATATTGTATTGTTCCTATAATTAGAATTTACTTTATTTCATTTACTTTTTAAGTAAATTTTAAACTAAGCTATAGATTGAAGATTACAACGTTTATCGCTACGCCAATTAATCTTCACTAATCTTCGCCATTTTTAAGGACCTAGATGATAATAATGAAAGCTCCAAAAAAACACATGTATGTTTACCTGCGTGTTCCTGGTGAAGCCGTACCCCAAGAACCTCTCGTCATGAGGTGGGACGGTATCGGGAGCTACGTAGAAGGGCTCGTACAGAAGCTCGAAGTTGGTCACGTTGTGGCTGATATGTGTTTCCAGGCTTTCATTGCCGCCGGAGGCTTCCCACCTATAATTATGTAGTTTAAGTTCATCGACAGATGGCGCTATTCACAAATAATCTAAGCTTAATTCGTAACCGCGTTCTTAGGTCCTTATTACTAGTATAACAAATTATAAACTCTCATCAGTAGCAAAGAAGAAACTACTAATGAAACAATGGTCCACAAACTTAATACCTACTAACCTTGTAAAATTTGAAGCGTACTGGTTATAGATGAACACCTTCCTATGAAACGGTATTGCAAGTTTGCTCTTGGACAACCGCAGTAATTCCTTCTTACTCGGCGGAAAGATGGAGACCCGCTTGTCAAGTTCATAGGTCGGTACCACATACGCGCACAATTGACACTTGGGTGCCTTCACCAGAAACTTATCCAGCTCTTCAGCCATGCCCTTTGAAGGAACTATATCTATATCCACGAGAAATGTAAACGGCGTGTGACAGTTCTTTCTAGCCAGGTTTCTGAGATGGTTTTGAGGGTACGGATGTCTTGACCTCCACGCGACGGTATCGGCGCGCCGTTCTCCTACCGGTAGGGGATCGGCATTGCAATTCTTCGCCCAGACAGGTAAATTTCCTGGAATTCCGGGTCTCACCATCGGCATTGTAAGGTGTATAGCCATTCTCGAATACAATTCCGGCTGGCATCTATATAGCCACATCGCGAATGCTCTCAGCAGCCGCAACTCATCTCCAGCCACGAACACCGCCACCGAGATAGGACCGGACCAGTGTACTGCTATTTGAAGCAGCTCGTGCAGCCGTTCTATAGAACTCTGCGTAGCTAAGCAGACTTGTCGATTCGCTGATACGTCTACGTATAGGTCTCCAACAGCCACGTAATCAAATAGCTTATATGAACGAGAGCCGTCCCATCTACCCAGATTCAAGTCCACTCTGGATATTGGGTCATCGTCAATGATGATATTTGGGACTGTGTCAAGACAGGGCTCGCACGTGGCTTCAACGACGGCGGGTTGAGGGGTACTTTGTATGGAACACGTGGGTCTGAGGAGCCACAAGTTTGCCGCGGCGTTGTAGATTATAAGAGCCAGCGCTGCTAAAGATACCAAACTCCACTGTATTCTCCATCGCCACTAGAAATATTGAAATCATTTTAAAAGCGGTAAAACAACAGACGATTATAATAAATTGTGTAAGGCTTTCACGGCCATCGTTCAGCATATTATTGTTTTTCAAGCTGTTCGGCCGACGTGAGCGAGAAGGGGTTCTCGACGTTTCGCCATCAAGAGAAGAATTATCATCATCAATTAACATCTCCAGATCTCCCGATGATGCCGTCCTCTCGTTATCGCGAAACGTCGTAAACCTCTTTTCGCTCCCTGAAAAACTAACGATTATATTATTTGTTAGTCGACAAAAAGGAATTTTGTCGATGAAATGCATTGCTTGGCACAAAGCAAAGCACAAGATTCGAATCGGAATTAAATGAAAATGAAAAATAGTTTCAGTCTGGTAAATACAGGATATAAAAAAAAACTACAATATTTACTTCGTTTTCAAGGACAGTTATTCTTAACACTATACTTACAATTGTGTCTCTTCGTAACTTCGCCATGAGTGTTTGATTTAATTTCATTTAAGTGAATATCATCTCTTATAAGACATCATTGTTCAATTGCAAGCTATTAAATCTTTTACTTCTGAAATAAATATAAATAGTATTTGGTAAACTGGAAACATCACCTATTTGTAGGAATTATTAAAAAATCCAAAGAAATATAAAAACCTTATAAGAAATATTAAAAACACGTACCTTTTACCGCACGGATGTAACATTTATGAGTTATTGGTTTAACAAGCATAAAATTCATACGTTCAATTACAATAACGATCACTATCGACGAAACTATGAGAAAAGCAATTATGTACGAGTAACATATTTTACTATAATATGACTAAATAAAGTATTAGTTGTGTAAATTTGGCTATAAATATTATCCTTTTCGCTGCAATACGCTTATACACAACAGCTGGGTGGATTTAGCAATCCGTGCGCCTGTGCTAAAAATGGGCATGCGTAGTACGTATTATTTATTTTGTTAGTGAGAAATACTTTCATTTCACTTTACTTGTAGAGAATCGTAAATAAAATTTTTCATTTACAAAAAAAAAGTCATACGTAAATTAGACACAATATGGTCCCATTTAGACACATAGACATATTAATACCCATAGGAGTCGAGGTGTTATTATTGATTGCGAGTCTCCACTCTTCCAAAATTTTTAAATGATTACGCAGTGCATCCAACGATAGATTTCTAAAATAAGAACTTCCCCCTTTTTATCATTATTCTCTCCATTGGCGATTGGCGTCTATTCTATTATATTAGCCGCAGGAACAGTAATGGACTATCTGCATTTACACGATAAAAAAAGGATACCTAAATTTATATAATTTTTTTTCATCAGACCTAGGGATCTTGGGAGCTCGTGTTGAGCTCAGTAAGATTAAAAACAAGCTAAAAATCGTAATATAAATTACAATAAATCCAGATTACAGACTAAGTTAAATGCGCATAAGAGTATCGTGTGTGTCAATTGTCAAATTTCACTACTTTAGTACCGTAGTCTGTTATGTAGTATATTGTCAAACACAAAAGTCAAAACAACATGTGGGAGATGCACTTTGTTTAATGAAACAATTGTTATTTCGTAAGGTTAATATTAAGACGTGCATAGTGAGATGTTCAAAATACCAGAATGGGAAGATGCTGCACCATCGCTAGCTATAAGTTTCCACAAAGACAACCCTGTAATACTGCGCCCTGTAATTACCCGCCTTGAGTTCAGCAACTTATTGCGGGGGATAAGTTTTGTAAATTATTATCTATTACGTGTCTGCAATAACATTTAATCATTTACAGAAAACTAAAAAAGTACGTAAACAACAGAATGATACGACAAGTAGCCGTATAAAGGATATCAATGGCAACTCAAGTTCACATCAAAACAAGGTTTCAAAACCACAAAATAAAAAAGAAGCAAACAAGGAAATTCCACTAGCAACTACTAAGAAATTAACGAACACCATTAGGAAAAACAAATTACAATCCATTAGCATATTACAAAATGATAAGACAAAAACTCTAAAAAAAAAGAAAGCAAAAGAAATTACCAGCAGCCAACATTTACTAGACAATGTTAAACAAACACAAGATAATAATTTTGACGCAGGCAAAGATCTCCACGATAGCTTAGATTCAGACTTAAACACAGATAAACTTGATGAAGTTATTATTGACTCTAAGAAAAGAAAACTCAATACATTCAAAAATAAAGAAGAGAAAGATGTTGAGGAGATGTTTGCACAAAACAGCAAAACTGATACAAAGAAGAAGCAAATTTTAAAGAATATGCTGATGAAGGAAAGTAATAGGAATTTGATAAAAGCTAATAGCAACAGCTTAAGAGAAAGAATGTTACAGCGCCTTAAGGGTATGGTTGGTTTGATGATTATTTCATGTGATAATACAATAATACTTAAGGTTTGAATATAATAAAAAACAATAGTTTTTATACTCTGTAGTCTAAGTCTTAAGACTTCAAATGAAATGTGCAATAAATTCAAGTGTCTACTATCCACTATATTAAAGAATTACCCTTTATTTTATACAAAACTAATATAATAGTTAAATTTTAGCTGCACAATTCAGATATATAAATGAGAAGCTGTATACCTCATCGGGGTCAGAGGCCAAAAACCTTTTCAATGCTGACCCAGCTGCTTTTCGGACATACCACCAGGGATACCAACAGCAAGTTAAGAAATGGCCAGTTAATCCTCTTGATGTAATTGTGAAGAGGATAATGAAGATGTAAAATTTTGTCATTTTATTCAGTTCAATCAATAATTTAGGGTTTTTCAATAAGAAACTTTTCACCAACATATAATGAATAAATTTGAGACTTGGAATGTTTGACTTGGGCCACTATGGTAGACATTGTTCTTTAAAATGTGTCCTGGCATACATTTCAGGCCAAAAACCCACCTTATAGCAGACATGGGCTGTGGAGAGGCAGTACTCTCTCAACGAGTGCAAAACAAGGTCCGATCATTTGACCTGGTCGCCTTTAACTCAAATGTGGAAACCTGTGATATAGCCCATACTCCTTTGTTGGCAAACTCCATGGATGTCGCAGTCTACTGTTTAGCTTTAATGGGATCGGATCTTACTCAATATCTTGTTGAAGCAAACAGGGTTTTGAAAAATGGGTGAGTTTGCTAAGTAATACCCACTAGTCTACATATTTTAAATAGATTATAGCTTCTTGTTCACCCCATCGTCCTTGGAGAAACAGGATTTTGCTGCTATGAGAATATATAGTAAAATTTTGGTTTAAATTTGTCCAATATTTCTACAAAATTGTTCTTAAATTTATAAAATTTTCATAATAGTCTACTCTAAGAGTATACAGACTACTTTACACTAACTATTCTAATCTACTTGAAAAAGAAACTTAACAGTGCAATGTACTTAATTTCATAATCATTATTTGGCATTATAGGGGCCACCTACTAATAGCTGAGGTGGAGAGCCGCTTTGACAATGTAAACACTTTTGTAAGTGAAGTGCAGAAGATCGGTTTCTCTCTCAAAAAACTTGATGACAGTAACAAGGTATTCTACTTTATGGAGTTTACGAAGGTTCGTGAACCACCCAAGAAATCCAAACTCCCGCATTTGACCCTAAAACCTTGTTTATATAAAAGACGATAAAAATATAAGCGACTTTTTGGAGTATCGGTTTTTATTTAAATAATCCTATCGTATATGTATAACAATTGGGAATTTACCCCTTTAGCCTCATTTATTATGATAACAATAAGAAAAAACAATCATAATTCATAATACTTTAAAATTGTATACGAATAAATCAATCATAGTTACATATGTTAAATCTTCAATTCTTCCATCACGTCTTCCGCTTCCGCGCGTAAATTCTCCACTTTTTCTATTAACATCATCTGTGGATTATACACATATGCTTTTGAGATTACATTTTAAAATAACAATAATTGGAATGAAGTTTAAAGTATGTCTTTATAATCAGAGCAACATTACCATTTTATTTTTATGTCTTCTTGGTCATGCTGTTTTTCAAGTGAATTACATCTTAAGCAACAATACAATACACATGTAGAAAAGTATGTTATACCCGCGCAGCACTGATGAGATGTTGTGCTGCAGCTCTTGATAGATGTTGGACCGAGGAGGTGAGGTGGTCGACGTTGGCGCGGGCTATTTCCTCCACGCGTTTGTAACCCGCACGGTACAGTTGCATAGCTCGAGCCTATACAATGATTGAAGTAGTAAATGAGTACAGAAATTTAAATAAAAAGCCTTAACGGTTATTTTAACACAGTCCTACGCTTGAATGCTTTGCAGCAGCCGTGGTCACGAGGAAACTAAAGATGGAAGGTGTCTCTCATGTCAAAGTAAAAACTGGTCTGTAGCAGAATTAACGATGTCTTCACGTTTGCCGGTATGCCATTTTTTGGAATTCAGCTTCTTTTTTACCACAACAATACCGTGCGTACGTTGCACGTTGATTCACTTTACCTACCTTGCGGACTGCGGGTAGTTCCATCAGGTGTTCCAACTCAGGCATGGCGCAGTTTCTTAGCCGCGTGGCTAGCTCGTGAAAGAGGGCGCGCAGGGGCCACAGCGAGTCCCATTCCTCGCAGAGACGCTCCGCGCTCGATGCGAACGAGCACGATGACGTCATCACGGATTGTACTGTGCCGCGGGATATGTTGTATCTGTAGTTTAGAAATAATTACCAGTCGTTAAAAGAATGCGAGGAACGACAAGCACTTCATCGAACGTTGTCCTAAATACTTGTTGAGCCAAAATAAGTCGCTGGAGTTTATCATCTACCATCAAGTGAACCCTATGTCATGTTTGTCCTCCTCAATCATTAAAAAAATCGAACTCGTTCAACTGTTCGTTGGCCGTATTATAATTAGTAGCGTGTGGTAATAAAATAACGATATTAAGTCGTAAAATTTTAGGATAGCGTATAGGACGGAAGCTAACGTAGCTAAGTGAATTTTTCGCTGCTCTTCGTTTAGTTGCTTTCAATAATATATTAAAACTGAATTACTTGTCAGCCACCACCGAGACCGGCATCAGCCTCCAAAGATCGCGCAGCATCAGGGCGAGGTAGAAGCGGTTCAATACGTTTTCAGATATATTCTGTAAAAATATTATTTTATTTATTAGGGGCCATCGGTAGAAAGCTGGGTCTCCCATTACCCATTTGCGGATAGAGAAGAAGGTTATAAGAATATAAATTAATATTGGTTCATTTTTTAGTTCAGTTGACTATTATGACTATTATTCTATATGGGAATCTTACCGTGATAGGTTTCCCAGTCATCATCCTAATGGCGTTTCTCTCTGTGATGCCAAGGATCTTCGCAGTTTGCGCTGCCTCGTCGTCGAAGGCGGAATACAGCGAGTAGTAGTGGCGGTAGTCGGGGCGCACCTGGGCCGCGTCTTGTGGTGTTACCAGGTATAGCAAATGCAAACTGCCCAGAAGGACCACGCCGTGGGACGCTTTATGGGCGTCCTCGAGGAAACGACGGGCCACGCCCAGCTCTAAACAACCTAGAACGCAAAGCGAGATTTAGGCAAATTCATAAATAAGTGACATGAGGTAGATGTTTTTTTTAATGCTGTGAGAAACTAAGGTCGGATTTCTAGTGTTTTTGTTCTTTTTAACTTATAAAAAAATGTAACGTTTTTGCTTATTTAAAATAAACTCTATATTTCAATAGTAGATTGAAACCCTAGGCACATGACATAAGTTTCATGGTGGATCAGTAGAAAGACATACGACATTTTTCCCCACGACAGGTTCGGGTGCCGCCAGTGACCTTATATTCTAAACATCACTTTTATCTCATAATATATAATTGAGAACATGAAGTTCACTGAATAAATTGTGTATAATAAAGTATTAGAACAACTAACTCTTTATAGCCGCTTTTCCAAGTGTGCTCACAGCCAACTTCAGTTCATTATTTTTGAGATCTTCAGTGGTGTGATCCATCTTCCCAACTAGTTCCAAAGCGCCATTCTTCAAAAGACTTCGCAAGTTATCCTCGCAAACTTCTTCTATGTCGAGAGTTCTGAAATTAAATCATTTTAAATGAGAAGAAAATAATCAGAAACTACACCTTTAATAAATGTAATAAAATAAATTTTAGAGTGCAGTTAAATATATTAAATTTACATGAATTATTATAGATTAAAGCTCATTTAAAGTTACAATGGAGAATTGTGTTGGATGTCCGAATATCCAAAGCCAAAATAGGTCGACAGCAGAACTTGTGTAGATGTCATATGGCTGATTTATTTCACCTCACATCAAGTGAACCCTCGTCTCATCCTCATCATAAAAAATACCAATTCAATATAAGTTTTAATACATAAGATCTATGTTTATATATAACACTCACTGTTCGGTCTTAGTCATCAAAGTATATCGTAACAAATCCTTTAACATCCTAATATCTGGTGCAAGATTTAAGGCAACAGCGCTCAATAAGAGGCCGCTGACACATTGCTGTAGCTGACTCCGAACCGGTGGAAGGCCTCCCGAGAAAACGGACCGAAGTCGCGGCCAATATTGATCGCCACAAATTATAATACTCTCGCCTGCAATATTCGAATTCATTTATTTACACAAATATGAAATAAATAAGATTCATTTATTATTTAGCTAGAGAACTCACTTTGAACTTTAGAAGTTTACATGGAAGATTACATAAATTGAAGAAATATCTCTATAAAAATAAGAAAACTTGTAATATTTGTTACATGATGGCATTATATATAAACATAAAACCTAATGCGCAAGAGTTAAGGTTGAAATCACATTGCGCGAGAGAGAGAGGCATGTATGTGTAATAGGTTGAAAAAAATCGACGATGAGGTGTATGTAGGACACGGTAACTCAATTCCTTAGTCCTTCCTTCAACTTGCATCTACAGAAGCAAGTTGAAGTCCTGCCCGTGTCGTAAAATGTTTTCAGTCTAAAATCGATTTTTAACTCAGATCAGAAAAATCTTTCCAAAAGTTACCTGCATCACACACGCCCGCACGGCCAGCTCGTCCGACCATTTGTCGATAGGACGAGAGCGAAATTAATTCTCGACCAACAAGAGGCGCGCGGACTATGACACGGCGCGCGGGTAGGTTAACGCCGGCTGCTAACGTCGATGTACAGCAGAGAACTGATATAACTCCAGATCTAGGAACAAAACACCTTTTTATGATAGAGGAGGACAGACATGGCGTGGGGTTCACCTGATGGTAGGTGATATAGTCCAGCCGAGCCAGTCGATAGCGCATGCGTTCGTAGATGCAATCTAAACGAGATGCGCTATCGACCTATTTTGGCTTTGAGTATTCGAAAAGGCTGAAACCGAAACGCAGTTAAGCTTCATGGCTTTTTCATCTGTTGACGGTGATTCGTGATCTGGGGGCCCACCATCATCTCTTAAATCAGTATTAATATAATCTTACATTCAAATAAATAAGCTCATTTTAATATTGTTTCGATTAGCAGTTTTGTAACGTCACCGCAAAACATTCAATCAAAGCGTACCACGACGTGACTTTTGACCGTTAGCAATATTGTTTTTGTCAAATTTAGCAATCATAAAAAAGTTGCTTTCGTACGCTGGAAATAAGATTGTTTTTATATTCCTATTTGAAAAACTAAATATTTAATAATTATACTAAATGATGTAGATATTTCATAAATAACAAATGAAATATAAATAAATGTCTGACACTTGCAAACTTTTAGGTACTTACTGCATTGTCATTTTATGCAATTGGGTCCTATCAACGACCCACTGGCAATATCGAAGGCCATTTCATCGCACAGCAAACTGTGTCCTTAGTTATTGCACAGGTGACCGCTTGCATTAGAATTAATTAATTAATTATTATTTTAAAATAATGTATGGATCTATGGTCTGACAAATAAATTATTATTGTTATTATTATTAATTCTATTGAAATGAGGCAAAAATGTATCCGGTTCCGAAACAATGACCAAGAACGCAACAAAATAAAAGCACAGTAAGTTGTTTTTAATGCCATTATGTTCTTATCCCTGCATGACACTTTTTATGTAGTAAGGTCATATGTTCAGAGTCAAGTCAGTCATTAGCCATAGATAGCTAAACACCTTTAAAGATTTTGCAAGGAAACAATTGCACGACATTCTATCGATGATCTTTTTATTTTTAACATATACGAACCTAAAAGCTTGTTCCAGCAAGCACCTCTCGTCAGCAGCTAAACCAGCATGGTGGTACGCAACTCCTGCGCGAACGCAACGTAACAGATCGGTGGTGGAACCCTCTGCTCGTAACGCGCTCTGTAGCGCGATCCGTTCTGTTGCGCGGTGTGTTGACATTTCACTGTAAAAACATTTTTTATTAATCACCTTTAAGAAGTCTGTCTAAATAAAACATCTTAACGTTGATGTGGAGCAGCCGTGATAATTGCTGTTGTATTTTAAAGCATCCAAAATGTCGCGCCGTAATTAAAAATAATTTATAAGTTTATGTAATATATTTCGCCTTTTAAGCCGTTTAAATGTGTACTACTAAACTACAGACAGTATTAAGGAAGTCTATCTCTTGACTGATCACAATTTTTTACTCTGCCCACCCGTAACATAGCACCTCTCTCGATTAGCACATTAATTGAAGCGTGTGTACTTTACCTCCGTTGCATATTGCAAAGCAGAGCCGCGACGCTTTGGCAATTACGCTTCGTGGGACAAAACACCAAACAGCTATCGCGGGGCACAACTTCACTAACTAGACCGCCTACCATGTCGGGGTCCAACCTGCATCCCGCTTCTGTGTACTGAAATCATAATCAAGTTTTTTTTTTAAATTATGGCATTTGGATCTTCACAGATTGAAACTGAAACGCGAATAAAATTCACGAATTTTCTATCTTTAACCCAGATTACAGGACGAAGTCCAACATGTACCAGAAAAATTATAAATGTTAGACCGGTTGATTATTTGCAATACATTGCTACCACAACACCAACGAGTAAGTCAATGTTCATTATAGATTTGCAGTTAAACAATATATTGCGTGATTAAGACTTGCTCGGCTTCCATGAACACATTTTCGTGTTTTATATGAATCAGATACTTACATTAAAAGCCAACTGTCTATCAGGAACCAATTCCATTCCATTTGAACTCCAAACAATTCTGTGAAGGACACTTCCTAGTTTCACATACTCTGTCAGTTCCACTGGACGGAACTGTCTTTGGAATACTTCTGCTTGCAGAAATGTGGCTAAGTCGGGTAGATTGCCTATAGTTGCACTCATACCCACTATTTGTATACCCTCTGAAATTGGATAAAAACTTAGTTAAAGTGCTCTTTTTTGACAAAGCATAACATGTTGTACTTACTATTTGCAAAGATGACTGTAGTCAAGAGGGTTTCTAGGGTTCCTCCCCTACCTGACTCTCCTATTAAATGCAATTCATCTACCTTAAAGAAATAAGAACTTGATTATTTAGAAGTAAGATTGGATTAGGCATGGCAGTTTTGTATTTATCAGTAGCATTGTATGCAAATTTTTAATAACATTTTATTACTAAATAAATATTTGATTTAATTACATTTACAACAGTTATTTATACCAGTTCAAAATGCTAATATAAATTATAAGTTAACTTATTTACAAAAAACACTAGATCCCTAATAACAGTTCTTTAAAATACCCAATAGGCACCCACCCAGCGCTTGCTTAGTAGTTTTGATTTTAACATGAGGGACACCCTCTATTTTCAGTTCCCCTATGAGTATGGCTGCTGTTTCGTGATTTAAGCCGCAAAATGGATTTTATTTAAATGTGTTCTACTAAACCACAGACAATCCTTAATTTAAATACATTAAATTAAATAACAATTTGGATAAAAAACGAAATACTCACCACAATCAAACCAATCTCATTAAGTCTATCCAACTCAATCAAATTTCGAACTAAAGCCAAACCCTTTTCAATTGTAGCTACATATATACTATTTTTCTTTCTTCTTTTCTTTGGAGGCAAATGACCTTTGCCAGCTGCATATTCTTCCACTAAGAAGTCTAATTGTATTGCAAATGGGGATAAGGCCCATATCTGAAAAATTTTATAAGTTGTCACTAAAACAATGGCAGACATAATTGTTTCTATTGAACCTTATAGTTAACATATACTTAATTACAATTAATTGGATTAACTCAAAGATTTACACAAATGGACATAATATTGTTTAGGCAAATCAAACATATTAGACAGCATAAAATGAATTGTAATTTTCTACCTAATGTCATACTTGAAAGTTATAACTAGTTAACATAGCTTTAATTGTATGTACATGTAATTTAAAAATTTACTTTAAAAAATTAAAGGGCATGTGCAGGACCAGCATCCATAGGGTTCTGTATTGCTGCTCTAACCAATTTGTGTGTTCATATATTTGAAGATTACCTTTTCCTGAACAATAGCTACAAAAGGCAGAATAAATAGAGCATTTTTTCTCCTTATTAATACTTCACGCAGCATCAAGACCTCAGCAACTAATGTCTTTCCACCGCTTGTAGGTAATGCATAGATTAAATTCTGCCTGTCTTTTATTGCTTTCAAATTTAAACATTCTTCCTGCCAATCTGTAAATTATAATATTGTTATTTATGGCATATGACAGTTGTACACAAAACTATATTATTATTTGAAATACATATCATACAAATAACTCACCATAAAACGTTTCTATATTCCGGTACGTTTTAAATAGACCTCTAGCTATCTTAGGCAAGCCATAAAAACTATTACTTAATTCACTTTTTCCGTTCACTTGACTAGATACTTCACCAATTTCACATTTATTATTTACAATACCACTTTCCCTTATATCAAGTAAAAATGAATCTTCAGTGTCAAAAAGAGTTTCATTATTACATATTGATTGATTTATAACGTTAAAACTTTCTTTGATTTCCTCACTGTAGTGATCTTTTTTAAATAAGTTGTAATTAAATGTGTCGTCAAATACATCTTCTGTTGTACTAACTACGTTATCATCTTTAGAACTCTTAGGATCAACGAAGGACTTCCAGTTTTCTATATTATCTAAGATATTACATGTTTCCAGAACGCCGGGCGAGCCAGGAATATCGCTTGAAAGAGAACTATTACTTTCTGAATCGCACAAATATTCCACTTGATTGCATGGTAACGGTGGTGAATCACAGTTGTCTACTGCGTTTACACGTACATTTCCCGGAGAAACAAAGTTATGGTCTCTCCTTTGAGTTAATTTAACTTTACTTACGCCAAGTCTTCGTCGCTTCGGGGTTGTCGGAGTACATAGTAAAGTAATGTTACGTTTCATCATTTCATTCTTGAAATTTTAATTTAAACACAATTGTGAAAAGATATTTTGATATTATTCTAAATAATAAGAAGCATTTTAACGAAATACTTAAATATAAACAAGCTACTAAATTGAAAATACCTCCATTTCAAAAATACGTGCCATATGTCAATGTCGTTTATCAAGCTCGAAAGTTTGTCGCTATGCACAGACTAATAACGACTTGGCTTGGTTGAAGATACCGTTTTATTGAGTAACGAGTTGCCCGACGTTATTCTTTAGCAAGAAATAAAATAGCAATTAGGCGGTAACAACAGAATATAATGATGTAGACTTAATAAAAATATTTCAGTAATGCAACGTATAGCAAGGTTTCTGACAAATGAGTTTCATTAGATACTTGCAAACCGATCTATGATATACTTATAATTGTATTAAATACATGACATGTTGATTATTTGTGTCTATTTTGAAATACCATTTAATAATTAGTAGAACCAAAAAAACCCAATGTTGTTTAGTAGGGGCTAATACCACTAAGCAAAATTCTTTGTAATTTCTAAAAATAATTAGTACTGACTAAAGTATCTGAAGTTTGATTATTAGTTTGTCTTCTACTTGACGTATCCTATGGCAAAGCTGAAAGAACTTAGAGCACCTTTAATGTGCAGAAAGAACTCGGCGTTTTAATTGTTCTCATCAAATTGGCAGTGTCCTAACTTAAGACCTGCTTACTATTATGGTTGTACTGCTATAGCGGTGTAAAAGAGCGGCCCAACACGACGGCCAGCGTCTCCCTATTGACACAATACCGAGTTATAACGGCGAGAATAAAATAGTAACCACGCCCTTAACGTCCGCTGCAGAAACCGGAGCTGGGCGAATTCAGCTCAAAAATGACCGCGGCTAAAAATAAACGGACGGCGCGGGGCAAGCGAGCCGCTGCGACGTCGCCTTCGGCCGGTCAGAGCCGCCCCGGTCGCCGCGGACTCCACATTCCAACGTCGCTTGCTGCCGGTCTGCGAACCAGTGCCTAGTGACTGTGTGACCGTCTTCTACCCGTGCGACGTAAGTGCAGTGGAGTGCAGTGCCCTAATGTACAGTGTGTAATTTACGTGAATAAGGAATATGGAATCTAAAAATACGCGGCGCCCGCTTCGCCAAATCGGGCGGTTTGCGCTCGTAACTAGCAGCATTAAGTTTCGCGCGGAATTATGTTACGGCGCGGATGTTACAATTTTCGTGGACACTAAGTATATTTGACATTTACACTACACACTGTACACTAGGAATGTAAAAAAATGTAAAACCAATAATTTTTAGGCACATAAGTGTAAAAATATATTATTGTAGAATGAACCACTGACCGGCAATATTTTACATTAGGGCAAGTACATCGGCCAAAGGACTAGACTCCAGGTCATGTAAAAAGGCGAAGGTACTCATGATCGTTAGAATTATTTAAAAATTAACTTATAAAGAAATTTTCTATGTATGTTCTATGTAACCTGCTTAAAAGCTAGATGCTTTAAGAAATTAATAGCACATTAGATTTAGTATATAGTTATATAGTAATCGGCGAAATATATTAGGCGATAGGCATAACTCGACACCGTTGCCAAATATAAAGTTGAACGTGTGCCAACGCGCCATCCGTAGGTGTGCCTATTGGTTGGAAAGATAAAACCGCCAAAAATAACTTCTTGTAAACAATACGGTTACTCGGTATGACGTATGAGATTCTTGCCAAACCAATATCTATTTTATCTAGAATTTAAACTATTATTTCGTGGAAACTTAATGCGCCATTTGTAATCGGAATATTACATACTCCGACTGACTTAGAATTTTAAATAATAGCTTATTTTTACTACAAGCATTCGTTTAATATTTCCTACTTAATCTAAACAGACACAAAAGATTTAGTTTTTGTCCGTTCAAGCAGTCAACCAGATAGTATGCAAGTAAATATCAATCTTCAACATTTGAAAAAATATCTAACTCTTACCAAAAAAGTTTAACCATAAATAACCATGCGTACTTAAATAGTGATACTCGTACTAATAAGAATTGGTTTCATTCGATATGACATGAAACACCACAATCCACAATACGTTGTATGGTTAACCTATTGACGTGATAAACGTTTGTTGTACAACCATAAATACATACACATTATTGATATATTGATCGCGACCTACCAACCAACTTAGTGTAATGCAATCCTATATAGTTATATTAGTTTCGTACGCGCGCAAGCGTCGTTATAAAGATCACGTCAAAGTTGAAAATTTAACTAGAAAGTAGATAAATCATGCACAATATAGAGCTTATAGGGATTGTATTATTATTATTTCTTTACAAATAAATGTTAATCAAGTTAAATCATATCATATCATTTTTTATCAAAGCGCAATATGTGATTTCTTACATAAAGAATAAAACACTAGTAAACCAAAATAATCTCATAAATTTACGATATAAATATACATCATAGTTAGGAATCGAAGGTTAATATACAATAGCGTAATGTATGTTTTGACTTATTGCCAACGTAAACGGTGATTTACATTATAATCTTAAACAGAGATCTGGTTAATGCTAAGCGTGCCAAAATGTTGATTAAATACTTACTCTTCGAAGAGACTAAAATAATAATTTATTAACTTTCTCATAAGTCTTCTCAATGATAGAAAAAGATCTGACAGCGCATCTGAACAAGATGCGCTCTCGACCCATTTTGGCTTTCGATATTCGGAAGTGACAAACAATTTCATAGATACACCAGTAGCGTAGCTAGGTGAATAAGGGCCCCGGTACATAAACAAAGATTCGGGCTCTCATCTACTCTTTCCGCGTAGCTTGAACTTATGTAAGCACTCAAATTATAGATTATCAAAGGACGTTAAAGACATATTTTTCTTTTAAGAGAGTAAGAGCTCCTCTCTCCCCCTGGTAAGCTACATCACCTAGCTTTATGATAGCTACTCCTAAGACATTATATGCCTACATATTTTTGCCTTACATTTTGGAGCAAATCAATCCGAATTTAATCATAACTCATCATTAAAAAATTAATCAACTTATTAACTACATATTTGAATTAGACTTAATTGTATACTACTTTTTACATAAGTGACTTATTGCGTTAAATCCTTTTATTAATTTTTATCAATTTTCTTCACAGAATAACACATTACCAACATGTCTGACGAGGAGGAATATTCGTGAGTATTCATTGACATTACTGAACAGACAAAGGTACAAGGTAAAACACAAATCACAAAGACTTGCATTTGTTTTGACCCCTGGTTTTCATACAATGTAAAACGTAATGTGCTAACATACCCTCCACTCTGTTATAAATGCAAAATGTATGTCCGTAAGTGATAAAAAAATATTGAAACGGGTAGGGCTCGAACCCGCAGTGTGCGATGTTTTGTTACTCTACCAATAAGTTAGTTTATTTTTAAAATGTCTGTTCTATCGATCGATAGTAGCAGACGCCAGAGTGTATAAATGTGGATAAATTATTGCTCGTACAAAAGACTTGTACACAAAACTAAACGAGTTCGAGATCCGCCCGCGTCCAACAATGGTTAATTTCTTCCTGTTCAACCTTCATGTTTTTACGCCCTCCCGTACAAGTAAAATATCAAATTAATAATCTGCGTTCTTCCTAAACCCTATATTTTTTCAACAGTGGCTCCGAAGAGGAGGAAGTAGAAGAAGAAGTCGTAGAGACGTGAGTACAGCGGACGAATTGAATGTTTTGAAACTTAGCTTCGAGGCCTCTCTCTGCCTATCTTCTAGAATCTAGAAGTCTAGCACTAGTTTCACGAGTGTAAATTCGTTTAGTTATTTCTATCGTCAGGTTTGATGCACCCTCACCCCTCTATCTCTTTGTTGCAGGAAGTAAGTGACGCGGCGCACGCTTGGCTCGTTTAGGCTAAGACTATTCGCTTTTAGTGCTCTGTCGCTTCCTCAGCTCTCGAACTCACCCGGCTAGTCGCAGTCGCTTCCGTGTTCACTAACCCGAACTGTGTCTTCGCTTCTATGTGTTTAGCTTTAGACTACGGTTAGAATGATGATTAATCTTGATTTTTTTCCTTCCCGCCCCCGCAACCGCTCTATAGGCCCGCTCCCAAACAAGAGTAAGTAGTATTCAATACTTCGGACGTTCGGTGCTTCGCTTGGTCTAATCGGCGCACTCGCACTTAACAACGCACTAAGGCGGGCGTGTGCATTTCTACTTTAAACCGCTCTCTGAATGCGCTCGCCTTCGCTTGCATTATTTTCTACGTTAAAATGGTGGTCGATGCTGACTCTCGTTTTCTGTTTCTAGGAGTAGACCGTCGATCGCGTAAGTCACACCGCTCTATGGTGTCACTAACTGTAAAACGATTAACTGGGGCGGCGCGGGCGCCTTCGCCCGAATTTTTCCCGACGGCCCTCGAATGTCGAGTGAGCCACGCGTTGGCTATTTTTAACGATCTAGATCTTCTATTTTCGGGTTCGCAATGCGCCCGCGCCGTTTCCACTCACTATTTCGATACCATCGAATAGCTGAAAATTTTCGAATCCGTTAATTCACTAGCATGATTTGATCGAAGCATGGTAATCCTGAGTATTCAAATGCATCGAATAAAACATATTTTCAGTATATATAGTCATTGTCCTGAACACTATCTGAAATCACGTCACATAATACAGAACAAAATGAATTATTTATTGCGATTTCTTGTTATTTTAATAAATGTTAATCTTCATATTGACACTCAGTAAAACACGATGAAAATAATAATAAGTAATAGTTAACGATAACAACTAAGCAATAATATTAACAGATGCTATAAATGTTATTGTGAGCTGTTCTATAATTTACACCGAGCAAATTACACAGTTTATTAATCGATAATTCGATTTTCAGAGGTGAGGGAGACCCAGAATTCATTAAGGTAAGCCGCCACAATTCGATTACTTTTGTTTTTTTTTATATCTACATGAAACCACCTGAGTAAGATTAAGTGGGGGTCTGAATTAACTTTTACAAAATTATTTATTGGTTACAGCGTCAAGATCAGAAACGGTCAGATTTAGATGATCAGCTAAAGGAATACATAAACGAATGGCGTAAACAAAGATCCAAGGAGGAAGATGAGCTCAAACGCCTCAAGGAGAAGCAAGCCAAGCGCAAGGTAACGTCGTACATCCAAAGCCGATTTAACTACGGTAGATAGATTATCCTGTTAACCTCTTAATTATGAAACAGGTATCTCGCGCTGAGGAAGAGAAGCGCCTCGCCCAGAAGAAGAAGGAAGAAGAGGAGAGGCGAGTCCGCGAGATTGAGGAGAAGAAACAGCGCGACATCGAAGAGAAGAGACAGCGGCTCGAGGAGGCTGAGAAGAAGAGGCAGGCTATGCTCCAGGCGATGAAAGACGCCTCCAGCAAAACCGGACCTAACTTCACTATCCAAAAGAAGAACGATAACGTAAGTTCTACAAGTTGTTGTTCTACTACCTACTAGTAAGCGTCGTGTGTTATAACATGAAACCGAATTTAAAATCAATAGAGGGCAATAGCTAGTACATTCTACGAGTAATACATACGTGAAATAATAGAAATAAAGCTCAAAGTCCAAATTTTATTTCTAACAGTTCGGGCTTAGCAACGCTCAACTGGAACGCAACAAGACCAAGGAGCAGTTGGAAGAAGAAAAGAAGATCTCCCTCTCCATCCGCATCAAACCCCTCGCCATCGAAGGTTTCTCCGTAGACAAGCTCCGGCAGAAGGCCACAGAGCTTTGGGAATGCATCGTCAAGCTCGAGACTGAGAAGTACGATCTTGAAGAGAGGCAGAAGAGGCAAGACTACGACGTGAGTTTTCGCTTATGTTTATTTTATAGATTATACTGGGCTGTCAACAGTAAGGAGGACGCTACTAATGTAATTGTTTCCTTTCAGTTGAAAGAGCTCAAAGAAAGACAAAAGCAACAGTTAAGGCACAAGGCCCTCAAAAAGGGTCTCGACCCCGAGGCACTCACAGGCAAGCACCCCGTAAGTATCATGTTAATAGTTAACACTTGTCACTTGGGTAATTGAAGCTTTAATAAATTCATCTCCTTGCAGCCCAAAATCCAAGTAGCATCGAAATATGAAAGACGCGTTGACACACGTTCATACGATGACAAAAAGAAGTTGTTCGAGGGTGTAAGTATAGATTCAACTCGATCCCCTTTAACACAGATCCGCTGCGGACGTAAAGACGACATTGAAAATAGATGTTTAATATATTACTATTGTTTAGGGTTACGATAATCTTATGTCGGAGGGTTTGGATAAATTATGGAAGGAGAGACATGAAGAGTTCATTAACCGAAGTAAAAGTAAGAGGCGATGTGGCGTTTATTTCCCCACAGAGCCCCCGCCCCAGCATGGCATCACGTGTGCCATGTGGCATGTTCTTAACTACCCTCATTTGTTTACCGTACCCCCTCGATTAGGTTAGTTGAATAGCCGTTCACGCGAGATAATCGAGTGGGTACGGTGAGCATATTTCGCACCGTCATTGCCCGTTTATTATTGAACCCCTGTGATAACATGTACCCTAAAACAGGACCTTGAGAAACTCAACAAGGACTTCATAGAAAAGGTGTGGCAAGAGAGGGCCGACCAGTTCGGTGGAAGGCAAAAGGGTAAGTCGATGGATAACAGCTTAGCAGCAAAAGCAGCGCTTATCATGGCCTTTTAACTGTAATCGCTATAAGTAATCACTGAAAGCTGATGTAATAAAAATCAAAGCTGAATGAAGGTAACATGTGCGACTATTAAAGGCTAAATTGGTAAAATTCTCAAATATAACAGCTATGCTGAATAGAAGAGAAGCTAAAGAATGAAAGTATGAATCTATAGGAACACCAACAGTGCTTTCTCACTTCATCAAGATCCAGAGATCTTCAATAATCATCGACTAATGTAGATGTGTGTGTAAATATCGTTATAAGTAAAGCACCTTACTCCACTCATATCTTCTCACATGTAGATATCTTCATTAAATCATCACACCTTAACTTTTTGCTGTTTAAAGTAGTGGTTGGTACTGTGTTCAGTTTATAGCTATTTTTAACATAAAACATAATCTTAAGTTCCTAAATTCAACTATTGGGGGCAAGTAAGACTGGATCAATGAAATTTTCAAAATAATATTTGCAAATATTAGCCAATAACGAGAAAAAATTCCTCGTTTTACAACACCTTACATCTTGTCCTTAAAGGATAGGCCACGACAGATACGAATCAGAACTTACAAAGTATATCTTGACATGTCTTTAAGCGTACCTACAATAACGCTGTCATTATGGTAATAGCGAGACTACCGAAATGGTTCGGCGAGAGGCCCGGCAAGAAGAAGGGCGAACTCGAATCCCCCGAAGGTGAGGAGGACGTGAAAGCCGAACCTGAAGATGAGGATGAGCCCCAATTCGAACCTGAACCCGAAGAGGAAGAGGAAGTCGTAGAGGAGGAGGAGGTAGAAGAAGAGGAGGAAGAGGAGGAGGAAGAAGAAGAGGAGGAAGAGGAAGAAGAGGAATGAGTAAGTTCTGCGCTCTAATATAGACTTTTTAAAGTTATTTGTTTTAGTTTTTCTTTTATTATTATGTATAGATTGTCAGAATTACACATATACTTAATATCACTATTACGAAACCCTGTGATGGTTTAACCAACACAAGATTTCGTTGTAAACACAAGGTAAAGCTACTCTACTTTGTTTCAGGCTAAATCGTTCTCCAATCTCGAGCCGAAGCGGACTGCTATGTTGCGTAATCCATTAACTTAATAAATTATTTTTATTATTTATATTATGTTCACTTGTAACAAACACGGCAACGCACGCCACTGACATCTGGCGGAATTAAACTAATTTATCGATAAGACTCTATCGTTTTATTTACCAATCAATAAATCGTATTAAATTCTTAATTTCCATGTCAGAGCAATAAACCAGTATAAGTTGATTATTTAGATTTTTTAGTTAAACATATATTACTTTGTTGAAGAAAAGCTACAATACTCGCACATCTTCATCTTGAAAAAATAAAACCTTTACCGTAACACACACTTTTTTTTAAACAATAGACTACACAATACATGTTATCAGGATATTGGTGTAAAAGTTTAAGGAAGAATATATAAATCACATATAATGACTAAATAGAAATATTTATTAAAACACTATTATAAACCAATTACATAACTACAGGAATTTTCTTTAAATATTATAAACGTCTTGTCAAGAAGATTTTCATGATTTGTCAGTTTTCTTTATATTCCAATTTAAATTCGCGTAACACGAGCGAATAACACAGAAACTATTTTCTTTTAAGCCACGTTACTAGATAAAGTAGATTTTTTTATACTTTCCTGTATGTATAGTACATCTATCGTCTAAATTAACCTAGAATACGTGAATCAAGCAGCTGGAAGTGCGCTCTCCTTCTGCTTGTGGAGTGGTGTCTTCTGCATTAGGTTGATCTTGTCTCCGAGACTAAGGGCCATACCCTGGAAAGTAAAACAGTATATACATATAGACACATGTGTATGAAATGGCAGAGTTTAACGTTTAAGAACTTTAACATTTTTCACATGGTAATTCGCATGATGGCATTACATAAATAAAAAAATATTTCGATCAAAACGATTGTACGACACGGGCGGCACTTGAACCGGTATCCACAGGTACCGTGCTGCTACTCTAATCAATAGAGCTACACGTCGTAGTCCATTTTTTTTCAACCCATTAAATCTCGCACATTGTAATTTCAACCTTAACTCTAATGAATTGAGGTTCTAAGTATAAGATATGGTAAGTGGTAAATAATTACGTATATGTTAATAATATACCTGGCTCTTGGCGCGTATGCGCACGTGTCCGACCACCGGTGCGTTGGGTCTGTGCAGAGGACTTTCAATGGAGAGGTTGGCGAGGGCGTCTTCACCGAATATCGACCTCGCGTACAAATTCGCGGCCATAAAACCGCACTGACCAGATAATGCCTGAGAAATACACATTTTAAAAGAAAGAACGAAAGCAGATGTTCTTGCAAAAACCTTCTTAGTATATACAATACGCTAACAAAATCGTTGGAACTTTCCAGAATAAAAAGTGAGACTTTTAAAACTTAACTTTCGCCTTGTTATAAGTTGTGTTTACCTTTTTTTAAATATTCCCTACCAACGCTCTAAAGGAAACCCTTCAAATTAAGGTAACCTTCTGTCGAGCTAACCTTCGTTAAAATTTTAAAAATAAAATTACAAAAGTTTACGTTACCTTATCTGGCGTGAGACACTTCATATTTGTAGAGGCCAGCAAATGGTCCAAATATTCTTTCAAGTCGGTGATAGTCGTGTTTACAGACACCTGAAAAATGATATTTTAATAAACGATAATTCTATAGTAGTATTGTGTGGCCATATATTTGTGTCCGTTTTACGGATCAAAGTTGATACGTATGGCTGTTTAACATAGACTTTATGAAGATAGTGTTAAATAAGATTTATTTTTATCGTAAAATAAGTTGAAATCCACTGTACCTTGTTCTCCCATTCGAACTCCGCCCACATGCGCCGGAAGTCCGCGTCAGAGCACCCAGCTGGGTGGATGTAGTCCACTATGTCGATATGGATGTCGTTTAGGACAACCACGCCGCGGTCCAAAGAGGCACCACTCACCTCATAAACTAAACATTAATTTTGATTAAATAACACTTTGAATTGAGCTGAATAAATCAGGGTAACAAAAAACAATATTTTTTTGGTGCAAAATCCCGATTTGGAGTCAGATCAACTCTTTATCCTTTCTTGTTTTAATTTACTTCTACCTGTAGTAAAACCAATTATAACAAAATGTTACAGCTAGCTAGTTTTATTTACCGATATTTCCAAAAATGATGCCGTTCTCGGTGGAGGCAACTTTGACGTGGGCACGAATGGTCGCGAAGTCCCTTGGAGCTAAAACAAGGGGCGCGGGGCGCTCCACAAGCCTCAATTCACCTAAAGTGGCCAATTCCACTGTGCAATTCTGTAGTGTGTCATCTAGAAATACATACACCGTGAAATATTGCACGCAATGACGATTACAAATAACGATTTAAATTCATTCTTCTCACGTCATTTGCGACTCCATTAAAAAAAGCTACTCCTTACGTGTTTAAATTTATAATTTATATATTATAGGCAATACCTGTCTGATTAACGACAAGGACATCCAAAACGATGTCGTACTGGTTGACGGCAACAATCGCTTCCGCATACACCGGGTCTGAGAAGCCGGTGAGTTGACGAACACGAGAGAGAGAACCGCCCGATAGCACACTGCTGCTAGTAGCACGGCCTGAAATCAGACGATAGCTTCTATAAGTTTATTCGGCTCGAAGGACCACCATTTAAACGTTGGGGGGATATTGGTTATTTAACATTGCTTATCCTCTTACTATGCCCATAAGAGTAGCCCATACTGAGCATCTTTATAATTCTAAGAACATATAAGATAATTTTGATGTCTAAGCATATAACTAAACATTACATGGCTACTACCTTGAACAGCTTTACTTAGCGCCACCTCAAACATGTCGTGTTGCTGGGGCGCCGCTGCACCCGCGAGCATTGCAAACGAGATGCCCTGCTCAATCTCCACCTTACGTTCGCTCTTTTTCTCTTTCTCTTGCTAGAAATAAGTATTATTTGACCATTATTAACTCCTTGATTAATATGTTGATTAGAGATTTTCTATCTAGAGCTTTTCAGAATCGATTATAAATTTTCTTATTTAGTATTCGTACCTCGGCATCAGGCATCAGGGAAGGTTGTGCTCTATCGGGAAGTGCGAGCAGGGCAGCCAAGGCGCGCCGAGAGGAATCGAGCAGAGCTTGCTTAATCACTTGAGGCTTTTCAGCACCAGCGCGAACACACATCGCTGCGTGTTCTATATCATCTGATGTTAGCCCACCGGTTTCGTCTGAACGTATTAAAAAATTATTAAACATATATAACAAAAAAATAGGTAACCGTAATAGGACATAGCTAAATGTGTCACGAATCTTTAAATACTTAAGATTTTGCATTGTTCTGGAAATCAATGTATTATCCCTAACATCTGTTTATTTAAAGACGTAAAGATTACAGAAAATGTAATCATATAAAAAAATCTTTTTTATATACTAAAACTTTTGGATTACCTAGTACGAAGCTTTTTTTAGATTTCTTTTAGTTCAAACATCACAGAAGAATAACTATGAATCATTTGTCTGCATTGTATTGTATGTTGTGGTAGAAGTACACGATTAATACTCTCTAGGTATAAGGCTATTTTACAATGTTAATGCCAATAAAAAGACTTACTCGGATCAAGCTTGTGAAAGGCGAGTAGTTGTGCGGCCAAGTGTAACGCGCGAACGGATTGCGCCGGTTCTTGTAGACGCAAAGCAAGTTTACAGAGCGCTGAGCATGCGCACGCCGCTGTGAAGCTTTCACCCTCGCGTAGTGCTGATGTCAGACCGTTTTTCGACGCAGCTGCTGCTGGAGCCCTACATGGATATTTATTCTTCGTGTCAAAGTTAAAGATTTATCACACAAACCGCAGTTTTTAAGATCGTGAGAATATCTTACAAAAATTGATGTATAGTTGCAAACTACAAACCGAGGCTTTAACGTATGTGTAATACATTTTTTTATGACTCTTAAAGCCTAAATACTGTTTGATTGAACCCGAAACTCTTAGTCTTAGGAAATTCTCGACGAAAACTCACTGAGGCAAATTAAATGCGGATTGCGTGGCGTACGTTCCATCACTCGTGACGAGTTGCCGGGGGGCTTCAGCTGCAGTCGCTGTGGTCTCTTCAGGCTACATAAAGATTATACATATGTTAAATACTGATCATTATAGAAAACTTGACAATAACTAATTAAATAAAAGATAACTTAGGACATCAACCTGTTATGTAACCAAACTTGACCTCGAAATGCACTTCTTAATAATTTAGAAAGAGAAAAACATTCGGAACATACATGTTTGCCGTTTGTTCTATTTTTTTAAATAAAACTCTTTCAACATAAAACTCTTAGTATTATATGTATATATATAATTTTATTTAACTATGCGATTTGTATATACATAAATCTTCCAATTATAAAACGCATGGACTATTCCTTGTTATAACAGGATAATTTTGAAGATTCAGAACATTTATTTTAGTTTCAACCCAATATTACATTTAAATATTTATTTTTAATTTAAAATTCGGCCCTCCAAATACGTTGTTACTAAACTTCAATATGTAATTTTTGTATTGTTAAAGTACCTTCTGGCTGTCAGCAGAGTTGGCCGAAGGCAATAGTCCAGCTAGGGTGTCCAAAGCTGCTTTCGCTCGAGAGGGCGTATCCGCAAACTCCGCTACGAGCCACAGGGCTGAGCGAGCGATTTTTCCCACGCGAATATTGCTCACGGATTCTAGCAGTTTCTGTAAAAAGTAATTATTTTTTATGAATTAAAGCAGCATTTTCCTAGAAATTATATAAATATAATAAATAAAATGTCTGAATAACATGACGTAAACTCAACCTACATGACATATATATAACTTTAACCTTTACAAAAATCCCCCTTTTTTTGTTCAATATACTCTTATTATTATTACTTATGTGCATGGTTTACATATTTGATTAGGTAAATTATTTGAATTATTGAGATAACTTTAAGAACATACTTAGCATTGTATAAACTTATTATAGCTTTAGTGTTACCCTTAATATTATTATTTATTATTGTGAAACTCCATCTTCAAGATGGCATTCTGCCTGCCATTTTAGCGATAAGTCCGCCTTTTCTCGCTACATATTGTATTTTTTGAAGTAAGTATTTTGTAACATTGTGGTGACATAAAGATTTTTTTGCTTGTTTCATTGTAATCGTTAAAAATTTAAGTTGTTAAAACCCTATTGTAAATGATATGCTTCAAGATATAATTAATTACAGAGTAGGTGCTGTCGGTCAGGTCAGGGAAGTTGTGGAGCGCGTGACGTAAGAACAGCATAACGTCGTGTGCTGCCGCTTCACTTCCGTCTCCCAGCATCTCCAGCATCGCAGGGGCGACGCTGCCCGCCACTTCTGGGAACTGCAATCATCGATTAGAATCAAGAAAGGAAATTATATTTGGTGCAACCGAATGTCCTCTGATCCTTTTGAAGAAATGTTAGAATTTATATTCTTCTCAAATTAATAAACAAAAATAAATTATAAACAACATTATAACGCGCATAACTTTTTTTAGAAGATTTTATGAACTTTGGTTTTCCATATTTTGTAAACTAAAATCAGTTTATTAGATTGAAAAAAATTTAGATCGCGAGCAGGACTTGAACCGGCATCGACAGCGTTTCTTGCTCTAACCAATTGTGCTGCCGTGTCGTACACGTCATCGTCAGCGCACATCTCAAGCAATGTAATTTCAACCTTAAGAATAATGCTCATTAAGCTTGCTTTACAGATTAAGAAAATCATTAAAAATGAAGTTACTGTCTCACTTTCAATTGTGATAACTAAACAAGAGCATTGTTGTACCTTAACAGCTGCCCGATGTAGCGCCTTAACTAACAGCTGGCGGTACTTGCTCGCGTCGTCATGATCCGCACTATGCGCCCGCGCAGCCTCCTTGCGCAGCACTCCTACAAGCTCTTCTGCGTGACGGGGACTAGCCAATTCCAGTGCTAACATAAAATAGATATGAAGGTTTAAGTTTAATTTTATGATTTAATCTAATCTAAAAAATCCCATATGACCAGCGGTATCTAGCTCAGGTTTATGCCTATAAAGTCTATATCTAAATACATATATTTGTAACTACATACCTAACTGCAATGTGTGACGACGAACATCCAGATCCGAAGCGGCCAGCACGCGCAGAACGTCCATGGCGAGATCGGGCAGTGCACGCGCAGCCGCGTCCCCGCCCGCTTCGCGCAGTGCGCTCAGCTTACCCACCACGATTAACTTCACATTGTTATCACTCTCCTTCACTATAAGTTCAATGTAGCATGCAGCTGCTGCCTAAAAGAACAAAAACATAAAAACTGTAAATGAAAATATATTTTATGAGAGTAAATATCCTTCTTTATAGAGAAATATTTTGAAACATAGATTTAGATCATGGTAAATGTTGTAAATTAAAATATATTGCAATAAAATGAAAAGTAACTAAGTGGTCCCTACTTGACAGCTCTAATATACTACGGCTAAAGTGCACGTGTGTACCAATGATATCAGACTTATCTATTTAAAATATTAAACAAGTTTAATTAAAATATTAAAAGCATTAATATTTAAAGTTTTTCGACTTTAAAAAGAGTACCTTGAGCGCAGCCGGCGCGTTGGACAAAGTGACGAGAGTACCTGCTGCTTCGTATCGAACTGCAGCGCTTGGAGCGTTCAGTAGACCGTACACGGTGCGAATAAAACGCGACCGCTCGCCCGGATTCGCGTGGCAAACCTGAATCATGGGAAACAAAACATTTGGTAACTTAAAGTTCCTAAGTAATATTCTTACAAGTGTGGACAAAATTAGTATCGCAAATAAATTTTATCTAGTTTTTAACACTATTTTATTTAACACTTAGAAAAGAATGATTTAAATATTCTAACACTAATTACAATAGCAGTAAGAACTACTTTATGAGCATTCTTTCGAGTTATTCAGACTTTTTTCTTTCATTAATAGTTAAAAACTACAGAAATATATTGATTTAACTAATAATGTATTTTAGAACCCAAACCTTTATCATGGGTCAAGCGACTGAGGTTTTGTAATAAAAGACTGTAGCCTATAATAAAATTTAACAGTGATACAGAAAGCCCTATGCCAAATGGACGATACACAACTTCAGTTTTCTAGAATTAAGATAAGCTAAGAAGTAAGAATATCTCACCTTATAAATCAATTCCACTATAACCAGTTGAAGAATGTCCCCAAAACCATGAACACTGTCAAGTCGTGAAGAAAGATAGGACAATGCCCTCTCCTGGTCCGCGTGAAGCAGCATCAGGAACGCATTACGTTTGCAGGACATGTCCTGCTCTGATTCTAGGAAGTTGGCAATCAGTTCTGGGGCATCAGGGATAAGAAACTCAAAGTTCCTGCAACATACATTATCGATATAATGACCCAACAGAATAATTGGATTTTCTAAATGTGTTTAAAATCATAGTAAAACTGGAGTGTTTACTTTAATTCAATATAGAAAATATAAATAAGAAATTAATAATATTAGCATATATTGAATACTAAAGTATCTACTACTATTTAACTTTTAACTATAAATGTCTATTCAATAATTTTATTCCTGAATGGCAAACCACACAGAAATAAATATTGTTTTCAAAGAAAACTTGAATTATACCTATAGATAGTAAAGATGGCTAGAACAGCATTTCTTCGAACATATGAGTGTTTGTGCTCAAGACAGGTTCTGATGGCGGGCATCAAAGGCTCCAAGAGCTCAGGTTCCTTCAGTTTGCACAGGAAACGAAGTGTGGATCCTCTGATAAACTCATTTGGGTGTTGAAGATCCTATATCAATTGAATTATTCTTTTTTTTTTAAACTACACTCACATCATTAAAACTAATTCATAGGGAGAAAAACAATGAATTATGGGTAAAAGACAAATATTTACTAAATTGTTTTAGTAGATCATAGATATAGCTTCCGACTTAATATTTATCAGATCATAAAAACTCTCATTACAGATATTTCTTTGCGTGTCAGTTCTTTAAAAAAAACACAGAACTTGTTAACAATTAAACACTTAATATGGCAGTACATCATCTTTTCTTTGTTTGCCGAATCAATGCAATAAAAATATTAATTGATATCTACTAACACCTTTAGGCAGTAATTGTGAGTTTAGTTAAAACCTACTCACCATTTTGTGTCCATAGCTCTTTTAATTAATTTAAACACATCTTCAGTAAAAAAATAAAACATTACCTTTCTGTAAGCATCACACACAAGAATCATCTCCTGCAAAAGTTTTCCATCTGGTGTGGTCTTAGGGACAATCTCCCAGAAGATTAATAGCAACTTTTTAATTGTATGGTCCTGCAAAGGCAGCACAAATCTGATAATTATCATCAGAAGGCCAGGAATTTTCTCCCCAGACAGTATAATACCTATTGTCTTCTTTAGTGCTTCTATTTTCTTTTTAACATCACCTTTTTCTGTAAACACAGATTTAGTCAAATTAGGATTTTGCCAATCAGCAAGTTGTCATATATATCAAATCATAACCAATAATCAAACCATATGTAATCTAATTTAACACTTTTCTATAAATTTTTTACACCATAAAGTAGATTTGCTAGATAAATTAATCCTATATTATTAATGAATAAATTATATAAAGGCTATGTCTCAGATAAAAAAATATAAATAATAATACAAAACATGCTTTATTACATAAGGACTAGCAAATTTGGTTCAACAAGATTCTTAAATTAGTTATCTAAACCATTCTTCTTTCAAATTTTTAGGTTTTCAGTGGAAATTACTATCACCACCATTGTCATTGCTCAATAACCAAGATGTGAATCTCTGTTGCTAGCATGATAAGAGATATATTACCTATTCTGGTACTTATTGCTATCAATAGAAATAACAGAAAGCACCATACCCAGGTCTATCTTAAGCTGCATCTCATTGTAGGGCTCTGTGTCCGTTGGAAAATTTATCAAAGTGTAGCATGGCTGCTCCACCCCGGCCATCTCTCTTAAATGTAACAAACTATTAAGGGAAATGAATGTTCACTTTTAACGCGGATATTAAATCTTATACTAAGCTAACATTAGTTTTTATGTCAATTCGAGAAATAATCTTAGATTTACACCGAAGCACATAAACCTCTTAATTTTTCTGAATGTACTAATACTTGAGCACTTCACTAACCTTTATTGTAATAATTTATATTCACAATACAAATTAAATAACTTTATATTCAGTATTTCGTTGAATTATGAAGAAATTAATAATAATACAATGTTATAGTTATGTTTGATACGTGTCCAGTACTTGCACTATACATTTTACATATCCTTCAAACTCGACTTTGACAACATGTGTTAAGTTTGATATTAACAATTATAATTATAATCTGTTTTATTTACTGCATGTTTTCATTGTCAGTCGCAGTAGTGTCACGGACATGTGTCATTTGTAAAGCTTACCTATTTTAGAATTTAGACAATTGTGTAAACTATAAAAACATTTTTTGTAACGTTTGCTTGTACGCTTTAAATAGTTTTTTCTTAGAATAGATAACATATTTAGATCCTGTAAAAAATGTTAAAAACATGACTACATACTTTTACTTGTAGTTGTTTATTCGCCGTTAATACGAATAATAATGTTAAGTATTTTGTTTCTTTAAACTATTAAATACTTGTGTGATATTAGTAATTAGATGAAGCACACTCAAAAATGGATGTTCTAATCACACTTTTCTACATATTGTTTTCGATATGCGTCGTTTATCCGCCCACGGAATTCGTATCCGCTGGGTTCACAATACCGCAAGTGTTCGAAGGATTTCTGGGCTCTGAAAATACAAATTTTATCAAGTATCATATGAAGAGAATTACTATAACTGTGTTATTACATGCGTCTTTACCTCTTGGTTATATTGTAACATTGTGGTGTAGTGGAGAACATGGCGAATGGTTGCTGTTCTCACTCATTGCAACCGCTTTGATACCCACATTTATGCTGTATAAAGTAACTTGTTGGTGGGAGTATGATAAGAAGAACCATCCTGTAGTTAAAGCCTTGCTGCCTTATGTATCTTCAGGGGGAGATTGGAGAATTTTGGCAGCAGATTTCAATATAGAATTTAGAGGGTAAAGTTTATTTTTAATGTAGGTTATTCATAGTGCTGGTAATTCTACTAATTTAAATAATTGTATAAGACTTTCATGTCCATTGTTCCGCTTATCATAGTTTTTCGGCTGTTTGGCAAACGTAAGCCATAGAGGAACCTCTTCTCACTTACACCAGGCGCCAGGCAGTCCAAAAAACAATGTTAAGCTCTACAAATTTAGTTCATAAAACAAAATACTTTAGTATTCAGAAGGTACAGTAGTATTATATAGAGTGATAAGCTTTCATCAATGATAATTTTTTTTCCATCTTTAAAAATCCATACTATCTTTTAGGTTAACATCAATCAATCCTAGAAGAAAGAAAGAGTAAACTTTATGTCATATAGTTTTGTTTATTAGTCTTTTTCTCATATGTACATATTGTGTTTGATATTAATACATTTCTATAAAAAAATTTCAGGGTAGATAAGGTGTCCATACCACTTAATGCTACTAACAAGGTGATTGCAACGCAAACCTGGCTAATAAAAGTATCACAATACAACATCAATATCATTAAACAAGCTGATTGTGCACTGGTTGCGACTACTGTGAGTATGTACTGTAAGTTATTAATGATATTGAGATATTGGTGCGATTTACTGCTTTTTTCCCCTAATAACATTTTTAAACCATGTAATCATGAAGTACGTAAGATTTTTCCTCATTAATATGTATTTTCTGTGGTATGTTTTATAAATAATAAAGCAATAATAAATAAATAAAATAATCTGTTTTTATATTGTAATTTTCTTAAAACTGATATTATTGTTATTTTCTATTGGGGACACCAATAGAAGGCCAGATGACCAATTCACACCATTTGCTAAATATTCTCACCCATTGCCCCACTCTGCCTTCGCAGAGGAAACACCGATATTAGTCAAGGGCCAAACATTGATTACTAGCCCCTCTGTGTTTGAGCTCGCTCTCACCCTATCAGAGGCACAATTAAAAAAAAATCACTCCGCACACCACTAGCTTGATGCTGTGCTTAAAACTAAAAAAAATGTAAAACTATGACCCTTGGTGTGCAAGATTTTCCCACCTAGCATGGCTTGTACTATTCCAGGCTGACATACACAACCTCGCACCGGCCGGTGAAGAGGAAGTCCAATATGTGAACATAGAAGTAATATCATCCCGAGACGATATGAAACAATTCGGCTTCCGCATATCGACGGCGGCACTTCGCGAGCTTCAACCGGGGCTTGAGAGACCCATCAGAGTACCAGAGCATATCTCACTGATGCCCCCTCTCATCGAGAGGTTCGTGCATGTTTTCAAAGAGCATGTCAGTCAGAATCCTGTCTATTATGTTGATCAGGTGAGCATGTTTTTTTACTTATTATTAAAGGGTCATCTGTGGGTTACTTAAATTTTAAGTAACTTAGTACTTAATTAAGTAAATGTACTGGAAAACTGCTACTGTTTGTAAAAACATATTATTAATTTCTTTTACTGCTTGAAGCAATTCATAGATGATCCCTAAATGGCAGTATATAGTTGACAGCAAGAAAAAAAAATTAAAATAATATATTATCAATAATGTGTTATAAGTCTTAGATACAATAATGCCAACAGTGTGGCTTAAATAAAAACAAAATAACACTATTATAGATAATCAATAGCTAATTTTTACTTGAAACTTTTTATAACAACTTCTTCAACACTTTATTCATTCACTTTTCATCATCAATTATCATGTACTGTAATTTTGCAATACTCTCTATTATTGCTTACTGTTTAAGCTTTGAAGAATGTGTGCTAGAATAATTTAAAATTTCGCTTTTAATATCTGATTATCAGAATTAAAGTAAAATGTGGACTATCTTTTCTTCTTCTCTTTCTATGGCTTTATTTTCAAAATCATCATTTTATCATCGCGTTTTAAATTTTGCGTTAGCATTTTGAGCAAATAACATATTTGTAAACAGAGGAACAGTACAATATGCATATTTTATTGGAGATTTCGCTTCTCCCATTGTTGAAAATAAATAATTTTTCTTCTATGTAAGTTTAATATATATTAAATAACAATGCATAAGAAACCCACTCGTACGATTTTAACAGGAGCTAGAGCAGTGCATAGGTTGTATGCAGAATCCAGCTGACGTCAAGATTAACAAAAGGTGCGATCCGCCCGCCTACATTGCGGAGGGCGCACCGCCGCCTTGCCAACAGTGCAATTGTAGGTAAGTCGGCCGCTTTCATCCACCTTCTCACAGAGACTGAAAGCCGCAATACAGGTCTCATCCTACTACACCGGCCTAAAGGTATCATATATCATAAAGAAGTTTCCTATGAATTGGCTGTATATTGTGTATTTCAAACTCCATTCATTCCTTGCCAATTAATATCCACGTAAAAAAAACAAAAACCTCGTTTACAAATAACCTGGATGAGGGAAGGTTAAGCCCACAAACATTAGGTCGGTACCAAAAGGTTTAACTCTATTTTCTATGATCCAGAGTGCTATGGTGCTGCGCATGCATGGCTCGCTGGTGGGCAACGCGTGCTGCCGGTGTTCCAAGCTCCTGGCTGTCTGCGCGAGGCTCTTGCCCGGTCTGCCGTGCCGTCTTCTGCTTGCTAGATGTTAGCTTCGCCGCACCCAGGACGACCGCCACGTGATAACTGAGAAGACACTAGGCTATATCTTCTTAAGAATATTGGGTATCTAGATAGTATTTGTCTGTTAGCTTGTACGATGTGTTCTCTACGCCAGTGATGACACAATTGTATGTGCATTAAAATACTTGCCACAATCTACGATTTCTAAAAACGGATCTCACAAATTTTGTGAGTGTGAAAATTTTACGTAGGTAGTCAGGGGTAGGTCGGCGGTAAACAACCTCTTTTATAGGAGAGCCACATGAAATTACAATTTTTTTTGGCATAGTTTAATGTTTCTAATAATTCAGCTACTTAGCAGCTTCAGGTATGAAAGACCAATATTATCAAGAATTTATCATGAAGGTAATTTTAGTACATTATTATTGGTAATTTTAAATTGATAACTGTGTCGCATTTGTAATATTGTAGTATAGTTTTGTTAGTTTAGTGTACTTCTAGAAATAGTCTGAGATGTTACAAAGATCGTCGGCGGGCTGCACAAAGTTGACATTCGATGTAGGAACAAAACTAGCGTCAGTTTCGCGATCTCACGGGGAAATGGAGTTTTAGAAGAGTCAGTTGAATTTGGAACTACATAATATACTGAGTAAGGATAGTTTAATTCTTTTTGACCAAAGACATCTGACCACTTTTTATTCTTTATATTATGTCTTTCAACTTCCTTTTGCGCACAACTGGGGATTAGGTATAAGCGATATTTGATCTGTATTATATTGAAATTATGAAGGACTTTCGCTTGAAAATAATAGCATTCGTAACCTCAACACGAGATTGACCAAAGGGATTAAAATTGTCTACCTAACTTAGATTCTTATATATGTATTTGTAATTGGACTTTGAAGCTACATATTTCTTATTTTAATAAATAACATTCATTTTGATATTGTGTTTGTAATAAAACCTTTACACGTAATAAATTGCACACCTCACATTTTAATGTAATTGTAAACTATATATTACAAAAAATTGCATTTACATAAATAAATATTCTTAGACCTAAGTATTTTTAAACCAAGCATGCAATCGTTTTGGTATTTTTTTATGTTATTTATTTTGTTTTGAATTATAAGATCAATACCAACAAAGTGTTAATTAACTGAACCAGTAATTGTAGGTTCGAGGGAGATGTTATCAGTAAATCGTTCAGAATCGATTGAAAACGTGTTATTTCAGATTGCTATCAAAGATTAACCCTTGTAGCCTTTGGGCGGGTAAGTAAGGTGAGCATATTGTGACCATTGTATGCAGAAGGCAGAATGCAACCTTGTAGACGAGTGATTCGTCAGTTCTGCGAGACGACCACTCTTCATGGCTTTAAATATCTGTTCTCTAAATATTATTGTGATAGGTAAGCAAATTTTAATGTATTTTTTATGCATGGGACAGAGATGGTCTCTAACTCACGCCCTCAGTTCAGTACTGTTGCTCTAAAAATTTAGCCATAATTTTCTCCAGCCTTTTATATAAGCAACTCTCGTAGCTTAAGCGTACACTCTCTTTATAAGTCTATATACAAATAGATAAGGTTGTTTATTGCACGTACATCGTATAGTAACCAATCTTCGAAATAGTAGCTATGAAATGTGAAGTCGTAATACTTCTTGTAGTAATAAAAATGAGCACAAGATTTTGTTCGCCAGAATCGGATGGCTAATATGTTGCTGCGCCAGCGGCTGTTGTGCAGCAGTTTTGTGTACAGTGGTGTGGGCGCGTTTTATGCAAGTTCCAGCACTTCTGACCCTGGTAGAACTCTACGGAAATCCTAGTGAGGTGGAGATGCCACTGGTGGCTATCTGTCCGCCAGTAGACTTAATCGCTGAGATGTTTGTTAAACGCTTGTGAGTATCGCTCTACGGAATTTGATCTGTTGTTTCTCTTGTGTGTAAAGATACAACTTTCTTCTCTTCAACGATAATTATTAGGTTAGACATTTGTCGTAAGATGATTCGCTACGGACTTATATTACATTTGATAAATTTCATTTATTTCGGCCAAGTAGTTTAGACGCAAGATTCATTTAAATTAAAAAAAGACTAGAATAGACTCTGAATCTAGTCTAGAATGACAGTAATAACTCATTTTTCTTTGCCTCCTATACTTGTTTCGAAAACAGCAAAAATAACATATCATTTTTCTTTGCCTCCTATACTTGTTTCGAAAACAGCAAAAATAACATATCATTTTTCTTTGCCTCCTATATTTGTTTCGAAAACAGTAAAAATTGTAAATTAAACTACTTTTGCAGTGTTTTTGTATGAAAAAAGTTATTAAATTTTTTTAATTAATAAATAAATATTTGTTTTGTTGAAAATAATTTCATTACAATGAGTAAGTATAATGTTGATAAGTTTGTTGTATTATTAATCAATTTAGCTTGTTGAGAAAATGTATTCTAATGTGTCACAAATCGTAATATCCTGAAAATAATAACATGTAGTAGATATAATTTTATTAGCAAGGTGAATAAAACTACCGCCACACAACTTCCGAAAATATTCAATCGGCTCCTACGACGGAAGTACATGCCGGAAGACCAGCTGGATCTAGTCGCAGAGATCCTCGATCAGCACGAGCTCACCTTCACTCAAGCACTCTACGAAGTGATGCCCGAATGTGAAGACATCATCGTCAAATGCCAATGGCAGAAGAAGAGATTGCCTTGTCGCCGTCTCTTTGATAAGGATTTGACCCAATGGGGGATTTGCTGTGTGGCTAAATCAGATGTGTAAGTAACGCGTATGCATATTGCGTATTGCGACATGTAGGCTCTGAAAACCTTTAAAAAAAATTATGTCTCCCTACCTAATTTTTTTTTTCGCTACAAGTACATAATGAAGAATCACAGAACTCAAACTAAATATATTGCATGGCTAAATACAGATGAGCAGACCTCCAACGTAACGAGGAGTAATGTAACTACGTTATATACTACGCTTTCAGTTTTAAATCAACTAAAGTCTCTCGCATGGAATCTACGAGGAGAATGAGTCTCGCGCTTCAGTGCCACGATAAATTGCTTTCACCGAATTGTTATGTAAGTGGAGTAGCTTTATGGGAGTAAGTGATAAACTCAAAATGGAATATAAGTGTAGTGTATAACAGTTTAGCGTATACTTCCGAGTTTCGGGTACCAGAGACTGTTGCGTGTAACAGTTCGGAAAAGTATACGTGAATGTACTTGCTAATGCTAGGCTGTAGAGTTAACAGAGTAAAGGTTAAGATTAAGAGGGAGGCGAAGTAACCAAACCCAATGAGTGTTGTAGTGCAACTGATTTATTTCCTATCAATATTGTTTTAATATCATTTACAAGAAAGTGGAAAATAGGACGCTCACTAAGCTAACCTTGTAAATTTGCTTTTAATATAAACATTGAAGTGAGCACGACGCTGACATGGATTTAGAATTATGCTAGCTATGCTATAAAATAATATTATTATAAAAATATAGTAATTTTGTACGGGCGTTTGTCCGTACAATAAGTATTTGTAGTACAAACCAGTTTTATACTTTTAAATAAGAATGGACGAAATCACATGTAGACAAATGAGCGACAGATTACGTCGGTACTTACCTATCTGAATATGTATATACTAAAATAGCGCGTTATTTGTTACGTTTGTGATCCCCATAATAATAAACGGTGGGGTTTAATTTTTTCTAGTTTTATACGAAGTACGATGTGGAAGAATGGTTCGAGCCCATACCTCTAGCCCAGGGTTACCATTATGAAGCACAAATGACATTCGTTTCCGTTCAAGACAAGGACCCTAACAAACTCCTGGACGGGACGTGCGCGTCTCATCAGTTTTATTCGAGAAGCCGGTGCTTGGTAAGAATAACGGGATTATGAAATTGAGCAGTTTGGCAATTGTATGTAATGATATTTAGATCATTTCAAACAGGTGAAGTTTAGGATTTACTTGCAGAACTATTAAAATTGACGGACTCGTAGTACCTACTATAAATTGTAGAAGACTTTCGCGGCCATTTTGACAAGCTTTTTTGGTTTTCTACTCAGCTGTTATTTCGCCTACTAACTAAGTACTGAAGACTGACACTCTTCAGTACTTAGTGGTACGTACGTCTCCCCGTGACCACGGCTTTGCAAAGCTTCCGAAACGTAGTGCCGTAGTTTAAAAAAAAATCCAAACAAGTTTAACAAAAATATGTAGGGTTTTAAACGGTTTAAGAGTGCTATTTAAATATTCACATGTTTTAGCACATGACGGCTTTATACTTATAATATGTTCCTCTTAAGTAAGTCTTACCAATAGATTAATTTTACTATTGGTGCAATCCATTCAAATGCTCTTTTATTTAAGTTGAAGTGTATAGAGCGTCGTTGCGGATGTCTAGATGTTATTCGATTAAGCGACGATCCTGCAGAAGCACAGCCCCTTCACACTTGTCCACTACGCAAGTTGAACTGTTTGAGATCCTTGAATCGTGGTAGGTACAATACTTTATTTAACGGTAGCATAGTTAATTGGAATTATGTAATTTTAGATGTTTTCCATTTTTAGATAACAACACCTGTAACTGTTCGCCGACCTGCAAAAAAGTGTCTACTTCTTTGATATTGGACTCCAGTCCCATGTCCGCTTTTAGACACACGATTGATAATTTTTAGTAAGATATACTTACAAATAAGTAAATCGCATTTCTAACACATTGAGTTTTATCCAATACGGTTTAGCCGTTTACATTGCGTCAACATTAAGAAAACACAAAAAGCTTCGGTGCACAACCGAATATCAAATGCATCCAATACGAGAAGCGTTTGAAGGGAAGTTGTTGATAATAAGGCTTCGTTAAAAAATAAGTCTTTAGTTTTGTTTTTTTTATTTCAGTACTGGGTTGAACGAAACTCTTGCAACAGTAATAAATATGCGATTGAGTATTAGCGGGTCCCGAATGTACATGGTCAGTCCAACCGAAACTTGGATCACCCTACTATGTATGTAGCATCTCGTATAATGTTCTTATAATGTTTACTTGTGTCAATTTTATTAATCTAATGAAAAACTGACAATTATTTCAGCTTCATTGGGAGGAGTTTTCAATATGTTCCTGGGAGTTGGTTTTTTTAGTGCTCTAGAATTATTATTCCTCCTTATAATAAGATTACCTATCGCAATTCAAAGATCATCTGAAATACAGCAATAAGAGCAAACGCACAAATCGCACATTCTTATAATGTAATCAATAGAACGAGCAGTAAGTAGTTACTGTATTGATAATGTTTATATTACATAACTAAATGTGAAAATTAATAGATCATTAAAACTTTGTCTTTTTTTAACATTCATTATGTCCTCTCCCCTTTCGCTTTATTTTTATACAAAATAAATTATAATACGTCAACTACAGATTAAAATTAATTGATGTTTCCATATTCTACAATGACAATTGACAAATGCTGAGTAATGAGTTCTGTAAATGACAGCAAATACATGTGGATTTGTTTTTACCCGGGGAGCTAAGTTCTTCATATTATCATAACTTTATAACTTAGCTTATTATTATTTTTCATAATTTTGCACATTAAAAAGCCTAGCATTCAAAATGTCGTCTTGGAAAAAAGCTTCTAAGGCTAACCAAAAAACACATCGCGAAAGGCACCAACCCGCCTCTCGAAAACATTTGGGGTTACTTGAAAAGAAAGAAGATTACAAGAAAAGAGCAAATGATTACCACAAAAAGGGAGAGACGCTTAAACTTATACGCAAAAGGGCGCTTGATAAAAATCCAGATGAGTTCTACTATCACATGATAAATTCGCGTATGAAGAATGGGGTAAGCGATAATAATATGATTGTGCATAGGAGTCTAGTACTATACAGCTACCATGACTTATGATCTACAATACTATATATTTTTATGTTATGTTACCTTAGGTACACCATGAGTTAGCGAAAGATGATGAACATTCCAAAGAACAAATACAGTTAATGCAGTCTCAAGATATCAAGTATGTGAACATGAAACGCATTATGGAAAGCCGCAGTATTCAACGGTTACAGGTGTGTACTTAATCACAATAGCTTATGTTTACTAAAAAGGCAATTGAAAACCAGAAATCTATGAAGTAGGTGTACTCTTTTCCTCTTAGTCATACATTTTTGGTTTTACCTAGATAAGACACCGTTACCTTTTGCATTTTGGTGTTTTGTTAGTGGTATTTCTACAAATCAAATTATTTTAAAACATTGTAATATAATTCTTGAACATTTTCAAATTTTAGTCAGAATTACACATGTCAGATGTAGCGGATTCTACTCCTAACACACACATATTCTTTGTGGATGAGGGGGAAGAAAAGGACTTTGATATTGCCAAAAGACTGGATACACATCCAGCTCTCATTAATAGAAAATCAAATAGACCTAGGATGTCTGATCTTCATAAATTAAAATTGCCCGTAGTTGACGAAAAGGTTGGTATTAATTTAAAATCTATTCTGACAAAGCTGTAAAGCTGGGTAGCTAAATCCATTGTTTAGGGCATCAGCACGAAACACCGGGGATGCCAGTTCAAATCCCATCTTAGTTATCAACTTTTTTCAATCTTTATAGTCATTTTTAAGTTATATATAATGTCATTGTGTACAAAATAATAAAGTTTTGACAGTTTTCTAATGTTTTTGAAAATATTGCATTCAGTATAATAGTTAGAATCATTCAATTGAATTAATTAAACAATAGTTTAGGTCAGGCAGGATTCTAGTCAACAACTGGAAATGGGAATTAACTTTTACTTTGTACTCCAAGGCTGGACAGTTAATATAAAGTAAAAAATGTTTTTAAATTGTAAAAAATGTATTTTTTTTTAAATAACAACACATTATATATTCCTATAATGTATGTATCTCACCATATGGTATTTATTTTTTAGACACTTGAATCTGCAAAGAAAGCTAAAGAAGCAACTTACAAGGAACTATCTAAGAGAATTGAGAGGGAAAAGTTTTTGACAGTCACCCAACAGAAAATGGAAATAAAAAGACATCTTCAAGACGCCAAATATCTGAAACCTAAGAAAATACATAAAGGTACTGCAGTTTCTGCGCCAGTTTATGAATTCCAATATAACAGAAAGAAATAAAACACTGTATACTTATAACCATGTTTATTTTATAAATAATGTCAATTTTATCGTCAGTATTCTTGACTTAATAATCTCAATTAGTCATGTTATAATTGTAATCTATGGAGCTAAATAATCCTAAATTCTCACTGTTATTTATTTTACATAAAATGCAAATTTTCAGCAACAAATCTGTAACTTGTCTAGTATTTTAATTTTACTGAAAAATCTCACAGCTTTAATAGAAACTTAATCTAACAGTCAAACCTTATAACTAATTTTAAAATGGTAACATTTATGTACACAGACCAAAAAGTAAAATCTCTTAGCTTTTTCTCTTTTTTCATAATATAATTGACTATAGTCTTTTAAACTGACTGTCTTTTAAAATTTTGGGTCTAATTGCAATCGTACGACTTTATATAGTCAATAAATTTAGGCATATACAATTTATCTGTGTTAAATTATGTCTTTGTTAAACTTTAATAATTAAGCTGAACATTGCCCAGCAATGTCTAAGATTAGTTCCTTAATAAATCCCGTTATAGGAATTCTGGTTACCCTAAACCTATTAATATGTGATAATGTTTTGACTTATACTGGTAACTGAGTTTTGTTGGTAACATCAATAATTTATTAACAAAGGATGTCGCTTTGGGAACAGACAGGCTGTTCCTACCTAGTTTTCCCCTCCTTTATACTCGCTGGCGTCGACCTAACGACTCCCTATGTCTTACATTTCTTGGTAACTTCCTCACTAAATTGTTCTATGCATTAAGTCTACCAGAGAACACACTTGTGTACTGGGTTCATAGGAGAGCCAGAAGGGCACTGCCACGCTTCCGCGAACTCCTTAGAATTACTGAGAGTTCCTATCACTCGGATCTTATTGGGACTGTGTACGCCCTCGACCATTTTGGATTTCAATGCACCCACCGTTGAGTTGCCGCACCATATCTGGAAAATGACAAAATGTATTTACATAAGACACTTTCACGGTTTAAAACGCGAAATATATAAGATAAGATAAACTTATTTGAAAACCATTTTAACTTCGGCTCGACATTTCGAATGCTTTGCAGGAGCCGTGGTCTCGGGGAGAACCGAACTAATATTACTCGAGTTTTCAACCTTTTAAGTGCTTTATTTAAATGTGTACTACTCGCGTAAACCTCAGACAGTACAAAATGTATCGGTACATTGAGAGTTACCTGCGCGAATCCCAAGAAGAAAAGTTGCTGTGGCGTGTACTGGGGTAAGGCGGGTAGTCTGGCTCTATCCGCTGCGGGGTGTCTGCCCGCGTACAATGAGTAGGCCTGCAGAGCAGCTCGCAATCCGCCATTATCAGCTATGTTCTCGCCTTGCGTATTAAATCCATGCACCTGTGGGGACCATTTATTAATAGAGGCAGTAGTAGATACGACTATTTATTGGTGAATGAGATACGTTGCCAGAATGCGAAGATCGGCAATTAGCAATGTATGGCTAATAATCAACGAGCCGTGGTTTCGATCCCCACCGGGTGCAACATATTTATAATTTTTCACAACTGAAACATGTGATGAAAAAGCCATGAAGTTTAATCGCGTTTCAGTCCGTGTATGTACGATGTCCAAAGCCAAAATAGATCGACACCGCATATTGTTAAGACGTTATATGACTGGAGTATTTCACTACCCATCAAGTGATAGGGTTCATTTGTCCGTCTTCCTCTATAAAATAAAAATATTTTTCATATGTCAAAAAGTTCCCCTTCAAAGTATGTCAGTAATAAAAACTTCGAGTACCGTGTAATTAGGCAGTTGTTGCATATGATACTGGCTGTACTGCTGGATGATGCACTGCACCTTGCCGTGGTAGTGCTCTAGAGTGGCAGCAGACCACCACTGTCGTAAATTGCCTTCCTCATCATAACGTCTTCCTGAAATATTAAATGTACCTTATTTGTAGATGAATGCCACATGGCTATGTTGGAAAATATTCTACACCGCGGTCGAACCAAAAGCGAGTTGCTTTGGCTAACTCAAATTAAAGTAACTCAAGAGAAGAATCTGAATATTAAATCGACTTTATTATTTACACACGCAACACAACAAGTAGGTAACTAAATAGCTCACCTTGATCGTCAAATCCATGTGTCACCTCGTGTCCCATAATTGCCCCTATTGATCCATAATTGATTGCCCTAGAAGGAACGGGCAATGATATTAAAGTTAATAAAATTAAACTAAAAAAAAACAAAAGATTTCCACAGCGCTCCGTGCTGTTACTACCGTGCCCTATGTTTCATCGTCGAATTTTTCAACCTATTGATACATGCACCGCTCGCGCAATGTATTTTCAACTTATAATCCATATTTAATTTATATAGTGTCATCGTAAGCAATAACGTGAAAAATATTGAAGTGTTAAAAAATCAAAGAAATTAAAAACTATATTAATTACTCACTCGATGCCGTTGCCATAAAATGGTGGTTGTAAAATTCCGGCGGGGAATGCTGTAAATTAAAGATATTTTTATGAAAAAAGATAGAGTTAACATAGAAATGTAGCTACCAAACTCTTTTTATTACATAATTGACAACATTAAGATACTTTAGTAAATTAAAAATCTATTTGGATTTAAAAAATAGTAATAATAGTTGCGGGACCGGCAACCACGATATCGCATTTCTCATCATCGAACTTTAACCCTAAATGGCTTGAAGTATTTTTCTATATAAGTATTACTTACTGACTGAGTTGAGCGTTGCTGAGTAGAACGCATTTACAGTTGTAGCAGTCGCGACCCATCTGAAATTAATGGAGTACGTTAGAAGTTTTCAAGAACTTTATTACGAGGTGATTTGATAGAAAGGCTTTTATTTGTTTAGCACATACCTATTCCTGTCTGGTTTCTCTCTAAGAGACTGAAAGGATTTCTTCACGGCTGCATTTGTAAGCTTTAAGAAGGTTTCGAAAAGATTTCCTTCTATGACCTCAGCCTGAAAATTTAAGGAATCATAAAAAGTCTGCCAAAGTTTTTTCTATTATATATCTAAAACATATTTTTGTAACATTTATGGTATTTAAAAAAAAATGCCTTTTTAATTGCTCTTTATCATAAAATACACTCACATTTTCATAGTGTTTGTCAAGTTTGTCATGTTCCAACAGCCAAGCAGGGAATCCCACGAAATTGCGTATCGCCCGCAACTTACGTAGCGTTCTGTCCCTTGTACTGCCGTCCATCCACTCAAGGTGACTGACAGTTTGGGCAAATGCCTCTCTTACGTCTTCCACCATTTCTATAGCCTGGAAAATCGGACATTTTCTATTATTCTACGATTCAGAAAATCTAATTTTCATCAGCTATTGAGCGGCAAGAATTCTTTTAGAATTTTCTTTTTTTAGCACGGTTCTTTACTCCTATAAGTTTCTTTAGTTTATATTTATTATAACCTACCTTCACCCGCGAAGCGTTATCGAAGTGGTGATTGACATAGAGGTACGATAGAGCCAAACCGAAGTTTGCGTTGACGTTAGCGGAGCAGGTCTTCCAGCGCGGCGCACGCGCACGCAGCCCGTATACCGCTCGGCTGAACTCGAATCCGAGCTCACGGAATTCGCTCAGAGTCATTGGGGACACCGTTGAGAAGACGCTCCACCAGATGAAACGTTCTAAAATACAAATCGATAAACCACTCCTTAGCTAAAAATATCTTCGAATCTGACCGTTAGATTCTTTTATTTAATGCTAACTCACCAATAAGTAGAGGTTCGGTTTCGGACAGTAGAGTGGCAAGTTTCTGAAGATAAGGTAGATCCATTACGATAAGACGATCTTCATTGGGATGTAACTCCACCGTCGTGTTACTGAACACTAGTTTCAAGAACTTGTCCCAGTTGTGCTGTAATTACCATGAGGGTCGAGAAGAGAATATTTTAGAACTTAAAGCTATAAACCCAACTGAGATATTGATGAAAGATGACTTACATCATGCTAACATGAAATGTGTAAAATCAAATCATGGTTTTTGGTGTACCTCATTCCACTGTGCTGGACCTCCACCAGTGCCCTGGACGAATTGCGATACGCTGACATCATGAAAGAGATGAGTCCCGCTGCGGCGAACCTCCATCGGTGTCATTATCTGGGATTCATTAAGAACTACTATAGTTATCAAGATAGGTACGACGTATTGTCAATAACTAAGATTTTAAAAATCTATTTATACTTTGAAATAGTCTTCTTGAAATTTGTTTTTCCTAGGAAATTTAAGTTGTTTTAATGTGTCAAGTAAGCGTTGGTGCATCTTGGTGTCAAACTTGAGTCTTTTTTGTCTCTTTGACTTCTGCCACCTATGATATGAAATGCTCACCCTAGCCAGCCGTGTACTAATATCAATGATATCGTCTGCGAATTTTTTGGCATCGGTGTCAGGGTCGACTATAGCAATCATTTCTTTGATGTACTTGTGGTACTGGTCTAACTCCGCACCGAACTGCTCCGGGTGCAAAAGGTAGCGTTCACTGAAACCCGGTGTCACTTGTTCTATCTGAAATTAAGAGAAATACATTTAACCAAAAAAAGGCACTCGACACTTTATACATTTTTGAGTGGTTGCTTGAATATTTTAAAAAGATTTTAGAACACTCCCCGTGGTCATGGCATGGGGAGACATGCTGCTGCAAAGCATCCAAAACGTCAGGCCGAAGTTAAAAATCATTTTCAAATAAGTTTAACTAATATATCGCGTTTTAAACCGTTAAAGTGTTTTATTTAAATATGTACTACTTGCGTAAACTATAGGGGCAGTATTTAAGGTTTTAGAAGCCAATAAAATACTTAGACACAAATAAAACTTTTCAAAACATACACACATTGAAATTTGGGTTTTCAGTATTGTCTGCAGTTTAGGCGAGTAGTTTAAGTAAAGTACTAAACAGTTTAAACGCGGAATATATTAGTTAGCTATTTTAACTACATGTCCCCCCGTGACCAAGGCTGCAGCATAGCATCCGAAATGTCGTTAAAATAACTATTGTATTTTTTTTATTTGTATTTGTCTCTTTCTCAATAGGCAAGGCATGTTAAATTATTACATAAATGGTGCTGGATTATAGAATATGTTACAACAATAAACATCCGTGTTTCGGGATGATCACCCAAGCAAGGACGAGTCTTGTCACGATGTTATGCCGATCCAGTAGATAACTAGAGGAATTTTAATGCCCGCCATTGTGTTTTATATTAGATGTAGATTCCCTTGCAAATGAATAAATTTGCACCTCAGTGTAAGTATTATCTATACATAAAGCCGAAGAGTCAGTTGGTTTGTTAGAAAGCGCTAATGTCATTAACTACTGGTTCACATTGAAAAATTATTTTTGGGTTGGTTCGAGCGTTTGTTGAAAAAGGCAGGCTATAATATATCGCGATCCGGCTTATAGAAACAGCGGGACAGGAAGAAAACTATTGCGTACGCTAAGAAAACGGTATAAGATACCCAAAAAATAACGAACGAATACAAACGATATATTAACGAATGATTACTCTTTAAATGATTTTAAAAAAGGTCCTGGACAGTTTTGTCTATTTCATTTAAGAATCACTTGTCAAGACGCGGACGATGGTGTGGGTATACGAAAACAAATTTGAATTCCCAAAATAACTAAAACGCGGCCGAGGTCGCTGACATACCTAGCGTAGAATGATCAAAGCTTCCGCCAAGACTAGTTTAGCTAAAAACCACTAGAAAAGGTCATACTTATAATTAATGCCACATATGACATATACCTGTAAGATAAGCCCTGCTTGCATAATGCGAGCTGTGGAGAAAGTTTTTTGTAAGTGATAGTCGAAAGGGTAATTTTAATAACCAAAGTTGCATAATACGGGTTCCATGTTATGTTTACAATTATTAGCCACTTATAAATAGATAGCACGCGGGTTTGACTCCCGCCTGTTTTGCGTTTTGTATAACGCGGTACCAAATGTATTTTACAGGTATTAAAAGTATTATCTACCCGCGAACAAAATGTATTCGTAAGTCGTGAGATGGTTTAACATCACGTTTTGATACGCCCTAAAGCCTTCAACTTTCAAATTACAATATAAAAAACTTTCAATAATTAGAAGTGTATCTTAAACATGCTAACAGAAAAAATTATCGTTGACTTTTACTACATTTGGTGAAAGAAATATATTTTACTGAAATTACGAAATTTAAATATAAAAGTTTGTCCTTGAACTTTATGGCTGACCTTTGGTTTGAATCGGGGACTTTTCAAAATTTCAAATTTTTTTTTCTATTCGCATTATATAAATTAAAATCAATTTATATTGAAAGAATTTGACGGCACGGGCGGGACTTGAACCGCGATTCACATTATTCTCTGTAACTATTGAAATAATTTTAGCTTAAAAATGATGTGTGTAACTTTCCCATTATAAAATTAAAATAACTCACCACGACACGGTTTCTGCTGGTATTCCTAACATCTTCAGCGACCTGAACGCTGACCAGCACGTTAAGTCCAAGTCGACGCCTCACTGTTGCTGATATATCTTCCCATGTGAAGTTTGAACTAACGCTTGGAGGCTTAACTGGTAGACCGAGGCTCGCCAGCAGGTTTTCTATAGGTTTGACCCCTTTCGCTTGCATCTTGTCTGGAAGAAACGTCCGGTTGAATTATAACTGATTTTTAGTTGACGTTAATCTCAAGCTAAAGTGTCTTTTGTTTTGAGATTTGGCACACTTGCTATTTTCCTACAGGTTGGTTTTCGTTAGGTTATGCCGTTGGGACTCACATACACGTTAAAAATTTTAACATAATTATTTTATAGTGCAATAAAAGTTCTTATAAATATTGTTTAACAATTTACTAAAAAACAAAACACTAACCGGTGTCAACACAGGTCCTATATAGGGCCTTCGCCTTCAACACACTCTTAGGCATGCCCGGTATATCATCAGCTTCCAGAAGTTCCCGAAGATCCGTCGTGAGTTGTTCCCGAAGCTTCGCCAGCTGGTCCCAAGATGTCGCCCACTCGGGAACGGGGTTCTTTTTTATCCAACCTCCGCACGCGAACTCATAGAAATCGTCGCATGGCTCCACATCCTTGTTCAGGGCTGACAGGACCCTTGAGGCTAGAATACAAAAAGGATTAACGAAATGATTATGGTAGTGTTGCCTTTGTTAGACTTAACCATTATATGTAATTTAAGTAAATCGTACATGCATACGAAAACATGTTTAACTGTGTAAACGTGAAATACACTTTTTCATTTAGTTTCCACGTGACCAAGTCTCCTCTAAAATATCCGAATCGTCTAATCATAGTTAAATTGAACTATTGAAGTGCTTGAACATACGACATCAAAATAATATCAAGAACTTATAAGCAATCAACGATATGTGAAGCAAATTACCAACGACAACTTTGAAACGCTAACACCAAAAAAATGAGGTCCTAAAAAGATGTATGCTTGATTGCGTAGTTACAATAACTTTTCTATTAAAATACATAGCCTATGGCGATAACTATAGGTACTTCTATCTAAATTTGCATTAATAAACATACCAACTTGTATCAAAAGCAATAAATTGGCAGCCATTTTAATGTCACATCACAACCTAAAGATGGCTTGTGTGCACTGATTTTATATTGTTTTTGTATTTATGGTCTTTCCAAAGAATTTAAGCGCATAATAACTTGTTTTTCCTTTATTAAATTATTGTCCCTAATAAACCACGTGTCCAATAGATTAGTCACTATCATTAAAATCAGTGACATGTATATTATATTATTGCGCGTGATAAAATTAATTGAATCTATACTAAATACATATTTAAAACTAAACGTCTAGGTCGCGTGCAAACATAGATTAAAAGGTACTGTGCCATATAATTTGGATCCTATCTTATTATCCAATCCTAAGTATTTTAACTATAAAGTCAAAATTGCTCTGTGTAACTATCTCAAAGGACAAACTGAGTATAAGCCAACCTAGGGTGGCACGTTCTCGAAGTCCGGAGGAATCCCACTCCAAATAAGTATAAAAGTCAAGATTCTTTGGGAAGTTTATTATTAAATATTCCCATATTGCACCCTAGGCATTTTTTAGTAAAATTATTACTCATCTTTGTGTATCAAATCAAAAAGCTTATATCTTTAGGGTGATTTTTAATTTTGTATACATATCACGGTTTCTCATAACGAAGGAGACCAAACTAGCACGGGGTCAATTTGGTAGAAGCTGCACTACCCCTTAACTTTATAATATCTAAACAACACGAGCTGTTTTTTAATAGCTATGATTTATGGTTGTTTGTTTCTTTATTGACAATTTGCTCTAGATTTAAGTCGACTAATCCAACTGCGCATTTCTTTGCGGTTGATGCAATACTTGTGCAGTATTGATGAAAATGGCGCAGTTTCAAACTAATTGGTTCACGTGTCATCGTAGTTACTGTGCATAATTAATTTATTTAATTCTAAATTATGGGGCGTTGGACAATACTGCGCGTACGCACTGCGCCATATTTCTAATTGTAGAATTTATTAAATGTTATTACACTTACTGAGTGCAATACATATTTGTAAAGTCGTACTAAAGCCATGTTACTGCTTTTTAATAATAAACGACCAGATTACAAATCTCTCTGAAAATACCTTAATTAGGTCAAGTTCTTTCTTGTTTATTTACGAACAGGCACGTGGAGTTTGATATTAATTATTATTAATAATGGAAATTATAATGAGAGTATTAATATATATGCATACGCTATGCAAATATTGGAGCGCATACATGGCGATGGAATTCGTGCGAGATTTGCATAATTACAGCCGCCGTAATAATTGCAGATGAGTATGCAAATTGTAGTATGGAAGTGTATTTACATTCTTTCGGTATTACAGGAAATTATAAAAACACCAACATAATGTGAAGATTGCTGATAATGAGCGCGTTGTACTTTTTTCAGCTTATCGCTACCGCTTGAGTTGGTATTTTATAAGGTTTATAAGCAAAAAGTTCAAGTAAACAATCCTGTTCCCTTTTTAAAAGCCTTTTCTTTACACAAAAGCAAATAGAATACTACACACTCTCATAGTTCACGCTAGTACCTACTACAATTTATATAAAACACTTTAACAGTTTAAAACGTGATATATATTAGTTAAACTTAGGAAGAAAATATTGCTTTGTTCGGAGCTTTTCTACGCAAGGATTTTTTTTCATATTTAATAGAGAAATTAGTAAGAAATAATAAAGAGAGAAGTGGAATTTATTTAATTTTTCTATATTCACCTTAAAGTTAACAAAATTATATAATTTCATATTTAAGTATAACATTTGCTCACCAGTTCCAACGCACACTTCACTGAGGCAGGGTCTCGGGCTTGTGTATTCAGTTAGGACCAACACTGTGGTGTAGACCCCCAAAGCGATGAGGCAAACCCCAAGCGCAACGATCAGCACTGAAGAGCAGCGAACGGTTCTTTCTCTGCGAAAAGTATAAATATAGGACAAAACAAAAAAGGCTTTTAGAGAAGAGATTAACGGTACAGGTTACTTGACAAACGACAAGGAACTTATATAGGACTCGGTAGCCCAATTGGTTAGAGCAAACAGCACGGAACGCTGTGCCGATTCAAGTCCTGCCCTGGTCGAGTTTTTTTTCAATTTATAATACATTTTCTAATTTATATATTAACATTTGAAAGTTTAAACAATGAACTTGTACAGTCTCTCATTAGCGTTATTATGTGAGACTAATAAATATTCAAATACAAGCCACACAGAAAACCAATCATTTTGTTATCCGCATAGATAATAAACATTTCACCTCCACGGGTCAGATCTTAACGAAGTGCTGCGTTTCATATATTTATTGAAACTATAAAACGGCTGAAAACTTGGCAGCAGAAAGATTTTATTTAATCTGAAGTCGATCATCTTTGTTCTATCCTATTATAATTGTTGATTTACAAGTTCTTGAAAAAAAAGAGTATTGGTGCAGTTTACGTGAGTACACATCTAAATAAAATATTTTTAACAGTTTAAAACAAATTACTAATAACATATTTTATTTATTTAACGAATTTAAGGTGTAACAGGAGCCACGATCACGGTTAAGATAAATAAAAATAAGTTAACTAATATGTTTCGTGTTTTATACTGTCATATTTAAACCAAAATCATATATACAATTTAATATCGGTAGTTCTATCTGTTTTTTAAAATATTGTTTACTTTCGTAAGCTTTATTTTACGTCGCTATTACTATAGAAAGGGTGACTTTCGTGATCTGTATTACTGTATTCTTGATGGTACTTGGTATTAATGGTAGACTTATCGTCCGACATGTGCACTTCGCTAGTGCTTAAAATTTCGTCATTTTGTTGGTAGCCGAGTCTAAATAGCAATTGCATTATTTGTGTCGTGTCACTGCGATAAAGTGATCGTACGCGGAAGACTCGATAATTGCTTATTAAATTAAATTATTTATTCATTGCACTCGGTGTTCTTTGAAGATGAGTACCTACACACTCATATAATAATACAACGTTTATTTGTGCACACATTTAACGTTTTGCTAATCTACAAAACTGATTATATTTGCAGCTTTAATATTGATAGATGGATACAAGACAATTTGACAACAAAAAGCGGGCAGCATGCTAGTATATCGTGGGTTGGATCCTTCCGGTGGAAACCCCCCCCCCCAATGCACTATGTGTATATGTCAGATGTTAAACGAACAAATAATGCAACTCTTTAAAATATGGCTTATAAAATTCGTTTCAGGAAATCACTTTTACACAATCTACCTCTATACCTACATAAAAGTAATAAAACGATGTGGAAATATGGTTAAATTTTGTTAACGACTTCTTGCAATGGGTAAAATGGCAAATTCTTTACCAACATCGGTGTTTTTCTAATAAAACACTTCTAACGGTTTAAAACGCGAAGTATAGTAGTTAAATTTAATTTTTAATGAAGCTTGCAGCCTTGGTCATTGAATCCATTGACTACCGGTAACGGGTGATTCCGGCTTCGAATCTCGACTGTTTCTTGAAGACTGATTCTATTGTTTACGTTCTCCGCTGCGCTTCGACTAACCTCTACCTAGAGCCTCGGGTCTTAGGTTCGGTATTCCACAAAAAACAGTCATACTTACTTGTTAACTAGCCTCTGAAGAATATAACCTCAACATACCCAGCTCATTACCCGTGGCCAATGCCTCGCAGTGAAAGTAAACGCGAGATAATAAGTGTTATCAACTTTATGCTTAGAAATCTTATTTACCTATTCGCAGTTACCATACAGTCGCAACTTCCAACTGGCAACGCAATTCCTAGTGGATGTTAAGTGAATTTATAGTTTTAAATCTATTTAGATTAAAAATTATCTATAGTAATCTATAGTTCTTGAATTGAGCATCTGTGGTCCACACGGCAGCTGAATTGGTTAAAGCAACAACATGGTGCGCTGTGGATGCCGATTTTCAATCTCTCTTTTAAACAGATTTTTATTTATATAGCCCAAGTGTTTTTTAGACATTTTAGGGCTTAATTTATTTTTTTCTTATTTACATTCTGTCCGAAGCTCTCTATATTGAATTCATCAGAAAACACACGGTGAGAGTGAGTTCCAGTCTGTGCTGTTCGCATCAGATTAACTTTGTTTTAGTATTTTGTATTACTCATTTAAAGGCTGATCTTTAACTTTTCTCAAAACTTCAAGATTAAAAAGATAACTTTAAAGGAAAACTTCATTTCTTGTAAACAATTGCCATCGCTTTGTTCTAACGGTGACTGTACTTGTGTGATTGTACAAATGTTTACAGCTTTACAATCGTCCCTACTTAATATTCAATCCGCGACTCCGGCGCACGCCTTGCACGTGAGCGAGCTTGATTTATTGAATAAAAATATAATATTTTATTAAATTTATAAGCCTGCAAAACATTTCATAAATCTAGATAATTTACTTGGGTTTTTTGCAGTTTGGCGGTGCTACGAACACTAACTATAAAGCCGTCTAATGCACTTATTAAGAAGAAAAAGCAAGTCTCGCAAGGATCTCCCTAGGTTGCATGTTGTTATATATATTTTATGTCTTTAGATCGAATCAAGTTATGTTTCATATTTGTGTTATGTCTTTGATGGTTCTTTTACATTTAACAGTTAATTTAACGGTGAGTACAATCACTCCATACAATGATCGATTTATTTGTATGTATCGAGTGGTGTCGATTATAACAATACATATATCCGTTCATGTACCTGTATCCGGAGCCTGTAGGTGTTACACAAAACGCATTGTTTGAACTTTCTATCGAGATGAACAGAGAGTAGTCTTAGTATATGAGTGAATACGAAGAGTGTTAAGGACTTTAAAACTCTTAGTATTGGAGAAAATAGTATTATATATACAAGCACATACAGTAATGTAAGGTTCTTCAAAAAAAAAATTGAAAAGTTATATTTCAATGAAAGGCACGGAAAATAGGGTATATACAAGAAATAACATAAGCATTATAAAAATAATAGTCATTATTACTGTTATAAAGTTCAAATACAATGAGTTTTTTTATCTTATCGCTATAAGCTTAACTTAAACTTGTCCATCTTGCTTTTTGCTAGCCGGTTTAGGGGCCCCTTTTTTTTAATTTAGTGTGGTCGCTGGACACACAATTAAAATAGTGAAAAGTGGTTTTTACCGCTGTTGAATACCAAAGGGGGGTTTTTCCCCCCCCCCTTTTTTTTTCCCCCAAAAAAACCTTCCCCCCCTTTTTTTTTTAAAATTTTTTTTTTTTTTTTCCCCCCCCCCCCCCCAAAACCCTTTTTTTTTCCCTAAAAACCCCCCCCCCCCTTTTTTTCCCCCCCCCCCCCCCCCCCCCCCCCCCCCTGAACCAATTAAACCCGCGCACGTTTGCTGCTTTCCATCCTATTTGTGTGGTGTAAGTCATAAGAGACTGTAAATTATTAATTCGTAGATTTACCTAGCTATAGGTAGATATTAGTTAGTGTATAGTTTTCTGACACGTTTATAATTTACATTGAGACTTTCTAGGAGATTGAATTTGACACCTACATGCAATAGAATTACCCATAACCCTTTTTATTAATATACGAAGAATTATTAATTTTCTCTGAGTTGTAAATACTTATGTAGAATTATCGTCTAACGAAAAGACTTTGTTAAAGAAAAATATTGCAATATCTTTAAACACAATGATGTTATTCGCTGTTACGTCACATATCAAAGGTATTTCATTTAGTTTATTTACTCAGAAACTTACGTTTTATCCCCGCGGAAATGAAAACATAGAATACCTAAATTGTATCTTTTAAATATAAAAAATAACATCAAATCAAGTCGATGTTCATACAACCGGAAGATCAACTTGAAAATTGTTTTGCCCGTCGCCTTTAACTTAAACCCAGTCCGGATACAATTAAATTGGTGCGCACTTTATGGTTTAAGAGATTGTGATATAATACAACCGTCAATAGTAACACCCTATTAACACTTTCCCTTTTCATTTGCAGTTTAAAATGTGGCAGCACTTTTGATGTTTTAGCTTATGATCTATAGTAAGATGCCTGTTTAGATTTAAGTTTGATGCTCAAATGAAGGTTAATATGTCATATTATACGAGTCTACTGCGTCGCAAAAAACCAATAAATTAGAAAAAGTATACCAATGCCTTGTAACGGAATACGACATTTGTAAGGATCGTTGATAGTTTCCGTGACCCAGTGAAAGTCTGGCGACACAAAAGAATTTGAAACTAAAGCAATCGATACAGCGGGCCACCTACATTCAGGATATTGTTTTAGTTACAATCACTAAAAAATATTTGTATTTTCTAACTGTATATTGCTTCTAATGATTGTAGATTAACCTACATTTATATAGGCCTATTCTTGTACTAAGTACAATCCTTTAGACAATACGCAGCTTTTCACATCCGATTTACATTTAGTGCACAACCAGGAATTAAATCTCAAACACAAAATTGGAAGTAGATCGTCAGAGTAAATGGCTCTCGAAGCTACAGTACGTTGAACCCTCAAGGTCTACTCAAATAAATCGCACTAATATGAAGAAAGCCGCAAAATGATTCATAAACAATATATGAATAGTATCTTACATTATTGTTTATGATCAAGTGTCCTCGTCTGCGCGATGTCTTTGTATCCTGTCATTTCCGGAAAAAAGTACTTAAATTAATCGTTTATACGCTTGTTGGTCGCAAAACATCTCAATTGGCATCGCAAATTATTTCGGAAAATTTTTCGTAATTGTTAATAGAGGTTTTAACCCTTTAACGATGGCTGTACAGAACTGTTTAAATTCAATATTTAATGGGAGACCATGCGATTTTCGACCGACGAGGTCGAAATTCAGTTTCCCAGTTTTATTTTACTGTGTTTTGTATATGAGATATTATTTATCATTACGTAAGTATCAGTAAACAAATTGCCAACATTCAAATGAATGTAATTATGATATTACAACCATATATATTTTGTTGAAACGAAAAAAATAATAATAATGTTTTTTTAGTTTTGTTTACTGAGACAGTTTATTTTTTAATAATTAGTGAAAACAGCAGATCCGGAACCTTATCACGCAACTTCTGGATGGATCATTATAATCAACTATAAATTTCTTTTTTTACTAAGTACTTTAGTTAATGACGCTTTCACTTGTTTATGCGTATGCTATCTTGCTCTGTTTATATTGCATCATAACGACGAGATTCGTATCTAAATCTAGGTATAGAAATTAGAGAAACACCAATCATGTATGCCATACTTTTATAAATAAATGAGTTTAATTTTTTGTTAACTATTTGAACAAGAGAAAAGTATAGAAAAACATCAATTAAATATTTTCTGTCTGTAGTTTACGCGAGTAGAACACATTTAAATAAAACA